CACCCCCCCTCCTCCCAAACGCCCAAGCAATCCCACACCCCAAAACATTAACCACACACAACCCCACCGTCGCCCCGCGCACCACCCCCCGTGCCGAAAACCGCCTCCGCATCCCGCCCACAAAGCCTTGCTTCTGTCCGTTTCCCGGTCGTCGTCGTGCGGCAAGCAGGATGTACAAAGCGCTCCACGCGCCCGTCAGCCCCGCGCTGTCGACTTTGAAGTCGCCGCCCACGTTGATGTAGGAGCTGAAGATGAAGACGGGGACGAAGGTTAGGGGGAGGATTCGGAGGGGGCGCAGGTGTTGGGCTGTTATCAGGGTTGCGGTTAGGGTTGGGGGGATCGGGTTGTCTGGTTTGGTTGTTAGTATAAGGGGGTGGGAGAGGGAGGGGGGAGGGAGGAGATGGGAGAGACGTACTGCCCCATGCTTTTAGGGTGTGGGTTATTGTGTTGTTGGTGGTGGTGGTGGTGGGTTGGTTGGGGGAGGACATTTTGGTGGTTGTGGTTGTGGTTGTGGTGTGTGTTGTGGTATGTGGTGCGCGGAGGGAGTTTGAAGGAAGTAGATGATCGGGATGACGATGGATGATGATGGACGATGATGAAACAGGACCTGACGGATGTGAATGCGATCATACCGCGCGCGCGCCAAGCACACGCCCGCGCCACACCTACGACCTAATTACCTAGCAGCCACCGAAGCGCGGCCGCAACGTAACGTCTACTTTGACACCTAATTAATTACCTAGTTACCAAACACCACCACCACCCATCATCACATTTATCCGCGCTCGAATTACGACTCCGATTCGCGATAACACACACACACACACACACACACGAACACGAACACAAACACGAACACAAACACGAACACACAATCACGAATCCACACCTCGATTCCGCCCTCGAACTCACCACGCTCAACGATTTCTCTCCATCTGCCGCCTTTTTCCTACACAAGCGCCCGCCGCGCTCTCGCCTTCCATCCCTCCCTCCCTCCCACACACACACATCCATGTCCGACAGCAGCAAACGCACACACCACGACGGCTCCAGCACACGCGCCTACACGGCCGAGCAGAAAGCCGCGGTGCTACGCATCAAGCGGTGCGCGCCCACGGCGTTTTACGAAATCCTCGGCCTCGAGGAGGTGCGGAGTAGCTGTGGGGATGGCGAGATCAAGAAGGCGTATCGGCGGCTGAGTCTGTTGACGCATCCGGATAAGAATGGGTATGGTGGGGCGGATGAGGCGTTTAAACGTGAGTTTGTGTTTTTGTTTGGGGTGTTACGTTCTTTGTGTTTTTTGGGTGATGAGGGGAGGGGGAGGGAGGAGGTTTGTGGTGGATGATTGGGATAATTTCCGATGAGGAGGGTGGAGGGTTGCGTGAGCAACTATGGTGATTGGATTATGATGGTATACATGGGCTTTGTGGATTGATTGACGCTTGCTGGCACTTTCCATTCACATTCGTCGTCGTCGTCGTTGTCGTTGTCGATATCAAAGTTCCCTTGCGAACCTCCGCTAATCATGCAATATGTCGGCCGTGTAGTCGTCTCCCGCGCCTTCCAGGTCCTCTCCGACCCAGACAAGAAAGCAAAGTACGACAAGTTTGGCGGCGACCCAGATAACCGCTTCGCCGGCGCCTCATCGTCCTCCTCGGGCGCCTCGGCGTCACCGTTCAGTGGCTTCGCGCGCTCAAGTCATGGCGGTGCGGGCAGGGCTCCCATGTTCGAGGAGGAAATCTCCCCCGAGGAGATGTTCAGACAGTTCTTCGGTGGTGGCATGGGCGGTGGTGGTTTCGGTGGTCCCTTTGGTGGTGAGTCCGCTCCTCTCCTCTCCTCTCCTCCATCCCCCCTAATACCACACTCTCTCTCCCCCACAACACCAACCACCCCTGACATCCCAATCCCGCAGGCTTCGACAACGGCCCCGGCTTCGTCTTCAACCTCGGCGGCGGCGGCCCAGGCATCCGCATCCACCAATTCGGCGGCGGCGCACCCCGCCGCCGCCCGCAACGCAACCCCGACGGCACACCAGCCCCGCAACCCTCCCCCATCTCCGCCCTCTCCTCCCTCCTCCCCCTCCTCATCCTCTTCGTCCTCCCCCTCCTCTCCTCCCTCTTCTCCGGCGCCACCACCCCTCAAGGCCCCTCCATCCGCTTCGCCGAACGCGCCCCCTGGACCATGGCCCGCACCTCGGAGCGCCTCAGCATCCCCTACTGGGTCAACCCCGTCGAGGTCGAGGACATGAGCAAGAAGAAGTGGCGCGCCCTCGACGAGGCGGCCGAGTTGCGCCACATCGAGATTCTGACGCAGGAGTGCGTGGCCGAGGAGCAGCGTGTCGAGCGCATGGTGCAGGATGCGCAGGGCTGGTTTTTTGTCGACGAGGAGAAGATGGCGCTGGCGCGTGCGTATCGTAAGGTTAGCTGTGAGCGGCGGAGGGCGTTGTTGGGGAAGTTGAGGTGAATTTTTGCGTTTGTTTTGGTTTTGTGTCTTGTGTGTGTTTTTTTGGTTCCGGGGAGAGAGAAAACGACTGCATCGTGTAATTTTGTAACATGGCATTTTTTTCTTCTTTCTCTTTCTCTTTCTCTTTCTAGGGCAGGCGAGCGGCGAGGTATGACATTAAGTCCCGGCCCAAAGGCATAACGGAGTTCTCCCTTTCTTCCGTCTTTCATCTTTTTTGTCTTTTTCTCGATGCTTGCTTTTCCCCGCGCGTGGGGACAGAACTCCCCCCCCCGCGCACGTGGGAGAAACCGAACAGAACCCCCGATCCCTCTCCTTTTTGACGCAAAAACAAAAAGGACTACGTCGCGTTGGGTGGGGGATAGATAGAAAGGGAGATTGGTGCGTGCGTGCGTGCGTGCGTGCGTGCGTGCTTTTTGGCATGGTGGTAGGGTGTTTTATAGATAGACTGTTTTCTTGTGTGCTGTTGTTGTTGTCGTTGTCGTCGTTGCGACTTGGAGCGTGTTCTATTGGTTTGGGCTGGGCTGGGCTGAGCTGGGCTGCTATAAGCAATGGATGGATGGATTGGTGGATGGATGGATGGACGAATGAATGCATGGACTGAAGCATGGCATGGCATGGGATAATGCGCGCAATGGGTAAAATTGTATCTGATATATATCCAGCTGCGATACATATACTAGCCCGCCCTCCAAACCAACCAACCAAAAAACCGTATTCTAAACTATCCACGTCCTTTTTATGGTTTCGAGTCTGGGTCTATTTTCACACTTTTTACCTTCTACTTTTACTTCTACTTCTCCCAATTTCTACGGCTACGGCTACTGATACAACTACTACACAGCGAGTGGCACGACAATGACGCTGCTGTGTTGTGTTGTGTCTGCTTGACTCACAGCACCGCCCAAGCCGTGACTTTTCTTTTCTTTACCCCATGCTGTATACGTACTGCAGCTAGCCCCCAGATCCAAGTCCCTACGACGTATCCATCGCATCGTCCGTCGTACCACCACCACCACCCTGCACCGGATCCAGCCTCTTCTGCCGCTTCTCCGCCTTCCACGCCTCGATCCTCGCCTTCAGCGCCGCATCCGGCACAACATCCTCGATCCGCAACGGCGCACGATTAAACGGATCCGTCGGATCGCTCAACAACTGACTGCGAATCGTACTCATATCAACAACCTGCTTGCTCGTCGGCAAGAGAACCGGCTCCTCCATGAGCGTGGCAAGCAGCGGATCGAGAAAGTCGTCTGGGGCATCGCCAAAGTCCTCCTCCGCAACGTCGTCGAGCTCCTTGGCCGTGCGGATGGTGGCGATGAGGGCTTCCCAGAGGGCGATTTGCTCGGGGGATTTGAGCGCGAGGCGCTGCATGATGGTGGTTGCTTTTGCAAAGTTTTCGGGCTTGTAGGAGCGGCCGTCGCGGGCGACGGCGGTGTGGAAGCGCGGTTGGTCCATCAGGTTCATGTACACGGATACGATCTCGTCGAGCATCGTTTTGGCGTCCCAGCCGTATTCTTGTGGGTTTTCGACGCGGAGGTTGGAGGACTTGGGCCCCGTGAGGGCGTCGAGGTTGTAGTCGAGCATGTCGGCTAGCCGCTGGACGATCTCTGGGGTGGTGAAGGACTCGGCAAGTACTTCGGTGAAGAGCTTGAGCATGGAGACAGTTTCATTCGTGAGGCTCATGTAGGACTTTGCCCGGCCTTTGGCCGTTGCTAGGGCTTCTTCTTTCTCTTGTCGGGCGGCTTCGTCGAGGGGTGAGTTCTTGGCTCTGAGCTCTTCCGAAAGGTCGTGAATCTGGGTGAATGAGGTGAAGGACTCGTCTAGGACGAATGTGACGTCGTTGAGCAGAAGGTTGACGAATCGTACAAAGAAATCATGATTAACCCTGGTTTTACTGTTAGCTCAAGCGTCGACACATCATCAGGGGTACAAACTTTGCCTCCGTCCTTAGGTTTTCATGGTAGATCGAATTGCCCCAGATACACTTGATAATCTGAAAGATCTCGTAGCGTATATTGAACTTGTCGAAGAACTGTGTGTGGGTTCCTGTACGTTCGGCTTCGATATAGAACTTCATCAAAGCATGGAGGAGGTGCTCAGTGGCAAACGGGTCAGCAAACAAAAGGTCTCCAAGTACACCCTTTGAGCGCCCGTACACGGGATGAACACCGTGGTAAAGAATGGTCACAAGCCCAGACTTTACGTACGGGTTCTTGATATACTCTGTTGTTCGAAGGAACGCTATGCAAAACACAACGAGCTCTTTACATTGTGTTTGCGTGATGATCTGAGGCATATTCCGCGTGATGAACTTGAAATTGTCCACAATGTCCTCCAAGAAGTATTCCGGAAGGCATTTGAAGACCATTGGCTGTTCTTCTGGCATTGGAAGCGGCAGTGGTTGTTTCGGGTAATCCAGACCAGGGACCGCTAATCTTAACATCCATGCAATGACATATCTCATGAACTGCATGGATCGTGATTGCGTCAACTCATCGAGCAAGACGCCCTGGATGGCATGGACTGTTGCCTTACTCCTCTCCAGCTCATCTTTGAACTTCTTGACATGATTCTCAAAAAGCCTTAGCTGTTGTGGGTTGGACGCAAACTTATGCCGTTCCAGTTCCAGCTTCTCGACCTGTTTCTCCAACCACTTGATGTCTTTCTGCATAGTCGATAGCTTCGACCCTGCGGCCTCTGTGCCGTAGTGATGGGCTGCCACCGTCAGAAAGAACACTTCCGAGATAAAGTTGTTCATCCCCGATGCCTTCTCTGTGTAGAATTCGTCAGAAGCGTTCTGGTCTGCGTTGATCTTCGTTTCCTCCCGAATATCAACACGCGGACTACGTCGTAGATAATCCACATCGATACGCTCGATTTTTCCAAACTGAGCATCCATGAATGGTTCGCACAGTCGGTCGCAAATCACCGTGACGTTGACCATAAACCCATCAGATGACACGGTCTTGCGGTCAACTTGAATAGCTCGTCTTTTGTGATTGGCATTGACTGTGAGAGCTAGCCAGTCCAGCATGCGGTCTCTCGAGCCTTTGGTTTTGACAAAGGCATTCGTTATCTCAAAAATCTCGTCCTGATGAGTCTGTAACGTCAGCCTCAGCGCTCTCTGAGAATTTGCAATCATAGCCCGATCCTGCGGTGCAGAGCCAGAGAAGTAATTTAGCGCAACCTCTCCTTGCATAGGTGACAGAGCGAAGAATGGACCCAAAAGTGTGTCATGTTCTATGCGCTGGGCGGCGACGTTCAGGGGCAGGAATCTCGGTGACTCTGAAAGTGCAACTGCTAGCGGCTGGTATCTGCAGAAATTCCGTAACGCAAGCACATAAGGCTTATAATTCCCATTCATGCTCATGCCCGAAAGCTCTCGACTCAGCTGCTCCATGGCACCGACCAGTGCCTGTTTTATGTCTTCGCCGTCTTCACCATTCATCCGCCCAACTGCTTCGTTCAGGAAGTCGTGGCATATCCCACGGTCGTTCTCGGGGTCCACGAGCAGATGCTGGGCAAGTGGGTTCAGTTGACGTGGCTCCCGCTGAAACATTTCAGGTATCGTGATTGCAAAAATGCAGTAGCTCATGCAGATACGCCTCGCCTCTTCATATATATTGTACCGCTCGTTGCGTTCCCCGCTCCTCATACTACGGAACTGCCTCGACACTCTCTTCCATGAGGCCAGGAGGTAGTCTAGCGGATCCCCCGAAAAGCCAGTCCCTGCCTCAAGTACTGCCTGTTCCAATACATTATTACTTGTCGTCAACCTCACTTCTTGTGAATTGCTTTCTAGCTCTTCCTTTAGATTTGGTAGGAAGAACAAAGCGTTCCCGTGTATGTCAGTCGTCCGGCTATCGTCCAAAGTCACTCTGAAAATCCCCGAAAGCTGCTTCTCTTCCCACGCTGCCAGTGACTCGGGTTGCAATTGGCGTGCCTTCGGTCGATTCTCAGACTCTCCATCTCTCTTCTGTGGCGTTATGCTAATCTTGGTTGCTGGTCTGTTTTCAGCTTTCATGCCAAGCTGCACGAAAGGGTTCGACGCTTCGGAGGGAGCTTGGGCATTATCGGTGAGAGGTTGCGCTCGATTCGGCACTTCTGTTGGAGGCGGTGGAGAGGGTGCATTCGGCGACTGTGACTTCTCGGAGTTGCTTGCGGCGGGAGGACTCGACGATGGCTGTCCGCCGCCGCCACCTAACCTTGCGAGACGTCTAGCTCGTATCTGCGGATCATGTTAGGCACAAGAGCAGTAGCTGATCGCTGCTGAAGCTTACTTTATCTTGATCAGCCCGAGAATCCATAGCGATAGAGATGAGACTGGAATCAGGACGCCCGGTCTTGAAGCGAATGAAGGTATATTGACGATGCTGAAATCCGACAAGTTTAATGTAAAGGTCCGTGGCGTTGAGCTGTGTATCCGGGGGAGTGGTATTTGACTTCGTGCGCCTATGATGCAGTGTCACAGCGATGAGGTATTACAACACAACACCTAGGCAGCTCCGCCGACCACTGGGACCCTTGTTACGCTTTATCGCTAATCTAGCCCGCGCTTTGCGACGCGGGGCACAGCCAAGTTCAGCGCGTCTAGGTGCCTGTACGAATGGCAAACAGTGCAAATGCCACACAGACTGTGTACTGTGCCTTACTTTACTTTAGCTACATTGTTACTACTACACACCAGTCACGCTTCTTTGTTTGCATCATAGTCTAAATGATTATGCGTGTGTGTAAGATTTACAGTGGGCCTCATTCCGTCTCCTGTCTGTCATCAACATGCATTGTTACGAAACCTTCTGAACTACAATCAATATAAGTAACGAGAGACCGATGTTTCACCTTTGCTACTACTAGACCGGCACCAGACTGTTATACTATGTGAAGTGCGAATGTATATAGAAACCAGATGGTGCATCTAGCGATTACAAGCAGTTTGTCATAGAAACATTTATGTGCGAAGAGAAGTCATTTCAAAATCCATGAACAGGGCGTCAACGGGCAGCGTACAAGCGATCGGACTTGGTTCCAAATGAACGAAACATGTGACAAGAGCAGAGCGGAAATAGTCTCGAGTTGCATGGAAAAGATGCTCTCAGAATCGATTAGAAGTTCCTCTTACGCTGCCCAAATCAAAGTAACACTTGAGAAACAATTCCCATCACCGCTGAGCATTACAATTGGGGATCAGTTCTCTCGAAAGAACGAAAGTGCCTCTGCCCTGGCATCCGCGGTAGCTCAAAGTGAAAGAATATTGCCCGCAATACCACCCCAGGACATTGTCAAGAAAGAAGCCTTTGCAATAAACGCCTAGCATGTTGCCGTCAAATGGAAGCTCTTAAGCAGAGACTGGTAGTGGTGGTTGTTTGAAATCGTTCGCCCTCGCCAGGCTCCCCACCAAGAGATCCACTATCCACATGCAATGCTCAGCCGGTTTGCTGGCAGAGCTTGTCGACAGCCACGAAACGAGTCATCTAGATTGGTACATGCCGGATTCCAAGAGGCGTAGCAGTCGCAGGATATGAAGCCCATGACATGCTTACAAAATCAGGCACTTCTTCTCCTTCTTCTTCCTGGTGAGAAGTGCAGCCCGAGTGGCGTGTTCAAACACTTCCCTGACACCTTCGTTGGTCTTTGCTGAACACTCGAGATATTTCTGGGCGGTGATTTTCTTGCGGACATCCTCTGCCTGTGCAAATTGTTAGGTCAAGTTTGAACATGTTGTTTTGCTGACATGGGGATGACGAACCTGTTCGGGAGTGACGGGCTTTTGCGAAGTCTTGTGAAGCTCCTCAATGGTCTTTTGGTCGTATCGCAAATCCTTCTTACATCCAACAAGGATGATGGGCAGTCCTTGGCAGAAGTGAAGGACTTCAGAGATCCACTAACGAAAAGAGCAATTAGCAAACAAGGTACCGCACGTGAGCAGGTCTGTCAAGGTTTACCTTCTCTTGGACGTTGTCGAGAGAATCCGGGGAGTCAACAGCGAAGCAGATAAGGATCACATGTGAGTCTGGGTACGATAGAGGCCGGAGACGGTCGTAATCCTCCTGGCCAGCGGTATCCCACAAGGCTAATTCAACGTGCTTGCCGTCCACCTCGACGTCGGCGACATAATTCTCAAAAACAGTTGGGACATAGACCTGTAGTTCAGGGTATATCAGCATTCCATTCGATAGATGTAGAGTGTAACGGATTGATGCGATAGATGAAGATTTTGGCAGATCGGGGTTGACGAGGGCTCTACGAGGGCGTGAAGCAATGGACTAACCTCAGGGAAGGTACCCTTGGAAAAGACGCTGCACAAGAGGCGATATTAGCATTGGATCAGTCTATAATCTGTAATCGCAAAGAGGCGTGTAGAAGTAGATTAGGCGGTAAAAAGTGACGAGACTTACATGAGGAGACAAGTCTTTCCGCAGGCACCGTCCCCGACGATGACGAGCTTACGACGGATTTCCGCCATTATGTATTGATGCAAGTGGTAATACGGGTTCGAAGATGGGTTGTCTGATTGAGAAGGGTAAGTTATCAGCGTCGATGCAGTGGAGAGAAAGGAGAGATGTTGAGGTTGATGGTCGTGGGTGCGGAGGACGGAGCAGCTAGGCAAAGATGCACTGACCAAGGGCGCTGGCGCTGGCGGTCTCTGGGACTTGCTGCGGCTGTGTTTGCGACGACTGGACAGGCTTAGCGCGTGGCTGGAGTCCTTACGGCAGGGAACAGTGACGTGGATGGGATAGCTGATTTATGAGTTTGGGAATACTAACTGCAGAGAGTTGAGCAAAAGCGAAGAGGTCGTCGTCGAGGGAAGACGATGCTCAGTGAGAAGACGGCCGAGACACGGTGGATGTGGTGGATGTGAGTGAGACAACATGCAGGCAGGCTATCAGGCAGCATCCATCCGTCCATCAGTCCATGGATAGGCGTTGCTCAAAGCGGCATGTGGTTCGCCCTGTTTGTAACACGACCCTGCCGCTCTGTTGATGCTCTCCCATCCATCTTTCACTTGTGCTCGAAGCTACCTGTTGTTGCTGTTGTTGTTGTTGCTGTTATTCTTCTTCTTCCCAACGTGAGCCGAGCAGAATTCTTCATTATTGCATGTCCCTGTGTGACTTGGTCGCGCGAACCACGTTTTCTGTCCCATCTACTACAGTACAGGTTGCTCTATAAATTCTACCGACACCACGCTACACTACAGCCCACTGGATCTGTATAGAGTTCTTGTGCTCGATTGATATTACATACATCATTCCTATATCATTTGCAGAGAGCATCTTGCCATATCATACGCTTCTCCACTCCAGCCTCAAGCAAGAACCCTGCCCCGGACGGTCCCTTAAGCTCTTACCAACTTATCAGCCGCGCAATCAAGCACTTGGCATCCTTGAACCGGGGCAGAGGTCCATGCCTCACACATCGTGATCTGAGTCTTGAGACTGATTGCCTGAGGGAGCAGTTCCTGCGAAACACGGGCTGGGCGTTGGGTGTAATACTGCTTAGTCTTCCGAGGAAATGTTCACCTACGCTTGCTATTCAAGACGAGTGGCACCTTGCGGCCTCATCATAATCGGCATCCACTGCACTTTCGGCTATCTAGAGCAATGTGCGTCGGTCTGTGGGCGCCTCGAGCACTAATTATTCGAGAGCTCGCCGCACGGGCTTAGTAGTCAAGAATCGTTCTTGGAAAGGATCCCTCCCCACCTATGCATGCGTCTATCTCGAACCGCACAATCCTGTGGTTTCGCGATATCTTCACTATCAAGAATGCAGCCACAAATCTATCAGGACTAATCCTTTTTGCCCATCAAGACACGCCAAGTCCGGCCTGTGAGACAGCAGCTGCATAACGCTCAAATGGCTGTCGTACCGTAAACCATCTTGTCCAGACGCTCCACAGCACGCTTGCGAGCGTGTACGTCGAGCGTCAGACGATTTCACTCCCTACGCTCTACGGTTCGCGATTCAGTATAAAGTGAAGTGTTGAGAAATTATTACGTTGTCGTTGGAATTGACAATGTATCTCATTCACGTTTCGTGATACTGTCGCTGTTCAGCAGTCGATCTACGATCTCGTCTAGCAACGCCATGCTTTATGCAAAAACGCCGGTCCATGCCCCAATAGCACGATAGTATATACATGTTCATATCCATACACTTTATATATGCATTCCCATATAATAAATGACTCATGGCTTGTTTACATCGCAGCGATCAAGCCACCCATAGCGACGCCCAACGCAAGCATGCCGCTTCCAGACCTAGCCTTGTTCGATGGTGCAGCCCCCTGAGATGCAGATGACGCTGTGTTCTGTTGATCATTGCCAGAAGTAAGTGTGTCCGTATCAGAAGAAGTCGGTGCAGTAGAGGGCAACGTGGGCGAGGCTCCGGTTGCAGTAGGGCTAGGATCCGGGCTGCCATTCGTCTCAACGTCCGCATCACCTTTCACGCCAAATCCAACCTTTGACTCGCTCCAGTCGAAGACGGTATACACATTCTTCAAGAAGACGTCTCCAAGAAGCCATTGATTCTCCCCGAAAGTTCGGCGTGGGATTATTTGACTATTGCAAGCGCCGTTGCCATTATCACGGCCGACATAATCAAGTGAAGAGACATTGTACGTCTTACCACCAAATGTGAATTGGATTGCTGCGGTGGAATCGCACGGAACCGTGTAGGCATCAGCGATCGATTTGGAGCCGGGTATCAGATTGTGGATCTTCGAAGCATCACCCGGAGGTATGAGTAGGAATGATGTTCCGGTATCTAGGATTGCAGAGCGACCCTGCAAGCCGGACGATTGCCCATTCACTCCAGCATCATCGATTGGTATCTCCCAAAATCCATTCGCGTTGTCGATGATGTCGATGTAATGCAGGTCACCGTCGTAACGAGTGGGATTTGGTGCACCGAGATTGAGCTCACCGTCAATCGGCGGAGTGGCATGTCGGCCAAGGTGCACGCCTATGACTTTAGCATCAATAAGCCGCTCATGGATAAGGGCTTCCATGAGAGAGGGTGCGTTGGTTCCATGAGGGTCTGAGTCGATTCGGCCTAGTCCAAGAATGCCATCGAGGGGAAAGCTGGCAAAGTCTTCGGATATACCTGTCGCAAGACCAAATTTGAGGTCTACAGACAATCCAGCAAAGTGTACTGTATCAGAGGCGACCGTACAATTGACGTTACCAGTGCCGTAAGCGACACTAAACTGGGCATCTGTAGTCTGTAGAGTAGACGACGAATCCTTTCCAAGCGTATTATGGAATCCACAAACGTCACTTTTACAATCTGAACTCATGACCCAAGTATTCGAAGCGGCTGTATCAAGCAACATATGGTATTCCGTTTGACTGGTACCAAATTGCATGCTTGCCATGTATGTGTAGTCCGTTCCATCTTGATCAATTCCCACGCTGTTCGTCTGGGTAGGTCTGGGTGCAGATGTTATGTCGTACGCGCTGTCTCTTAAGCGCAAGGGGCGTCGGGCGACACGATGACGACGGAGGGGTAAATTGATTGCTCGCTCCGGAGTGCTAATTGAAGAAGCGGGAATGCTACGAGAGCCTTTCGCTGGTCGCCTCTGGGTGGCAAAGTCTCCCCAGGCTTTGGGAGTGTAGAGGTAGAAGGCTGTGGCTTGCGGTAGGAGGAGTAGGAGGCATGCGTATGCCAGGAGGAAAGTGTCCTGCATTACGACTGAGGTGCAGCCTGGTGTGGTAGGACGTCAAGCACAAGCCTGTAGCTCGAGAGGATGAGCTACCTGCTGAAGACTAGGACTTCATGAGCCTCCAGCGGTCGAGTCAAAGAGTTGAAACGAGCGGAGAGGAAATGGACAAGGGCGGAAGAACAAGGCGAAACAAACGACGACAAACGACCCACGACGTGATGGGTGTGCGAGTGCAGAGTTGTAGAAGGCTTCAAGAAGTCCATGGCGGCGCTGGTAGATAAGATAACCTTCTGAGTTTGAGGGCGTCCGGCACAGCGATTCACTACTGGCAGAGGAACGATGCTGTTCGCAAAGGCAGGTGTTATGGAACGGGCTTAGTGGGATATTGACACGATCACCCCTGTCCAATCAGCATGCTCGGCAGGCGCTTCTAACATGACAAGCGCAGGAGATGAAACAGATGGAAGCCGAGCATTTCCACATAATACATGGCATATGTGTTACTTTCTTCTATACCGATACTGTCTAAGTGATGTAGTACACATCTCTGGGGTCTGTAGCGTGTGACCTTTCTTGGCATTGAAGGGGTCGAGGCGGATACATTTGTTGCCTCACTTGTATAGATGCGTAGAGCACGCAATACACCGTAGCTGCGTCTTTGGACGGAAGACAAGTTACGTTGTAGGCAGAGTGGGACATAGCAGTGGCAAAAAGCTTCGCTGACCAAGAACTGTCCAAAGTCTATTGGAAGGTACCTATAACTAAGGTTGTCACTGTCAAACCGGTTAAGTCGCACGAGATCCCTTAAAGCCAGGAAGTGATCGCATATGGCACTTGAGCACTTATGAGTCCTAAGAATGTCAGTCGCAAAGTGCGTTATTCCTAGATACAAGTCTCGACACGAGGAGCTCAAGACCGCGGGCCTGCGGGGTTGGAAACTTGGACGCGCTGGAGCTCTTACTTTCCCTAGCTTCGCCTAGCGTTAGAATGCTATAGTGTCTGGATGGTGTTGTAGATCTATCATCTCTCCGAGCCCTACTAGTAGCCTAGTCTAGCCCCAGCCCCAGCCCCAGCGAACGGGTCAATGCAGGTGACAGCAGTAACGTACATTGTACTGGCATGGACACTGCAACAACACTGCACACGTTACGCCCTTGAGCGACGAACAATTTGCCACCCTTTCGAACACCTTACGATACAGATCGGGCCTCACAGACTGGTCCCTCGGACCCTGTCAAAATTGACGTCTTGGAGGTGCCCTAATCCTGGTCCTGGTCAAATCATGGCATGGCATGACATAGATCTGGATGATATAGAGCCAGTCATAGGGCAGAGCACACCTCCTAATTGTCCAGCCTCTAGTTCGGCATGATGAATCTCTATGGGCCACTATCATCGGAGCAGAATGAAGTGCGGGGGAATTTAGCTCCAAGCCCTCAAGTCCAGGTCTGTATATCACGCGTCACATCGGAGAAACACGTACAGCCCAGAGCTCTGGAGACAATAATTGCACACTCCCAAGATGTAATAAAATTGTGGCTAGAATGGAGACACCGCCAGTTCGAAGGAAAGAGTTGAGATGAGATATTATTGGGGGGGAGCTTGGGCCATCGGTATGATGCATGCTTAACCGGCGCTCGGATTGGGGAAAGCGGATCTCAACAATTGCTTCGTAACGTGCCGGTGAACAGATGAGAGAATACCTTATAGCATTGATGAAATTCCGTTTCTGCCGATGTCTGACCACCAGGGCACATCCTGGCATTAATTGTTATTCATCATTCATTATTCGCTGTCGTGTGCACCAAACTCGGTGCCTCGAACAACGCCTGTCCCTGCCTCTTCCAGCTCCCCGAATCTACGCTGGGCCACCCCAAGCTCCGCTCCAATTGCACCGTCATGCATGCATGCTCCGAAGCTTAAACATTTCCCCCCTCTTGTGCCTGTTACTCTATTAGTTTGTTGAATAATACTTATATTCCTGCTCCCACCGCCCTTCAGCTTACGCTTCCCTCTTCTACCTTTCTTCTATCTGCTTCTACTTGCGCTCTCATCTTCACGAATCATCGCCTTCATACATACTCCATTCTATACATAGATAGCCACTTCTACACCTCCATTAACACCATGGCTGCGCCTCGGTCAACGTCACTCCGTGCCCTTCGCCAGCTGTCTGCGTGCAGTAGGCAGACTGTTCAGGTCCGCAAGCTACATATGACCGGTCCTACTACATTTCCATCTCCTCTCCTGACTTCAGAACGACCCGCTGTGAATCTCCCAAAAGACCTTATTGGTCTCCAGACCGAATGCCGGAAGCGTAATCTGCCTGTCACAGGTTCCAAGCAGGAGGTGAGCCGATACCTATGTTGTTATAGACTTGGATGCTGACATTATCAATCAGCTAGCTGACCGTCTCTCTGCCGACGCAATGCTACAATCACGCAGCTTCAGCAGCGCTATTCAGGACATGAAGCGTCCAGCAGCCTCCGAAGCTGACGCATACATGGCCATGCCTCCAGTCCGACACTTCAACACCAGCCGAACCCTGAAGTCCGTCAATGACAGCTCTACAATCGACTTCGCCTACTTCCCCGACTTCAATCCTGATGTTGAGGCTCCTCCTCCAAGCATCCGCGTCCCCCTTCTTCCACAGAGTGTGGCTGCACCCAATACCGCCAAATTCTCCGAGGAGGCTCAGGAATCGGTACGAGACACTCTCCGCAATATCAAAATCTAGCCACATTCCATACCACACTCGCTACACCTTGTTCACCTTTCGATTGGGGGAAGGTTGCTAATACATGTTCTTGGATTCAGGATGTGATGCGCGGTACCATAGTTACTGCTTCGGCTGATTCTACTCACATAAGTACTCCGTCTGCCATGGCAGATGTGCACGATAACAATTCAATTGATATTGGGGAGATGGCTCAAAAAGTTGCTGCTGCAGCCCAAAAGGTCAAAGAGGCTACAGTGGATGAGACACCTGTTGTTCGGAAAGTTTGGAATGGCTTTCTGGACGATCTCCTTGGTCCCAAGTCATCTAAAGCGACTTCCTAAGGTAGACGCCGATGCGACCTGTATGATGTGACGAAGCGGTGAGCATTTCATTGACTACGTATCTGCACACAAGTTTTCGAAGTATGCGTTAGTCCGTTTCTTTTGTTCGCCAGTCTCAACTACGGAGTCTAATGTGCGAATCTACCTCTGACCTTCGTTTCTGAGTTTGAACAAGGCCTGGAAGCGCTCTAGCCATTGGCAAACGACATATATTAGTATTGACGTAGTTAGCGTATAAACACAATGCGCATTTAACATCGCACCTTGACTTCCAATCCTTCCGACTCCAATATACCTAAAAATATCTATTGTCGGCTCCCAACCAGTTCAGACCCTAGTACACATTCCCTTCCCTCTGCCGTCCCACGCCATCTACTAGACCCTGCGTACAAACCGCTTGCGCCATATCTCACCACAATGTCATAGGCCAAGACCCTAATTGTCTTGTCCAGTAGCACTTCGCCCACCATGAAATATCCCAAGACTTCTAAGAAGCTGTCATTCCCTCCGGGAAACGCGTCGCAGACCCAATATCAAAAGGTCCGAAAAGCAGCGGATTCAGTGGGCCGCTGGTGGGGATACCTGCGGTGGCCGGCGCGGGAGTGGGTGGAGCAACGGATAGCCGGGTCCTAGAGCCGATGCGGCAATTGAGGGCTGGGTCGGGCATGAGTGGTGTGTTGATCACCCCACTAACGAGCCACCTAATTAATCTACGTAGAAGTAGAATTATATGCTTCAACGTTAATCTTAATCTTAGTACTATGTTAGTAACTCTTACTTTTGGTAATACTACACGTACAAGTTATACATACTCTAATGCTTTTTTTCATAACTCCACGAATTTCTGTACTTTACTCTATATGCTAAGTAGTGTTGTTTTTATTACTCTCTTCTAATTACGTGAAAACTTTGGTTATACATAGATATTCATAGAGTTTTTTATAGAAGCATTAGTTCATACATATACTAGTATATAATACATCTACGTTTAGTATTTTATTTCTATATACATAGATACAATCATATGGGATATAGAGCTCTAGTTTCAGAAAGGTAGAGAGGAGGCATGCATGTATAAGTAGCATTAGTGGTATTATTTAGGTATGTGGTAGGATATTTACATGATATCACGATAAAGTAGTAAGGTCTCTTCTTACTCCTTCCATGGCCACATGCAGAATTTCACGTCCGCATCGCCGGCAAGGTTTCCAACACGACCTCTTCGCCCTGCACCTCAAACTCCACCTCACATTTCTTATCCACATCAATCGCAATCTTATACTTGCTTGGATACAACACTCTCTCCCCTTTCTCGTTCCACCTCGCCAAGCTTCCAATCGTCAACTTCAACTCGTGAACGTTCTTCGTGCCGGGCGCGACGTCATGGAACCGCTGGTACGCGACAAGCGCCTTGTTTGGATACGGCGCCGGGCCGTACGCGCCAGATATAAACGCCAGGGCGACATAGTCTGACAGCGTGCTACCTGTGTTTCGCACGGTGGTATGCAGGACGGCAAAGGGGCATGTATCAAGGTACGTGTATCCAGACGCCTTGCACGCATCCACCAGCGTGTGCGTACTCAGCCCTGCCAAGGCTGTATCCGGCAAGTCCAGATGCGCATCCACATCAAACGAGGTATAATGCAGCCCGAATCCAAACGGCAATACGGGCGTGCCTGTGTACCATTGATACGTGCGGCCCGGGTTACTTGCGTTGTCGGGCCGCAGGTTCATGTCTGTCGGCGCAAGCGAGATGTAAGAGGCTGGGTACTGCGTTACGGGCAAGCGGCCTGCCGGGGCGACGACGCCGAAGATTATGTCTGTGATTGCGCGCCCGCCTTCTTGGCCTGGGTAGCCGGCCCAGAGGATGGACGACACGCCTGCGTGGGCGAGGAGAGCGGAGTCGTCGACTTGGCCGCCGCCTGTTTGGACGACTATGAGGGGCTTTGGGTTGTCGGCGAGAGCGGAGAGAAGGGAGAGTTGCGTGGTGTTCCAGGCGATAGTGCTGCGATCGCTGCCTTCAGTTTCGACGGTTTGGTCGATGCCGCCGATGTAAATTGTGATGTCGCTGGTATTTGCAGCCGCGAGGACAGGCTCAGAGTCGAGAATGCTGGAGACAAAGTTCACTGTTACCCCCGGGACGGTCTGGAAAGCAGAAAGGGGAGACTTGATATGTGGTGGTATGCCGGAGTAGCCTCCTAGCATCTGAGTCGTTGCGTTGGCCCAGTCACCTACCAGGGCGACCGTGATAGGTCTTGTGGTTGAGGTGTGGAGAGGGAGGGTGTTATGATCATTCTTAAGGAGAGTCATACCGGAGGTAGCAGCTTTCCGCGCGAGGTCCTGGCTTTGGGGAACGTTGATATAGGAGGCGTCGATTTGCCGATATGGTTGAGCGGCAGCATTATCAAAGTACCCGAGTCTAACGAAGGACGCGAACACTCTTTCTAAGGCTTTATCGATGAGTACCTCCAGTTCTGGTTTTGCAGCAACTGCGCCGGGAAGCCAGGTCGAGAAGTATACACCACAATCCGTATCAGTGCCAGCTCTCAGGATAGCCTCAACGGCTTCTATCTCAGTGGCACCAAATCCGTGTCCATCTGTTGAGTTGAAGACAACATCCAATGCAAAGCAATCGCCGTTGATGTAGTTGTCCGGTTCAGTCCAGCCCCAGTGCTTCCTGACCACATCTTCCATCAACCACCCATCCGCACACTGTGGGATGCCATTGACTGAATTGTAGGCACACATAACGCTCCCCGCTTTAGCATCTCGTGTACACGCCTCAAAAGGATGGAGGTAGTACTCTGCAAGGTCCTGTAGCCCGATCTTTGCATCGAAATTGTATCTCGTAACACCATCGTGAGTGTTATCAAGATCGTTTCCCGCAAAATGCTTGCACGTAGCAACTGTCTTTCTATACTTGTTGCCCAGTGGTCCCTCCATACCCCTGATGAAGGCCTTTGCATATTCCGCAACACGGAATGCGTCTTCTCCGGGCGTCTCCGGGCCACGGCCCCATCGCGGATCTTTGAATGGGTTAACATTTGGCGTCCAGTAGTCGAGACCAGCGTGACCAGCATTTGCAAATGCCCTAGCTTCGGTACTTATGGCATCTGCGACGTCAAACACTAGATCATCATCAAAGGCTGCTGCGGTGAGAATTGGCTGTGGGAAGGATGTGGCAGATGAATATGCGCCGCCATCCACGGAAAAATTGACGCCAATGGAGATTGCTACGCCGTGAAGAGCTTCGTTCCAGAGCTGCGAGTATATCAGCAATTGGTTAAGCTAGTTAGGTTGCGGTACTAACGATGAAAGGGGGCAGACCGAGGCGCTCAACACCGGGCATGACGAAGATCGTATGATTAATCTTCTCCTCGAGGGTGAGCTCAGAAATGAGCGAGACCGCGCGGTCGTACGGAGCTGCAGTTTCTCAGTATATGGCCAATTGCACACGGTGTATAGCACTCACATTTGGAATCATCACATATCCCTATAGAGCTTAGTGGCTCTATAGAACAATCCGGCAGGGGTCGCACTGGGGTATTGATAAGTACATTGGCAACGGTCTGGCGGAAGTCCGAGTAATTTGTCGCTAGTGGAGGAACGCCAGGTCCAGAGAAAGCCATCTTTCAGACAATGCTTTGTAAACCTTTAGATAAATCTAAGGTCTTTACTCGGTGGATGTTAGTAAAAGAAGAAGCAGGTCATCACGACGTGTTGAATTGTGTTGCAAGCAGAGCTGCAAATCAATCGCAGGCAAGACTTAACCTTAAGTACTTGACCGTCGCATGACTATCCATCCTTGTATCGATATTATATCAAAATCCGCGTCGTCATTAGTACTCATTTTGGTGCCACTAGTACCGAAGCTCATTGTTCATATAAAACTTTTTGTCGTATAGGGGCCATGTGACGGGATAATTACCGTTAAGGCCTTGTGGAGCTTCGTATAGAGTACGGCCGAACGCTAGCCATTTTAGGTAGAGAACCAGGTACACGACCTTGGCATAGATACGATGAAAACGGCTTTGTGGAGAATCATGAGATCTACTTGATCGTATTCTGTCATACACCAAAGCGATCGAGCATTCGCAGAGCAGAACGATGAATGAAGCTTGAAGTATATATCTGAAGCTCTTCAATATGTATGTCGTAATAATCTGCAAGTCGCGGCGCAAGGATAATCCCACTTTCAATGCCAATTCATGTGGAAAAGGTGGTGTGATTCATATACATACAATTTCCTTCAAGTGCGCGCAGGGAGGCGATTAAGAAACACTCGACACAGAAAACAGAGTTTCCAATGTTTGAGGATAGTTTTCGTATAATGACAGGCAAGTACTTGTAACGCTGTCGTATGGAAACCTGCCTTTCCCACTTCCGGTATCCACTTTCAGCCCCATCTCCAAGTTCCTTCTGGATATGGAGCAAGCAAGGAATAGAGACACCCAGCCAGATAGACAGCAAGTAATTATCAGTATGAAACGAGACATTAGGACACCGGCAAAGAGCTTGGAGACATCGACTTTCATGCAGATCCGGGTATACAATGCACATAGTCAGGATGATAGTGTAGAACACAGCAAGCAAACAAACAAGGCCGTTCCAACCCAGCATAAAGCAGCCGTGACGCTCATAGGCTTCCGGACGCCGATAAGGCTCGGTACATATAGGAATGTGTTCATGGATAGACCTGATATCTCTCTCTCAACAGGTTCCATAGTCATCTATACATTAGTGGATCAGCAAACTCGACCAGATCAAGAGCCTGAAAGTGGTAATCCATACTCACAGGAGGAACACAACATTGATACTGGAAGTCGAAGTTAAACATTCTCTAGTCGATTTTGTGCATTTAGCCTACGGTCATGACCTACTATCGTCATGCTATGGCACGGATAGCATAGTAATTTTGTTGCAAAACTCTCATTCAAACATCAACCACGTGGTGGCGAATTCTGTTGATGCGACCTCAAAACTGGGTACCTAAATCCTGACGCGGGCAAGCATAACCAATGGCATACCATAGGAGCCAGCCACAATCGCGTAATGTGAACCTTCGCTTATGGCGACCAATCACCAGAAGGAGCGATGTTTAAATATAATAGTCGATCCCTTAAACAGCTCTGAATTGCGGGGCATCCAGACTTCTTATTGTTAGTGATGGATGCCTTCCCGTAATGATAACACGGCAGGACATTAGCTCGATACCACTGTGGCTGAGATCGTGCAAAGAGATCCTGTAGGAGACGTCCCAGGTCCAAATCATCAATGGCGGCATGTACATTCGTCTATTCGAACGGTTTTCGTTCGCCCGGCCCGTCACTGCGCCGCAGTCTACCATATCGTGGCTAGTGGCATCTGAAGTATAAGTAGATGTCTTCCACACCTTGACAGAGATCTATCCCTTGTGCAACATTCCACTAAGCATTCCTGAATCATCAAAGATTTTTAAGCATTCTGTAAACATGGTCCTCAAAGAAGTATCCACCATCATTCCACCCAACCAAGCCGATGGTGCGCCCAAGAGGATCAATATGATTGCCCGCAAAGACTGTACATCACTCTCTAGGATACTTCTTTGAACCCATCATACTAACGCATTAAAGTCCGTGACCGCTTCGAAGCCGAAAAGCCTGGGCACGAGAAGTTCTTCTCTTCGCTCTTCGGCGGCGAATGGACCATCAAACTCGATCCATCCAACCTCTTCACCTATACCGAGGAAAAGGATGCGAGCATGTTTGGCTACTATTGCAACAAGTTAGCATAACCGCTATAGACCTTTTCTCCATTTCCATTTCCTGATAATCTAACAGGTACTTTGCCGACGGCCAAGTCCGTGACAATCTTGCCAACTTCACGAAAGAATATGCCGCCGACGGCATCACGCAAATCAATAAGCTGGCTCACACCCACACTATCACCATCGAACCCTCTTCCTCGACCAGCGCTGGCCTCGACTTCGCCGACGGGAAATTCCGCATCCTATTCTCCGAGCCTGATGGCTTCACTTCTGGCGCCTCGTACTGGTCTGGCTCCCTCTCCAGTGCCGTCAGCGCCGCCGAAGCCAGTGGCCCCCAAACATCCGCCGGGCAGCCGCGGCAAATGAGCATTGTCGCAAAGCGCGATATCCGGGACCGCTTTGAGGCTGAGATCGGGCCGATAGAGGAACGCGTGCGAAAGTACTTGCAGGCGCCAGACTTCACACTCGATCCAAACTTTGAGGCGAATTATGCGTTTTATGCAGCATGGGAGGAGGAATTGAAGGCGGATCCGGACGAGACTGCAATCCGGCAAGTCGAAAAAGGGTGGGAGGGTATGATCGGGTATTTTACTTTGAAATATTTTGTGCGGTTGGCGGATTACTTACGCGATGAGGGGTTCGCGAAGGACGAAATGTTGAGGGAAGGGTTCAAGGAGGTGGTGAATGCGAATTGGGTTGTGGTGAGACAGGTGGAGGATGAGGTCTTCAAGGATGCGAGGGGAAATACTGAAGACGCAGTTATTGAGGACGGCGTTTTAGTATTCAGAACGACAAGGAAGGCGTTTGGATGGAATGAGGGAAGATGTGTGATGAAAATTATGGATCTGTTGTGAGGCGATCGCCCTTGGGGGTTTACAGAACCTCATCGCGGATCGAGTGTTCAATATCGAACTTCAAGCGTATAGATTACCTTCACTCCCAGGCTTCTCCCCAGGCTTCTTCTTCTTCTTCTTCAGCAGCAGGTTGCGAATTCTTTTTCGGTGCGGGCGCGACTGCTTTCGTCACTCCTGATACATGCGTTTTCTTCGCTGTCACATTGCCAGTAGAATTACTCTTCAAGCCGACGCTTGGTCGGATTGCGCTTGCTGAGGCTTTTGCAAGACCTTTCGGAAGTGGCTTCGATACAGGCTTCTTGGTTTCTGCTTGAGCTGCTAGCCAACCAGCGAAGTCAGGCTCGCCCCCATCGTCATATGTCGCTGTTTTAGTTGTCCTGACCCCAGTAGTGACCGTAGGTGTGCCCCATGGATCCTCAAAAGCATGTGCAGTGTCGTCAGTCTCAGAGGAAGGTTTGCTAGTACTGTCAGGATGATTGAAAGCATTGGCATTCGAATCGTCATCATCCATATCACCCCAGGCATCGCCAAAGTCTTCCGCTTCGACATCAGCATTGACACTAGATGTCAGGGGGCCAGATTTAGCAGATGAGAACGGATTTGCTTTGCTCGCCTTCGAGAGCCCAGAGGGCTTGTGCGGCACATTTGGAGATTTTGGTGGAACTGAAGATGGCCGGGAGGAGGGCTGTGATAGTGATGAAGGTGCTGCAGTACTACCGTTCGTGCCCGTATGCATTTCACCACTTGCACCAGCAATTTTATTTGTAAAGGAAGAGATGGCCCACCCCGCCCATGAACTACTATCACCTTGCGGAGTTCCGATCCTGGGCGCCCCAGCAGTTGCTGCGGTGGAGTTCTGAGGTACAGCAACAGTGTCTGGCAATGACTGGGCGTACTTACGGATACGTTGGAGATATATGTCCATCGTCTTGTTTGCTTGATCACGTACAAGTCTACTTGTTGTTAGTCAGATCTTATCTGAGAAGTATGCCAACGAAACCTACTTCTCTTTATCGACGAGAGATGGACAAATAGCGGGAAGCATTTTGCTTGCGCAATCATCTTCAGAAAAGAGGTCGGCGGTTGCTGCAAGCGCTAACAGACCTGCATTCCTTGCGTGCACGAATGGATCTCGTAGGGAGCGTGCAAAAGCTGCAGATAGGACTTTGGAGCGCGACTACGACATCAGTCTTCTATCGTACATCAGATTTATGATGCTACTCACGCTAGACCCAAGGTTACGTGCAATCTTTCCCAAGCAGATTGTTGTGTTGGTGCGGATGCCGGGCTGTTCATCGTTGGCAGTCTTAGCGAGATATCTGAGTAACTCTCCATTGATGGTGCGATCCGAGAGCTTCTGCACAACTGTCAAGATAGCTTTGACAGTCTGCTCTCGCACCACTGGTGCAATATCTGTGAATCCTGTGACCTGCAGATGTTAGGCCTTACGACGTTTGGAACGGGAAGCAAACGTACTAGCTGGGGAAAAATCTTGTCGTTCACTATTTTATTGCTGAGATGATCAATCATCAGGGGCAGATTGTCAAGTAAACAGACTCGAATAGCCCTGTCTGGCAGTGTGAATAGCCTGACTATTACTGGCGTAATCTGGCCATCGTATTCTTCGTCTGTTAACTTGGTACTGATCTTCATAACTACCCCGAAAACTTTAGGACCACCGCCTCCGTACTCTACAGATTTGAGTAGTTCCGGTAGAACTTTCATTTTGAAGAACTCTTCAGGGAAGTCGTCTGAGACTTCATCTAGCTGACTATAAAAGAATTAGCTGGCTGTGCGCTATAGCCGATGGCAAACGCACCTTAGAAATTCTTCCCTCTCCGCGTCTGCTTTGAGTCCTAAGCCGTCAATGTCTTCGGTAATCTGTATAAGTGGTGTCTGGAAGAAACCGCCATGACGTAGTCCTTGGTCCAGAAACTGTCCCGTGCTAAGGCGAATCTTGGGATCCTGTGCAATCAAGCGCTTGTAACTTTGATGCATGGCTCGAGGTATGCCCTTTGTCAGACTCAGCTGGTCGGATCCCATAGAAGAGCCATTGAATGCTTCGTGAACCAGACTGCCGTAATTATACGCATCTACACAATGAACAGGGTAGCGCTTAAGAGAGTCCCAACCTGACTTCGCCACCTCTGGTGGCGCATACCGAGCCGAGTCTGGTACCAAGCCTCCATGTGTCTGTTACGTGTCAGCGAAGCGCCAGGTAGGGCACTTCTTCACATACATATATTATAGCTTCATCCTCTTTCAAAGAGCTTAAAACGTCAAACCCACCCAGCTTCCATTCTCCGCTCTCACTTGTGAAGACGGATGACGATCTCAGGCAGCCGTGTATTGACGTCGCCTCATTGTTGATGAATTTGATTGTTTTCTGTTTCGATCAGCTAGCTCCCTTCCAGAGCTGCGAGGACCCTACACACAGCAACATTATGGAGCCCCCACTTGATCGTTTCCTCTGCTAAGCTCTTTCTTTTGATATGCCAGCCAAGGGGTACCAAACGCTCTGTCGCGATGTATATGTACGATTCTGTCTACCCTGAAATGAGACTCCAAGTCATTGTGCGACAACAGGGGAATATACCTCGACTGTATCCAGGACCTTGATCACACCGGGATGGCGTATAGTTCGTAGTTTTCGCAAAGCATTGCGAGCTAGGGGTAATCGGGATTTGTTCGCGGTCACGTCGAAGGAAAAAATGCTACATTTAGAACCGTCTTCCTGCAAATCAAAAGAGTCAGCAGTAGCAAATATTGACGTGCGTCGCAATGATCATACGCGTTTAGTGCCATTGTGCAGAGTCCATATTGACTGTTCCACATCCACACGGTCACCGAAATTGTAACCAAAAGCCGGACCTTTTGAAATAGCGGATGCGACGGCGGACTTCAGAAAATCCATATGTACAAAACTTTTGTTATCTGGCTCAGATGCGCGTGGAGACAAGCCGGGGAACAGCAAACAAGACTTCCGACACGCAGCTGGAAGTATTAGCAGAGAGGTAATAATGCCACATTAAATTTGGCATGGGGAGGGAGAGGGGTCCACACTGAGAAGCGGAGATAAGATCAGTGATTAGATTAGATGGATGCCGCTATGATCAATAAAACCTAGCGCTAATATTCTACAACTAAGTAATTAGCACACCAGGTCGGCAGTCCGTTTGTTGTCACCTTCACCTTTTTCTTCATCTTCACCCTCACCATCACGAGGTTGATCTCTGCCATTCCCAATTCTTCTTTACCTCAGGAGAATTCCCAGACTTCCGATATCGTGCAGCTATTTGAGGCTGCATCCTTCGTCTCTCCTAACTGATGTATATCCAACATCGCTTCTAATTACCCTCTACTCTGCTTAACCTAAGACTCTTCCATTTGATGAGTCAGAGATGATGATCTGGCTCTTAGACAGATGTACATACCATCATATTGGTGACAGTATAGTCGAGGGCTAATGTGGACTTGAATCAAGTCTTGCTACCCGCCTTCTACACAAATGGTACGTTCCAGTCGTCACTGTTTTGCACTGTCGCCGGGTCGCTGCGTCAATGATGAAGTATTGGTAAAAGGTCAGACTTATGGCTCTTCTGCTGGTCTCAGTTTTGTCGACCATTGTCACGTCACTGGTGTTCAGAGACACTCGCTGCGACTCACTTTGGGCATCTGAACTCGTCGGCAGGGATTTCTAAGAGACAAGTTGACTCCAAGTCCTGATAAGCAAGTCTCCGCGAAACCCATATTCATGTTTTCAACAGCACCATGAATGGAGCTCCAACTTTGAGTCATAAGCTGGTAGCCAAAGGAAGTGGTGTACAAGCAAACCGTCTCGCTCAGTTTCTGGTTCGCAAACATACCTACAACTGCCATGCGTTGAGGTCAGGCTCTAATGACACAGCCAGTTGAGTCCCCGGTCGATGCAGCAAGGGAGATACACTGGGACCGCGAAGACCTCGGATGATGACCACAATAAAAACTGAAAAGATCTGAGACGCAGCAAACTCTACTGCCCAGCCATTTAATTCACATTCCTCCCAGACTATAGCTCACTGCGCGTATAGGAACCATACAGGATCAGACAAGACCACAAGCTAAAGAGCCGACTCAGTCTCAGATGCGCGTCACGACATGATCGTGTCGATCCGGCAGCCAACCTTCTCAATGTTTCAGTTGATGCCGATTCTTTTACTGATCCTGCATGTCAAAACCGACTCGATGCGGGGGACCACCCTGTGACGGTACCCGCTGATGACCAGTACACCACAGAGTGGGACGTCGTACTCAAAGGCCCTCAAGCCTGTTCATGTTGGAAAATTCAAGGCCAGGAGGACCCAGCAGTCCTATTTCTCAGCGACCACAAAAATTTAGATGCGAAACTTCCTAAGAAATTGTCACGAGGCAAAGCCAGTTACGAGTCAACACTAACCCACTGTGGCAAGAAGCAGACGCCGTCGCTCAAGATTAATGATAGAATCAGTGCTTGCGTTCCCGAGGAGTCCCAGAATATAGAGCCTCCAACCCAGATAAAAGAGCCAGTCGATCATCCTTTCGACTACACTCGCTGGACGCCAAAACAATGGGAGAGCAAGTTATACCTCCAGCGCGGCTTTCGCATCGACCAACATATCTTCAAATATATTTGGACAGAGGCTTTAGCTTGCTGTAAAAGTGATGAACTAATACATAGCAGTCAGAGAACCCACCAATGCATCTACAATTTACTTCTTGAGCACCATCGTGAGGCTAGAAACAAAACCGAAAGAAAGTGGTGGAAGACTGCAGTAAGCGAATTTGCCAAGATGGTGCAAAAAACGCCAGGAGGGAAATTACGAGACCGAAGAATATCATGCACGAATATAGCATCATCTGCTGAAACCACTGTAAGCCTTTCAACCTGCCCTTAGTAGGTTTTCAGATGGCTAATCACTGCGGGCAAGCCCACAGCTAGCCTCAGTGAGATATCAGATGATCGGACAAAGTCGATCGACCTTCAAACTCCCAGTGAGAAACATTCTTGTCTCTTGATAGCCAGTTCCCAAATAAATTCGGATCCCTTCACGAAGCCTGGACAAGAGCCAGCTCTCAGTGAGATAGGATCATATCCAATTTCAAGATCGCTCACGAACATTGATAATCCACGGTCCAATACTCTGCGGTGCTTCTCACAGCGTCCTCCCCGTTCAAACATCACACCAAGGCACAACACCCGAACGGTACAAGGTATATTGTCGAAAAAATACCAAGTCCGCCGAAGTTTCGACATTTTTGCGCCTCATGGCAATACGAACAAAGTCCTTCAAGATGATAGAAGCCAGAATACTGAAGCAAAGCTCTGGAAGAAGAGTTCCGAAGAGGCCGCTTTTGATCCATTGAGAAGATCACATGGGTCTCGATGTGGCTTCACTAAACACAACGAATCATCCAATATCTTCGGCTCGAGTTCTCTTCAGCATAGCAGAAGAGGACTGGGAAACAAGGACGATTGCCGGGACGTAACAAAATGCGATATGTTCTCCGAGGATAGGATACCGATACAGGTCGAGGACACCTCAAACAAGGAAGGTCTACGAGTTTGTGCGGGCATGTCGGTGAGTGGCTCGCGTATGGCGGATGAGTATATGAATCAACCTATGAACCTGGCCGTGTCAACGATTGGTCCAGGTCACAAATACTATGAAGGATCTGTGGACGAAGCTATATATCAGCGTGTTGATCGCTTTACGGAGCAGCCTATGGCTGGGTCGAGAGTATCAGTCACGGACACGATTGTAGCTGTGCCACCTTCAAGCACAGGTGAAAAGACAATTCCCAAATCTGGAAAAAGGAAGTACATGGATCAACAAAATGTTACCACATCCCAATCGCCATTAAGCGAAAAGTTCCCAGGCGGGCCAATTGGCAGCAGGTCCCTCGACCAGGTACAAAATTCAGACATAGGTCCAGGTTTGCAACAAATAAGCTGTAAGAAAAGGAGACATGCAGGATCTATCGAGCAAACAGGAGATATGTCGGATCCGTCTGGTCATCTGAGCACAAGGAAAGTATCGCAGTTCGGAATGAAGCAAATCGTTTGCCATCTCTGTAGGATGCGGCGACGAAAGCTCTGCAAACATAGGAATGATTTAGTCGGCTATGGAGAAGACACACCGGAGCTAGAAGAGGACTCGATCGTATCACAGCAAGAATTGGTTTATGGTCACAATAATAGAACAATTGATATGAGCATCGATAGTGCACTTGACAAAGGTACTTTGATACAGGTATATACGGATCTTCCAAAGGGCATGCAAAACACCTTGCCAGGAAAGGAGAGTTTTCCATTATTGGACCCGGAGGAGCAAAGGCTTCCATTCAGTCTTACCAAGCCTGTTGATGCCGGGCAAATCGGTGACGAATCTGTCCGGCCAAGAGAATTTACGGATCTGTCCACAGGCTCCCAGGATATTCTAGGAGGAGGGGACAGTGATGCATCCCAATCATACCAGATAGGGACGGCAAGATCCGTGACAGGCCCAATTCGATAGGTAAAAAAGGAGGTCCTTTCGACCTAAAAGCTTGGGATTGGTCAGATTGGGTAATCAGGTCAAGTTTCGAGCTCCAACTTATTCTCATTGCTTTAACAGAAGCCCCAGACGAAGGTTTCACGGCGAAGCAGATTATCTCTACGGTGACTGGGCGCTATCGGAATCCCGCTAGTAAGACTCAGTTGACAGAGGCTGTGTTCCAGGAACTCCGGAGACCCGAACTCAAAATAATCATTTGCCTTCCTGGTAACCCAGACAGATTTAGACTACCTCTGACTTTCACAGAAGACGAATCAGAGATTTGTATCCTCCGGGCTCGTAAGATAGAGCTGATGGAAAGAGAGCTGATACTTGACACCCCTGAGGATCATATCGATACTGAAGAAGAGACGGCCTCAGATCCCGTTTATACACAAACAGAGAGTGCCTCAGATCCCTCTCAAGATCTGGAGCATTACAAAATGCCGGATTCACCGCCCCTTGATTTAGCAATACTTTCTCTGAGATATCACATGAGTGGTGCGCTCATGGACTCTGACCAAATCGATGATGACATGCTTGATGAGAATGAACATTTACAGCAGCGGTTGAAGCTTCTTACTCGACAGCCCCGCACAACTCTTGAACGCTGCAGACAGCTGGAGAAGGATCATGATCGAAAGCTACAAAATCGAAACGTAAGGTGCGAACGAGCGAAAGAGGAGGAGAATGAAGATGCTAAGAAATATTGTCGAGTGCTCTGTGACGAGCATGGACAGGGCGAAAAAGCTAAACACGAGCTAATGGGATGTAGTTGGGAGCTCGAGGAAGAGCCCGAACGACGTCAGAGCGCAAGGGACTCAATATCACTTGACTGCTCGTCCTCTAAAGCATGCCAAGATCATCCTATACCCCTGCCACGTTCACCGAGGTCTTCAAAAATGGTTGGATGGCATTACACTGAACCTAAGCCATTGACGCAGGTCGAGTTGGAGGCGAAGAAACGTGAGATCGCGATGCGGCCGAGTAAACGTGAAGCACGTAATGAACGATTAAGATCCTATTTAGGGCTTCCTTGAATGCACAGCAGAGGAAGAGGCTACGATATCTTTGGGGAGGGGGACTTACAGTTGGAGCAGAGCGTCTTTGATGCAGCTGCGTCACGAACCAGGTTACGCCATATCAAATTGGTGTTTATAGACTACAAGTGAGGTTTTCAACCACTTTTATGATCATATGATGGCATTGGTATATCTGCGTTATGCATTGCATTGGGTAGAGTTCGTTTGCATATGGGTTGGTCTTAGAAAAAGTTTTATTAGAGCCGGCAATATCACTAGCATATTTGCGACCTGCAGCTGGGCGTTTTGGTTGAGTATCACAAGGTCACTTTTTCCATGTCCGTCGTAATTCAGTAATGGCTCTAGATATGCGAAATTGCCGCACACGACCAGAAAACGCACGGAAGCTTCGCCTTGCAACCATCAGCCCTTGATCAGGTCTCCTAGTCTGTGTTCTCCTAGCCGCATTGATTGATCCATCGTGGCTAGACTGAAGAGGCTATCTGCGAGACCACAAGAAACCCACCGGTAGGCGAGTATTTGGATTGTCTTCACCCTTCCCAAACATGGGATGTGACCCTCTCTAATAGAAGAAAAGATATACATTCAGTTAGCACATGCCAGGTGTCTAGTATAGAAAGCTTTCTTAGTGGACGTTTCAAGCTTATTCTTTGTTATTCGAACCCGTACTAGCTGTTGGCTCAGGCGTCCTCTAATAATGAAACCCTCGAAACATCTGCACCATCATCGCACGGTGTCATCGTCTCCTCAAGATGTGGCGTAGTGGCTGCTCCACGCCATTTAAGTAAGTGTATCTATAATACTCATCAGAACGGCACTCGTGACGATATTAGACATAACAGAGAAAAAGTTATCATGTGATATGCCAGGAACAGGCGAGGAAAACCAAGAGGGAGATCCTATTCACCAGCACGGTACCGTCTGCCGAACGCTAGTGGGAACACCCGCCCCCTTGACATCATCCGCCTAATCCTGCCATAATCTTGTCCCAGGCCCGGCCTGAACAACAACCAACAATCTCCTCTCAACCCACAACTTGTTTCTCCCCATGTCTCGCATGTGTTGTCTCCAATCAGCCTGACATCCATCTGATCATCCCTCTTCACGGCCAGGATGTCAATCTTGTTTGCTGGAGATTGCACTCCATGCTGTGTCGCTTGTTGAGTTGGCCAAAAGAACAAGAGCTGGGATGACGCGTGGCGAAGCGACGCGTGAGAGGCTGAGGGCCGCACACGCACCACCAAGCACACTGAGTTCGCGGTATGACGACGCCAATCGCGGAACAAAGTCCTGCTTGTCCATAGAATTGCGAGGGAAGTGCAGGTTTTGCGCTCACTGGCACGATGACGGTGGGTAGGCAGAGGAGGATTTAAGCTGATGCCTCTTCTCGGGTGAAGTGATCATATCCTCACATTGTCACTGCGACTCTTTACACGTATCTCAGTTAAGCAGTATATTCATAAGCTTTTCCGTGTAAAGTGCCTCACACACCTACTCTCCTCTCCATCTCTCATACTCATCGAAATTCATAATCATCAACATACATCATGATTATCTCCCGCGCCGTCTCTCTCTTCCTCCGGTTCGCAGAATTTGTCTGCGCTGCCATAGTCCTCGGAATCCTCGCCTACTGGATTCATCAAGTTCGCGATGTCAACGGTGATCCCCGTGGCCGTGATATTTACACGCTCGTCGTCTCCGTTCTCGGAGTCCTTGCCGCCCTCGCTCTCCTCATCCCAACCACCTCGAGCTTCATGCATGCTCCTGTCGACCTTATTTTCTCCGCTCTATGGTTTGCCGCCTTTGGGCTTCTTGTGCAAGGTCTGAACAACGATGCTTGCGGTGGAACGTTCCAGTGGGGCGTGATTCGTGCTGGTGGCTTTTGTGGCCAGTACAGAGCGGCGGAAGCCTTCAGCTTTCTAGCTGCAATTTTTTGGTTCACTAGCTTTCTACTTAGCTTGTGGGTAGCGAGGAAAGCGAAGAGTGGTAATGTTGTAGTTGCTGATGGCCACCGGTAAGCTTCCCAATCTTGATAGGATTATCTGTCACTGACCTTCACTTAGTAGCCGTCGTCGCTGGGGTCGCCGCTCTGCGGTCTAGGCTTGTGATTGTGTCTGTTTTGTATAAGTACTCACAAGTTGCACAAGTAAAGTCTCAACGGTGGGCGTTGGATTCTGGATTCTCTTCAGCGTACTATATGCCGGTTCTCTACGATCGTGTTGTAGCATGCTTTCTTGATCATTTTGCCATGGTAATGAGCTCAATAATACTTCATGTCTTCAGCAAAACATGCCTACATTAGTATTACATTCCTTCATCCGCTTCTTGTCTTTGCCGTTCCAGAGGTTCATCCGGTCATACCTCCTTTTACAGCCATGTCGACCTTGACCACATCGCCTATGTCATGACCCAGCTGCTCGATCTTGTATGTTGTGCTTCGCATTATCGGCTCGCCAATGTAACGATGTCTCATGCCTATGAGCTCCCCCAGAAGTCTATTACTCGTCTCTAGTTGGTGACAAGCTGTGCTATTTCACCATACATTGGCAGACATTTTCCTGAAGGCGGCGTTACTGATCTCTGTGTTTTCGTAATTCGTTCTTTGTGAGCCTTTCAATATCACATTTCACCTCCTTGTCTGTCCATGGTGATCCACCCTCATTACACAGTAATAGTAGACGATGTATTCGAAGCGCGTCTGGGATGACCCGCGCATTGCTAGAAATGTTACCATTCTCCGGCATGTACTATTGACACTGCCACCCGTGAATTACGTTGCAAGTTCAGAATAACCAAGGATAGTCTCCAGCGTTGCACAAATGGTTGATCTAAGCACAGATGTACGGCCGACCCATAAAGTCAGCAGCCAGAGGCCATAGACAAGCATTTGTCGGCACACTAATAAAGCTTAGCAAAGGCTTGCCTGATGCATTGTCAGCCTCAACGTTCACCGACACATCAAAGCCCCTTGTAGCCATTCGAATGGTCGTTGGCTGCGTACTGTACTCACTTCAGCCCCAGCGCTAAACCCGATTTGGGTCTATCCACGAGCTGTCTAGTGTGTGCTAAAGTGGACTGTCGATCCTCAACTTTTAAACTGTCTCGCTAGAACCTAAACTTTCCCATGCATCGTAGGCCGCTAAACCACATGCAGACCTATATGCGATATCCCAAAATCCTCCTGCTGCGCCACTGCAGATGGTCTGGGGTTTTCCGACGAGCAGTCTTGCTGCCTCAGCTATGTCATGTAGTACCCTTCAGCCTATCGTTCCGTATACCCACTCTCTGTCGTTTACTGATGTAGAGCTGTTGGGTGGAGGGCTCGCACATTCATCTGGAAATGGAATAGTGGTGGGTCGGGGCTGTGTGTCTAAGATATGCGATCATCTCTATCCATCCGCTGCCATGACGAGATGCATTCCTGAGACTGTATAAGACCGTTCACACGTCCAAGTAATCTTGTCTCGACATTCAAGCAATATTCTATATAGCAGCATCTTTACATTGCTCGTCGCTCCTGCAGCATTAATTGAACATGGTCAGCTACCGCGAAGGGGTCGCTATCCTCCAAATCATCTTCTACTTTCTTTGCGTCCCCCTTGCATTATTCCTCTGCAAGCGCCATGGCTTTGCCAAGTCTTCTGGATGGTACTTCTTGATCCTATTCGTGCTGTTCCGCCTAACAGCTGGAATATGCACACTCATCTACACGCAAGCGGTCGGGAATGGCGATGGGACAACGGCGACGAATGCCGTGACGGGCGCCATCGTATGTAACAGCACAGGTCTCTCACCACTCAATCTAATACTTTTGGGGCTTTTAAGCAGAGTGTGAGTTGCCTTTGGTGGACAACTTGTGACGCGATAGCACGACTGATACGTAGTCGCAGGAACGATCATATCGCTGAAGGCACAGGGAAGGTTCCGCCTCGTGTGTTCAAGCTCATCGGTCTAGTTTCACTGGTAGGCCTGATCCTCAGTTCGTCCGGTGGCTCATCAAGCACCTATCATGATGACGGTAGTGTCACAATCGCTACGACCTCAAAGGCTGCCCTCATCATGTTCTTCATCATTTTCATCGTCCAAGTCTTCCTTACGATCTATTTCCAAACTCGTTCCCGCGCAATCGACAAGGGCGAAAAGAGACTTGTACTGGCGGTCGCTATCTGCAGCCCTTTCCTAATCATCCGTTACGCATACCAATTCGAATACACCTTCACCGGAAAGCGGAAGTGGAGCTCTACGTTTGGTGATGTAACGCTGTTTCTGATCCTTTTCGTTTTGACGGAAATCATCGTTGTTACGACGTGCATCGCCGTAGGTTTAACACTGCGCAAACGACCTGCAACGGCTCAAACGCACGATGAGCTAGCGGAAAGCGGAGCATCGGCTGATGAGGTTGAAACCTCCAGAAGACAGGCGCAGATCAAGAGGCGAAAGGCTCGTGGCCCGATCTCGTGGCTGTATTACACCATACAGGAGAGCGTGAAGAACAATTCGAAGAGTTCGCAGCAACCACATCAGGTAGAGGGCTATAGCCATAAGTGAGATCAGGACCATGTTGATCAAAGATCGGGTCGAGAATCATACGCCGAGTGATGGCGATCATAGATAGATAAAATCTTCGCGCTTGTGACAATGTTTTTGGATACCAATTCGGCGAGTTTGGGGGTCATTTGTTGTAAACCGCGCACATAGATGACATATCATATAGACGAATCAGGATTACATCACCTTCTGTTCAAAAGCCATGCTGTTCGCAGGGATCCACGATCGCCTAATGAACCTCGCCACTGAATCGCGAGCTGTCCAAGTACTGTTCGTTGATCACCAGGAGGCAATTTCGGCACCGGAGCAGAAATACCCTCGGACGTCGCATCAATCGATTCTAGTGCTTGTTCTTCCAGGAGAAAGGCGACCTGTAGGACATCTCGTGGATTCAGAATTGGATTATGCGGTACCGCTGATGCGGCTGGATGAGACGGGAAGTCCCAATTCAATGAAGTGGTTTTAAATATCGGGTTAGGATTGATCGTGACGGCCTGTTTCGTGTCAACGTTGGGTGGGGATGCCATTACATTCAACGCGTTCACTTACCTCTAGACTAAGAGCAGCATGTCCCATGTTCTCCAACTGTGCCTCTAATGCATATCTCTCTCGCTCGATCTTCTTCTCACCCGTACCCTCTATTAACGGCGGAAGATCGCCTGCTTTCGTCCTGACATTCAGGAGTTGTTGCGCAACAAACTGATACAGTTTTCGGAATGTCCGTACTCTTCCACCACTGGCACCGCCTCCTCCAGCACCAAGCCCATCGCTCGATCGAAGGATTTCTGAGTATGTAACTGTCACGGCGAGTACATGGTTTCCCTCCTCACTGAGCTCATACTTGAGCACTCGCTGTACGCTTTCACCCGGTCCTGCGTCTTCGCCTGTCCCTTGTAACGAAAGCCCTATTCCATTCGGTTGTGCGGGAGTCTGGATCTCTGCCGTGATCCTTATGCCAGAGACGCTTAGCGAAGCATTCGGCGAGACGGCTGACGGGAGCTCATTGTTCGCGCATAATGTACATGCGAATGTTTCGCCCACATAAGCTGCGCCGAAAGAGGACGGTAACTGCAGGTTCTCGCCGATCGTAAAAGGCGTCGCGTCTTGATCTGGCGCTGAAGGATATGAGAGAGAAGACGATATAGGTATCGAGATATCTGACTCAGTCGATCGCGGGAGAGGATATTGGTCTGGGAGAGAGGGCCGGGCCAGCCTATACTGTGGTCAGAATATGCCACCGAGGGCCGTAGAAGAAAGCCTACCTGAGAACTTTGAGACTGACAGAATGGGGATGCTTAACACCTTCTGCTGTGGACTGGGTCCTTTGGTGAGCCATAACGATGCATTAAAAAGCAGATCCAAATTGTCATGCAAATGCAATATCTTGGGTGCAACCCTATTGACAAGTATCATACCCGAGCTCCGAAACTTTAGCAAATTCATAGATACGAATGCCAAGACATGCCTAACTATGAATACCACTTCTGCTCTCAAGTCTTCAGCACTCCTACATAAAATTCAAACTTATAGGCCTATCAACTAGATAATGAGCGCTGTCAAAAAGGACACCCTGCCGCTGACGCGGTCTGCTCACCTTGTCCTTGTGTCCGACACGCCAAAAGGTAATCCATCTACACTTTCACACTAACTCATCATCGTGCCTATCCTGCTGCGATCAGGGACTACATCGCTCAGCACTCATAAAGAAAACAGACTTCGCTGAGACATAATCAGGCAGAGGTGTTTTCGCGCAACAGAATATAGACGCACACACCGTTATAGAAACGTGCCCAGTCTTAGTCCTAGATCCAGTCGAAAATACAGAGCATATAGAGCATACAACATTGTATCACTATACTTAGTACGTGCATGGTGCTTTATGTCTGCGGTAGATCTGATGAGTGTCACTGACACACTTATATAGCAATTGGCCCATGAAGACTGCTAATGGCTCGGTGATTACCACACAAGCCGTTGTCTTTGGGCTAGGCTCTATGTTCAACCACTCTCACGACCAGAATGTAGGCTGGGAAAGAAACGTAGAGAAGCAAGTCGTCACATACAAGACGCTTCGCAGTGTCTCTGCGGGTGAAGAGCTCTGTAGGTTAAGCTTGTGCGTCAAAGGTTTCTTTTCACTGACAATACGAGGTATATCTTACGGCTCACATTTGACATTCAAAGATGTCTCTGCACCACCAGAAGAGATAGAAGAGCCACACGAGATGCTGAGCAAAATACAACTCGATTGATTCATTAGGACCCAAGTTGAAAGCCACGCTGTTTGATCGACGATCATGATACTAAAGAAAGTCAAAGTGCTCCTCCCATTTTAGAAGCCGCTCGAGCATGTCTCATCATATCATAGACCATCTACATCCCACATCCCAAGACCAGGTAACGCCAGTGCACCAAGTTTAATACAGTATCCATATATATATGCCCTGCTGCTCAATTCACCGCTGTCGGCTCGCGAGTCTCAAGGCTTGGAGCAGAAGGCGTTTGGCTCTCTTCCTCAGTCTTGGCTCCGTCACGAAGATCGGTCGCCAATTTGACGCATTCCTTTACCAATGCATCAAGAGCTTCCTGTCCATCAGGTGCGTCTCCATTGACCATGAACTTGCCATCCACCCGGGTGTTTTCGATGGAATTGAGCTTCATACTGTATGGGTAAAGCTCTTGAGGACTGGATACACCTCCCGCCTTCCCAACCTGGATCAGACAGTCCTTCAGAGTCTTCAACTGATTGTAGACAGGTAGCAAGGCGGACGAGACTGGTTCCGAAGAAACGATCAGATGGTAAATGAGAGCGTAACTCTTTCGGATCAGGTACAAGAGCGTCTAGCGATGGTTAGCGATGAGCCATTCCGAATGATATGCAGCGCGTCTCACCCTCTGAGCGTGAAGGTCTGCAGGGTTTCCATTGGCGTCAACAAAGTTGCCATTGACTCGAGTGTCGTCGTACTTGTCCAATGTGCGCTGGTAGCCATATAAATCTGTCTCTCGAATCGACCACGTTGAGCAGAGAACCAGATTCTCTAGCTTATTTCGGACATTTACCAGTTTTTCATAAGGCTCTTGAAACCGCTCGTCGATCTTTCCTTGCCTATGCAAGGTTAGTGTAGCTCAACGAGACCCATGTGTACATACCTAGCTGTGATAATTTCGGCCCATAAGAAGCATCGATATAATAGCTCGTTGATTAAGGCATCTGCAGGTCGAGGTCCACACTTCTGTTCTTTCTCACGATTCTCCGTGAGAATAGTGGAATATATCTCTTCATAGGATCTTCCGGTGGTGTCGACTTTGTGTTCCACCTTCATGTTCTCTTCGATCTCTTTTAGCTGTGATACAAAAGCATCAACCTCTTTCTTCGGGAACTGCTAAGCGTTAGCGATGTCGGGAATCCTCCTTTAGCCTCTTACAGTCTTCTTAGTGTTCAGATTCGACAAGGAGCGAAGAATCGAGACCAGCGTCGAATAACACTTTGAGTCTTCTGGTGTCAAGTTCGAAAGACTTAAATATAGGTCATCCAAGGTCTCTTGGCAGATGTCTAGGCGAGCATCGAGCAGGATAATCAACTCGGCATCATGACTATCTTCACCCTCCGCGCAGCATCGTCGGTAGCGTTTCAACGTCTTGCTTATTCCGTCCAAGTCCCCACGGCAGAAGAATGCAGCTTCCTTCAAATGATCTAGGAGCCTCTTTATTGTAGAAACGGCAGCATATCTAGGAGCGTTATCAGTCGTGTAACTTCTACTTCGGAAAGTGGTCCATACACTGCTGGAGGTTCGCACGTCTTCCCTGACGCAAGGAAGGACAGTGAAATGAGACGGAAGCAGTCATCAAGAATGTGATCGACTGTGTAATTACCACTCGTCAGTTCACTGTAACTAACGCCTTTCACATAATGGCTTCAGTACCTCTATTTTGCTCATATCTCTTTTCCCTGCGAATCTCATTTAATATCTTGACCTGCTTGATCACTTTCTCATAGTGTGGAATTATGTCTTGGCTCTTGATGTGCTGGCTTTTGTCATGCCTAAGCAGCTCCAACTCTGTGCGGATGTTGAGAAGGGCGTCCAGAATAGGCGTCTCGTTCGGGTCTTGCGGCACGCTGACGGCGGGAGAATCACTCATGGTCGATTACTGCGCACAGTATGTCTGTCGGTAAGAAGACGATGTCGCAAGATCAGCTACGTGACTGCAGTGAGAAGGGTAGACGAAAGGCAGAGTCCTTAACGGCAATTGCAGAAAGCTGGGGATGCCAACACGATCGCAATGCGGCTTCCGGGGTTAATCAGCAACGAAAGAGTGGTCGCGGCAACGGGCTGCAGGGAGTGCAGCACAGGATGGATCCATAAAGCCGAGGGGCTCTTACAAACTGACGTCGCCCCTCCGAGTCGCCGATCGCCACGCAAATGCGGGGGTCGAAAAGTCTCGCTTCGGCGAAACCTTTGGCCGATTCCGGCCACACACTACGCTTACGCCCTACCAAAAACACCCCAATCCGGGATTAGCACACCGACCTGAAAATCGCACGAACGTACTTCAACCTCGACATCACAACACCGTCGATTTTCCGCAGAATCAGTCACAATGTCCAACGCTGAGCTAGCATCTTCATACGCCGCCCTAATCCTCGCGGATGACGGTGTCGAAATCACTGTACGTCCGTCTTATCAGCATATTGTCCTGTTATCACAGAGTTGCAACTGCGACATCACGTCAAAGAATTGCGCAAACCAGGAATTGCATTCGCTGACAATTTTACACAGGCAGACAAGCTCCAAACTCTCATCAAGGCCGCAAACATCGAAGACGTCGAGCCGATATGGACATCCCTCTTCGCCAAGGTATACATCTTCCAGCAACGCAACCACTGAGCAGAAAAGTAACATCGTCTAGGCTCTTGAAGGCAAAGACGTAAAGGACCTGCTTCTCAACGTTGGCTCTGGCGGAGGTGCCGCCGCTGCTCCAGCTGCCGGTGGTGCTGCCGCCGCCGGTGGTGACGCCGAGGAGGCCAAGGAGGAGGCTAAGGAAGAGGGTATGTTCATTTCCCCACTCCATCTCGCATACATACAAGACGTCACTTGCTTACAAACCTACAGAGAAGGAAGAGTCGGACGACGACATGGGCTTCGGTCTGTTCGACTAAGCGCATTTCCTTTGTATCCCTCCCTCACCAAACCCCTTGTTCAAAACCTTCCGAATTTCAAAGAAAGCTACGAAATGCATGTGGGATCCGGCTGCTCAGGCGTCAAGTCGTGGATGCAGATTTAGACGGTTAATACCAATATAAAAATCCGATATCCTCGACACAAAAATCGATGCTATACGGCGCAACGAAGACGTGAAATGTGACAGAAAGCTGTAGAGATGCTCGACTCTCATAAGAAGGCACGTGAGATAACGGAACAGCTGATATTTTGGCACAACTCAGATGGCGTAACGAACGTGGAACTTTGTAGTGTTCACTAAGATGTGCAGATCGAAAGACCTTAGTTGACTCGTCCTACTCATGTCCATCGACCCTACGTACACTCGTGCGTCTGACTCAATTAGAGCGGCGCGACCAGCGCCATTGCCACTCCAGTTTCCCCGTATAATACAAATAATCAGACATTAATCCTAATTCCCAAGCTCATCCAAAGCGCCATATAACCAAAATATTCCCCCACCCCTATACCCTCCGCTGCGTGTTACTCAGCAGTCGATCCGCCCGTTCAAATACCAAACTCGTCCCTGGAAACCCGGCCTGCATCGGCAACGTCGGAATAATGGACGCACTGTTGTTTGGCGCACTCATACCCAAAGCCTGCGCACCGTTGGGCACCGTAGCCTGTACAGCCGCGCCCAGCGCCGCACTCAACGGCGTCGCAGGCACCGGTGTGACCGTGCCCGTCTGTAACCCATTATGATGAACAGGGGCATGATTAGTTGCTATTGTCGTATTTATTGGATTAGGGGCCGGCATAAATCTACTTGTGCCGTTTGACGCGAGAGAGACACTTGTTCCGGGGCGGGAGATAGGGGCTGTGAGATGTGAGCTAGCTGAGCTGCCCATGGTGTTGTTATTGATGGAGATTTCGGGGGCAGGGAGGAGTTGAGCAGTTTGCGGGGTCATGCGGGACCAAGGAGAGGCGTTGATTTCCATGGAAACGTCCTTTACGGCCTTATGAATGGGCTTCAGAGTACGGCGGAGATCAGGGATTGTGGCCACATGGGCATTTTCGACAACAAGAGTAGCGAAATCTCCCCACATCTATGAGATTAGGTCAGTGGCAATTGCTAAGAAGAGAGTGCATGAGCTTACCTTGCAGAACCCAGTAGCCTGTTGCCAGAAGTCTGGTTGGTTACGAGCGAGCACATCCCTAAGTTTAATGGCTGACATTCGGCGGTTGAGCATGTCAGTCACGGACAGGATGTCATCGCTTTTCTGGACGAGCTCAGCCAAGACACGAATTTTCGCAACAGGCGGTATCATTTCGGATTCCGAGGCTATCCTATGCTTGTGAAATAGATGTCGGTAGTTAGGCAGAATTCTTGTGATCCTCTCTGTAGCTGTTTTGAGCTTCAGAAAGATCTTTTCGAAGGATGTTTCCTCGTTTGCTTCATGATCATTCTGATATGCGGTATTCCTGGTACTGAGTGCTGCGAACGATTCTCCAGACCGTGGCGTTACGCCGCGGTCAATGCTTCGTGTATTGGTTCGACTATGATTGTATCCATGCACAGACCCTGGCTGAAGTGTAGAAGTTGGATAGGCGTCGTAGCTACCATTGTTGGTCCTCCGTCGTGGTATGTCTCGCTCCATGGATGCCACATTTGAAGATGAGCCACGTTTGCTAGTAACTGTCTGGTTGCTATATCGTATAGGAGGTTGCATCATAGATTCCAGATTCGCCCCAAGCACAGAGCATGCGTTGCGTATTTCAGCAGTACTACCCTGAATCAACAGCATCACAGTCCGAAGTAGTCGAGGGTCAGAGCTTTGATAGATCTCCTTTGCACTGTCATATATTGATACAAACAGCAACATGTACTTCTGTATGCTGTCGATCAAATATGTGCGAATCTTGGCCGAGAGGTTTGTTGCGTCGTCGTCGTCCTCTTCTGCAAGGGTATCAAATTGTTGGAGATGTGCACCTAGCTCACGTATTCGCCCATCGGCGTCTTTTAATCGCCTGTTTAGATGCATCTGTCTTTCAAGTCCATTGTCTGCTCTTGAAAACTTGAGATTGCGTGTGATTTGCACTACTGGTGCGTGAAGTTGGGATATTGCGTACAACACGGTCTTGGAGGCTTCAACGACGACGTCCGGTGCACGAGATCTTCTTTTATGTTCTAGTAAGTCGGATAGAGGCCTGTGGGTGATTGTTCGCTGGGAGGCACCGTCCATAGACGAGAAGCTAGAGTTTGCAGAAAGCACAGCAGAGCCAGGTAATGTGCTACCAGAAAGTGACATCGCAGAGCTTTGACTTGAAGTTCGAGAGTGATCGGCGGTTTGCTTCCGTACTTCGTCAACGTTTCCAAGTTCAGACACATTTTTGATAATCAATCCTCCCCGCTTTGCACGAATCGTCGCCGAATTTGCACCCTCGCTCGAGCTTCGATTCCGTTCGTTGCTTGTTGCGAGCGGAGATATGATAGGTCTTCGGCCGTTGGTGCTCTGCTGTGACTGGCCACGGTAATGGGATCGCACGATATGGTATGGAGGCATGCCTGGTGATTCTGGCTTGGATAGTGCGTCAAAAACGTCTAGCCCACTTATGCTTGGTTTGACGGGAAATCTACCGCTCATCATCCGCTTTGCAGGTCGGGGAGTATCGACAGTACTTTCGCTATTGTTTTGTTAGTTGAAAGCTGAAAGGTTTGAAAGTGCGAGAGGAAGGGGGTCACTGACCTTGAATCTCCCTCTGACTCAATGCGTAGTCTTTCACGAGTTGCAATTTGCCTCAGGTACCTCTTGACCTGTGTGGTTATGACGGCGTCCTTTTCGTTCTCATTCGAGGGTGCAGGGGCATCTTTCTTGATTGTACATATATCGTGTGGCGGAAACGTTATAGGATTGCCGTCGAGCTTCAAGACCTGCAAGCTTCCTATCTCGCCCAGGCACAACGGTAATTTTTCAATTTTATTTCTCTGGATGGCTAAAACTTTGAGGGAGGTAAGGTTGGCGATCTCGTCTGGTAAGACTTTTATTCTATTTTTGCTGACGTCGAGAATCTCCAGTGAGAAGAGTTGCAACACCTGTGGCAATCAATTAGTACTCTTAGCTCATCTGTAATGCATGTCATATGTCTTACTGATGGGGGCAAGTCTCGCATGGAGTTATATCGAACATTGAGGTACCGCAGACGATGACATTCTGACAGCCTGGTAGGGAGCACGGACAAATGGTTGTGCGACAGAGCAAGTCTGTTGACAATCAGTATTTCCAGGCAACAAAGCCATTAGGATATTTCAATCTCGCCTTTCAATCTCATCCTTAATAATATCAATCACCTCCTCTGGTAGACGCGAAATGCCTTTGTGACCCAAATCGATTGTGATGCCGGGTTTTTGCAAGTCTTTCGGTGTCTCTTCTTCGTCCACCCGTCGCGTCTCCTCTCGCGCAGATTCGATAGCTTCTCTGGCGAGACCTACAACCTCGTCGTCGGAGACGGTTGGACGGGAAGGCTCGTCGCTCATCGTTGCGATCGCGTTCGACGGCTCGATATGATGCTATCTGGTTGAAGTCGTGATCATTATTGCGCTGTAATTATGCCGAGATCTTCGCTGTAGTCGGTGTTATAACCACCTGGGTTGTGGCCACAATCGTCCCTGCGAGCGCGAACAGCTGGATGCTGAGTTGAAGAGGTGTAGGTCTGAGGTCGCTGACGACACATGCAAGTCCCTCTGACATCGGTCTCATCTTTTTACCCCTGCGGCGTTGGACCGGCCAGGAAGGGGAAAGTGTGACTAGCTGCCCCTCAAAAAACGGCCGGCTAGCTATCTTTCGGTGTGCTAGCCGCCCGCGCTTGGTGGGACTTTGTGGGCACATCGACATCGCGGCGATCGAACATAAGCTTCGTGGTGTGTTCTAGAAATTTCAATTACATTGACCAGACAGACATATATCAATTATTGCGTTCACAACAAGATGTGCATCGTTGGGGCTGTCCAGATGCTGGAGAGCCAAAAGCTATATGGAAGATAAGCAACCAAATTTGAAATAATCAAACATTCAGACTCGATAATCTTGGGGCTTTCCTAGCAAAAACGGAGTAGACATTCCGTTCGCGCTATCGCTGAATGTTACATCAGAACAGGTACCGAAAGAAACGCCGTGATGAATCTAGAGATGTTGCGAGCCAACATGCTAGGAGTATTTCTCAAAGTCGACCTTCTTAGCTCTTTCACTATGACCGCTCACATCAATACGCACGCTAGTTCTCGTTTCCAGCGCCGCGGTGTCTAGATCCCACCCCTTCACCCTCAATTCTGCTACCCATTCCATGAACTTGCTGTTCAGCTGCTCCAGACTCTGACGTAAGCGTTCAAGCACCGCGTCCTCTGCAGACGATACAGTCTCAAGTTTCACTTCGCTCTTCGTCACAGGCTGTTTCTCTCGCTGTTGGTGACGCATATGCTCAAGCAAACATGCGTGCCACCATGCCTTGATCTGGTCTATCGGCGTACATCCGCGCTTGAGAATGATGAGGTAGGTGTTCGTCGAGGGGTGTGGCCACAGGATGTAGTTTTGTGAGTCGAAGACTTCGAGGAGGGTGGAGATAGAAATCCGGGGAAAGTGAGACAGGGTTGCTTGGTTGGCTGGAGCGAGAGAGGAGAGAAGAGTGATGAGGGGGACGCCGATGTGTGCTTTCGCTAGACGCTTCGAGGTTGAGGATGCTGTTACTGCAGAAACAGGGAGAAATAGTGTGGAGGACGGATAGAAGATGTATTCGCACGCAGCAATGTGAGCAGGGCTGGGTACCCCCATGGAAGCATTTTTGGGAGCAATTAGATGCTGGAAAACCAGCCCAGCCCGCTGTCGATTCAAGGTTCGCATGCAAACTGCTCGTACCGCTAAGGTGTTGAGCATCAAATGCAGCACTAGAAGAACGATCAGGGACGCCCATGTTGCGAGCGGCGTCGTTATCCTTGACACGACCAGAGAACCGGCGAGCATGCCCAAAAGTGAAATCACAGTTTCCTGACTGGCGTCCTTCTGCAGCTCGTTAGCTTCATGAGGAAAGTAATACTCAGCGTTGGGTAGAAGGGCTGACCGCATTCAACTCTCCCAAATTTCCCCACCTCGCAAAATGTGCACTGAGGCTCGCCTTTGCGCTGCCGGCCGCAACGCCGCATAGACTTCGAAGCATACTGCTTGCGCTGAACACGATAACTCGAAAGGGCCGGGGGAAAATAGGACTTAGACAATCTAGGACCATGGCCGCATCGTTAAATACGTCGGCAGCGAGGCGATATGTTTTACATTCGGGTTCAATGGCTTTGCCCAAGCGGTGCGCGAACAGGATAGTAGTGATGCGGCCAGCAGCTTCTTGCAGTATAGATAAAAGAATGGCGTAGTTTGGAGTCGTACTTGCATCGCCGACACCAACACCTATGATATTGTTAATCTGGTTCGTGCGACATCGAAATGAAGGCTCTACCTTCAAGAACAGCACGATTGGACAGTAAGCCGGCGATTGAGCTTGCGAAGGCTTGGAGTGAGTCCTTGAATGGTTTCAGCAGCTTGATATCCAATATGAACTCGCATTGTTACATAAATCTGATATCTGACGAATATATCAGTATTGTATATGTCGTGTACTCGCATCTATACATACTCTAAGTAGTCCTCTGTTACACTATGTGGATAGCCTGCGGGAAGGAAGACATCGAGTAGCTTCTGCCATGGGGATTTGCCGTCGTTCGGAAACTTTGAGAGTTTTGTAAGCATGCATTGAACCAGGCGACATGTTCAAACCTTACAATGACATCTATTCTGGTCTTTCCTTCATTGTTGATGGTTTCAACATATGTCGAAGTCAACTTCCCAGCTTCATCTAGCTCGTATATTTCTGGCATGATGAAGTGGTGCAGCAAAGGCCAAATGATGATGGATGTTCCGGACGGACCAGTCACTACTAGCAGGGTCGCGTTGGGCTAAGCAAGAAAACTTTACATGGGTCCACCGATGCGTACCTCATGTTTTGTTTATGGAAACCCGTCATAAACAAAATCTATGGTATTTGAAATGCGATGCAACATCTTCTGCGTTATTATTAATGAAATAACAAGGCAGACATAGACTTATATGACATATCTCAAGCAGACCCGATACGAAATATGTACACGACCTAAGGCTATTCGATTGATGATTTATATTGGCTTATGATGAAGTGGGCAGAGATGCCATACCAATCACTCCTACGGTATGATAATTGCACAATTCCTCGTGTCTACAGCCTTGAAAGCGGAGCAGAAACCTGTCGCCGAAAGAGCACCACGTGGTTTATCTTCGCCTCAAATCCTGAAAGGGTACATCGTATATGCCATATGATGAGTAAATAACAGAGAGAAAAAACCAGCACCGGAAAAGCCATATATGCAGTCGTCAGATCATCAAAAATATTGCTAGAATATAGCCTCGCCAATGAGCCGATATATAACGCCGATAACAACAGTACCGTCAGGCTGCATGAATGCCACACCAGACGGAAGGCCGGGTGAGATGAGGTTCGCGGGTGATGGGAAATGATGATCGGAAGAGGAGTGGTGTGTCGGCAGTTGTAGGCAGGATGATCATTATATGCTCGTAAATGTGTGCAGTCTCATGTATGGGATGAGAGATTCAATGCAAACGGGATCTCCCAGCGTGCTGCGTGGTTTCGTCATGGGTGACGAGCGGCGCAGCAGTGTGACTGAAGGTGGGAGGTCCTGATGCCCAGGAGACGGTTCGACGGAAAAGGCCCGGTTCTGGGTAGCTCACTTAAGTCAAGCAGGCACGCCAGGTTTTCGAAAATGCTGTAACGGTGCAAACCTCCCAGATGCTCGCATAACTGCGAGCGGGCGTACTCATTTCTGAAGCCCAATGCAATGCAGATGGGTTGATCATAATAATAACAAGAAGTGAAAGAGTGAGACCGTATTTCGATCCACCGTTCGACCCTTTTGGATCTAGACATTACGCCCATCACTCTTCCATGCGATCGGCAGCCTCACTTTCTTCTCTGAGTTGACCCCCGCTTCGTTTTCTCCAACCCAATTTGCTCGACACTCGTTTCCATTGGTTGGCCGTCGCATTAGCTAGGCTCGCATGATCTCCACGGGTGCTCCGTGGGCTACTGTTCGCACTTGAGATGTAGCCGGTTTGGGTGGTGGTATGAGGATGACTGCTGTTGTATAGCTCTGCAGCCCACCCACCACCGTATTGTTCACTCATTGGGGGCGTTGTTGGTGGTGTCATTGGGTCATTTGATGGTGAAACGCTCCCAGAGTCGTCCGTAAGCGTCTCTGATCCAGAGGCGTTGCTGTGAGTAGATGCAAACCGAGCCGGACCAGATGCAAATCGAGAGTGTTGCGTAGCAGGGCCTAGAGAACGGGAATAAGTAGCAGGCGCTGATGCACGATTGTAAGCATGTGTCGGTATCGAGGTGGCTTGTGATGTCGTTTGTCGCACATGTTGTTGAGTGTGTGCGGTAGCGTAATAAGCCTGAGCATCGTACTGCTGTGTAGAGGTGTCGAGGTTTTCGTCAGAGGAGTTAGCCTGAATGCCACTAGCTGGACATTGGCTGTTGAGAAATGGTACCAGAACAGATTCTTCCATGAGCTCATATACCATGCGAACCGCAGTGTCTAGAACAGTCGGATCCGGTGGTAGAGCCGAATCAGCTTGCGCCTGACGGAGAAGATGATCTCGTGTTTCCGCAGGTAAATTCACTTCGCGGTTTCCGCCAGGTGCAATGTAAGCGTCGACTAATCTTCTCCACAACTTTTTGACGTTGGCACCTTCGTCACTTGAGAAGGGTTTTCGATTGACCATTTTAGCATAATGTTTCTTGTATCGTGAAGCGTCCATGGTGAATTCCAGTGTTTCAAGACAATGTTTGCGAGATAAGTAGGCCATAAAGTCGGCGAGCGAATATGGCGATTGTGAGGTATTTGCTAATATTTCGGACAGATTCGGTCTCCTTGTGCAGTACGGACCAGACGATGTGGACCGCGGTATTGACACGGTCAGAGGTCGAGTGGAAAGGTATTCGGTAGCCATCTTGGGCTTGTACCGAGTTTCTTCTTCCTCGCTACTCGACTCGTAGACGGCGGTGGAAGTGGAGAAGGAATGGGAAGATTTGGATGATATTGTCTTGATCTGCAGCGAGGGCTTGTTGGATTTCCGATGTGGCATAACGGATCTCCACAAGGTACGATGGGTCCGGCCGGCGGTCTCTTCGCTGTCGTTAGAACTAAAGCAAACGCAAAGCTGCAAAGGCCGCGAACGGCTGTTTTGAGAAGCCACGGTTGCGGATAACCAAGATAAAACGATCGAAAGAGCGCGATTGCAACCAAAGGTAACAATGCAGAGTGCAGTGTAAGTGATGTTCTGTTATATTACCAGCTCATTGGCTTCGACAGTGGTGCAACGCCTGGAGAGAGTGGTAGGCACGGGAGCTCTATAGGCGTTACGAACGAACGAGTAAAGGGCTACACTCTGCGTTCCTCGCACAAGACGTCTCGAAAAGGCGCGTTGCAGTATTGAGAATGTTTGTGTAGCAGAGCTAAAGCAGCCGTTGCCTGACAAACGAGATCTGATGACTACTCTTCTCGATATTGGTTTCCTAACGCTTCCTTATATGATACTGTGGTCAATCCCACCTGACTTTATGAACTATTGTGCCAGGTTCTGGTAGGGTTGAGACGTCAAAGAATGCTGAATGTATCGACGATGTTCGACTAGTTGGTGGGATCTGTAATGCAAACACGGTCGAGGAATGTGAATCGAGTCTCCGGTGGCTTCAGGAATGTCGGTCGATGTATGGGGATGCTGTTACGATCTTTGAGCGAAAAAAAAAACAGACGAGTGGAATTGTCGTCAGAGCGATGATGAGAGCGGTTGACCAGACGAAGTAGTGTAGTGTAGGGTGGTGGCGCGGCAGTGGAAGGAAGCAGGGAGGCAGCGGTACCAGGATTGATATGGCACTTAAGATGTGTGTTCGATCCAAGGAAACGAGGGATTGATGGTACAAGGATGTATGGCGTGAGGGACGAGAGAGAAAGAGAGATAGAGAGAGGAGGAATGGTGCAAGCGTGAGGCAGACAAGACAGCGACAAGAGAGAAGCTTGGGAGGAGAGGATAAGGTGTGAAGTGTGGGAGCGTGCTTGGGGGAGGAGGATTTCGGGTGACAAGGGCGGAGCAGAGAATGCTTCTGCGTCGCTTTCTAGCGCTTCTAAAAGAACGCCAATCACTCACTCCACTGCCTCCTCCAACCCCCTCCCCCCCCCAAAACATGTCGTCCGTTGCCCACGCCCACTCAGCGGAAACAAGGCCTTGTTCTGACAGACAGGTTTGGCTTACGCTGAAGCACGGATGGTGATAGGAGGTAATAAAGGCTACAAGGAGCATAGCGTCGATGGGCGCACACCGGACAGCTGATCATCTACCGTGATTAACGCTGACAATACAGACGTTCTGTAAGTAGCCAGCAGGGCATCTGTCCCTTACGGCCATGGCAGATCTCATGCACTAGAAGGCTAGCAGAACACGCTAAACCGCCAGCCCAGCACCGGCCAAGCCAGGCGATCCCAGCCGACTCCACTGCGAGAAAGAAGAAGCCCGCGCGCCCGCCTGCCCACTGCCTACTACTGCCCACTCTACTGCCCACCGCCCACCACCCACAACCATAACCACCACACTACCACCACTACTGTTACAGTAACCCATCATTTGACTTCAGTCCGCTGATAGGACCACTGTCGCTCCACGCTGAGGCGTCCTCCCGGCAGTGATGAGACGTCTGCGCCCGCGTTGCTCTGCTTCTGTCGCGCCTTGCCCTCTACAAGAGCATGGGGCCCCAACGGTCAAACCATGCAGAGCCCCGGCTTGTGCGTTTCGTGCTTTCTCTCCCTGTCTTCTCGAGTCCGTCTCCTTCTCAAGATATTCTCACTACGCGGAGTTCGGACAATATGCCAACAAATGAGCGCTCATTCTGGTCGATGCCAGCAGGCAGGCCGCCCGTATGCCGCGCAGTAGTGCTAGAGCACGCATAATGGAATAGAACTGGCGAGAAAACGTATTGCTGTCCACTTCGCCGTCCGTCAGCGTGCACGACTTGTAACACGCTTTGGACGTCAATTTACGACAGCAATTTCAAACCTTGCTGGTAAAATAATCGACCCGAATTTTCCTGCTGGGTCCTTGTCTTACCATGTCGGAGACGGTGAATCACGGCGAGCCAGAGCCGCAGCCAGGCCAGCGCGGTAGGGCCAGCTCGCAAGCTTCGCATTTCATTTCACAACATTAGCACGAAGCTAATTCGACGCAGCGGAAACTTTCTTCTACTGACTCTGGCCTAATTCCGTAGCGTCTGCGTTTCGCTACCTATACTACCGCGGTACACTACACTTGCGGTGTCGTCGACCTCCAGGTGCTCCACGTCTATGGCATCATATCTATGGTCACGGAAGAAAAGAAAGAAAAAAAGACTCATTGTTTGCTCACGACTCCACACTGAATACAAACAATCTGTGCATGGTCGGCACAGCAAGCAGCGGACAATTCTCACTGCAGGCCCCTAACATCCCAGATTTCCAGGGCCATGAATAATATATAAGCAGCGGAAAAGCCTTGACCTCATCCTGGCCATGTCGAGCCGTGCAAGTATGACAGAGTGGCGACATGTGGACTTCTACTGCATACATATTAGTACATGGAATACTTTTCGAAGAGGCTGATGCGCCGAAGGTGGGGAGATTCAGCACTATCAATTATAATGTCGACAGACGTAGCCCACTTCCAATACTCTTTGAAGCATCTGGCATTTCAATGCGGTCTGGAGACGGCTTGCCTTGTTAAGCCTGATCGCGGCCGCTTGACCGTCTCAGGCATCGACCCGGGACCGCTCTATGGCCCAAACAGGACGGTGACAATCATTCCTCTGCCTATATCCGGGTGCATCGACGGTCCGATCACCGTCACATCGCGAAAATGGAAAACCCTACTGCGAGAACATGGTGATAATGCACCAATTGTAGGCACGCAAAGCCTCAACTTGTTCAAACTTCAACCAGCAACCAATTTGTTGTCTCATCTGCCACGGACCAAATCTCTTTCGCACATGTGCCACCCGCAAGCGCCACCCGGTGTCCTGGCATCCGCCTCTGTTTCTCGCACTCACGCTTGGTGACCTTCCTAATCAACTTGGACATCCCTCGCTCGGCTGTTAGAGCACGGTTATTGTGAGACGTCAGCAATTCGATGGACCGCAATAGTCCAGCCAACCACGTCGCGAAAGCCTCATACGCCACTCATCCACCGTGGCTGCATGGAAGGTTTCTCGAACATTGCCCCTTACTGCCTAGTCGCACCATCGCTTTCTCTCTCGCTCTGATGCCCTGTATCATGGTACCAGGCTGGCTCAAAAGTCGCACAGTGACACCGGCTGTATCGGCTTGCGACGACTCCACGTCCATGCTCACGCTCCCTGGAAAGGCGCTTACGTGCCTGACAAGGGAGTCATCATCAGGGATTCTGAAGAGACAGACAATGCTGTGTTGCATCTTCGCACGTGTTTCTATTGCTCTAGAGTACCTGCTCTCCGCGGCTCGGCATATCACGATGAGTACCTTCGTCCACGTCGAACACAACACCGAGCTCGGGACTCACGACCGGAGTGCATTGTGCAGCAATAAAATCTGTTGAGCCGTCGCATGCCGCCAGATGTTCATTATTTCTTCTCACATCCTCATGCGCCACGGTCAAAGAACACGCGCTTCGTTTCCTCGTTCTTTGGACTCAACAGCCCCTCCCTTCAAGATGAATTAATAGCCTCCGCTCCACCAATGTGAAGCTGAAGATGCGCATGTCTGCATGGAAATACAAGCCTACTTAAACACGAATCGTTACAGATAATCTAGCCATTGCCATTCTGCGAGAACACTGTAAGTTATCGGCGATTGTTAGAGAAACAGCGTAAATTACCAACGGACTCTTACGCCAAATGCAACACTATGCCTTAAACCCTCCTCGTGGTCACTGGACAGTGATAAGGTTTTGAGGCCAAAGAGTGGAAATGTCATCTGCGGTCCCCGCTGAGAACTATTCCCGGACTTATAATCCACTTATTATTGACAATCTTTCTGAAACCAATCCTCCGCGCCCGTGTCGCCCCACGCTTCACGGAACTTAAACCATTTATTTCAAATATTGAACCAAAGGTCTCTGTTCATACAGTACTATAAGCATCTAAACGTGGGGCAAGATGTCTTCCCACTTGCATGATCAGATCATGTTAGGCGAGCCATTCGCAGCACGGTAGGTCATAAGGCGGTGCCATCTCTATCTACGCACTGCGTATCAATCAATAGTGCATTAATTTATACCCTTGTAGCCATCTAATATCAGGGCTCATCTAATCAATCATACGTACCATCTTGCAGGATGCGCATATAGACTACAGGACGTCCCTCTCTCGCATGCGATAAATATTATCAATCGGTCGCTACCTTCTTCTTGTTCGTGCAAGATATCCATATCAAAAGTGGTTACACGTCTAGTAGCGTCACGCCTGTGGCTGACTAGGGAATGGTAAATGATCAGCATTCGAGCGAATCTTCGGCAATTTGCACCAAGCATCCACTAGCTATCTAATGCAGCACGCCATATTGCGGATAGCAAATCCTTGACGGTCGGCAGTGCAAGTCTAAGCCAATCATTTCCTAACTATGTAAAGCTATAACAGACCATGTCGATCACGATCATGTTATCTATGAAACTAATGACTGTCTTAAGTCGCTATATGCTATAGGTTATAGACTTCATAAAGGCCATCGTTGCCTTCACTACCTGGTCCAGCATGATCATCATCGTCATCATCAAGAGATGATCGTTCGATCTCGCGCATCCTGTCACGAACCCAGTCGTCTTGGCTGATGCGAACTTGCGGTCGTCGTCAGCATAAGCGTCCTTGTTCCCACGGCTGCATGTAATCTATTTCCATGTTCACCGAGGGTCATGCTCTTCTTGACACTCAGATATGGATACGCTAAGACAACTTGTGCTACCAGCTCTCTGGGTCGGCTGCACTTGCATCCTTGTTATCTCTCGATATTTGGCTACGCTGTCATAGATAGGAATGAGGACCACCAAGGTGAGTGATGCCATATAGCGATAAGATAAAGTCGTTCCCCTTGTAATAGCGACTCAAGGACAGGTGATCATGGAAGCTTTGTCGTCAACCCCTTTTGAAGTTATCGAGATGAGACAGCTCTGTCGTGGACCAACGTCGACGACGGCCAGCGAGACACGAACAAGGAATACGAGTTCATATACCGCAAGCGTGTAACCATCTGTTGCCTTTCAGAATGTCCTGCGTGGCGGTAAAAGCCAAAAGCCCGTGCTTTTCCCCTCAGCAACGTACACGGTACTCTCTTCCTGGCCTATCCTCATGCACATATATATCGCTTTCCTCGGTCGAGCCCGTGGGCTTTCTCATCAAGCCTCTCATATCTGTAGTTTTATACAGCTCAGATGAATCTCTGAGTCACTTTTCTACCAGAACGCCTCCTCGCTTACAGCCACCTCGTACTCTCCAAGCCTCAGTGAAAATGCCGCAACCAGACCGGCGGGAGTACTGCATAGCCGTCTCCCGTCCGTCGCCAACGAGGATCGAACCAGTGCACTGGAAAGCGACCTGGGCACTTTCGCGGTCGAGGCTTGGAAAGATATTGCGTACGTGGAGGAAGGATCAGCTGTAGATCTGACGACCTTGGCAGAAGAGATATATATTAGGCGTTCTTAGCGATGGTCGGACGTGCGGTCGCTTGGGTGGGTGGCTGTGTGTTCGCCGGCCATTGTTCCAAGGATGCGGTGTCTTTTTTTATTATTGATGCTTGGGCTGTCATGTAAGTGTTGCTGGTCGGCTGTGTGGTGGGATAGCACCGTGGTGGTAATGGTGGGAACTCAAACGGGGTCCTCAGGTTGCGCAGTATTGTGTACGTGTCAGTGACATCCTTCACTCGCCAGGCGTCTTGTGTCTTGCGTTTTGCTGGCACTATACACTTGATTGTGTACGCATGTACCCAAGTTCGCTTCAGTTCCTGTGTCTTGTCAGAGACTTTGATTGAGGTCACTCATGAGTCAGAGCCGTGGTAGAAACCTAGCATGTATGCAAGTCTGTTATACGATACCTACTATATATCCGAAAATCTGGAAACGTACGGAGCGCTTGGGTCGATGGTAAGCTGTCACAAAACCTACGTTCCCTTTGAAAATGTCCTACGGACGACTCATGATTTTTGAAACGTGACATTCCATTTATTTCAGGCGGTGATACTTCGGCATAGCGATTGAAGTGGTTGAGACCACACCATTTGAAGTCTACGGTTCATGACGACTGTTGGTACTGGTGCAAGTATTGTTATAACAAGATATCATCAGTATGAACAACAACTTTCTGCTAGTAGCCTCGTTCTTAATGGCCGATCCAACCACTGGTCGGCCCGATCACATCCGATCCGATGCCGCCGTCAGGGTCTCATGAATTCCTGAGCTAGGTTGAGGTTGAGCTTCAAGCTTCGCATCTGATGAACCTTCAATATTCTCGTTGGATAGTGCATTGACAATGCGCTCCTGGCGAGTTGTGACTGTCAACTTCCAACAAGTCTTTTCACCAGCCCTCTGCATCCGCCACCATCTCCCAAGAACCGCAAAACATACATCGACCGCAGCCCTTCCGTCACGTCTCATCCAACGCCGAACCTTCCATGTCTCGCGTCCACGACAGATGCCGGAAATCTCGGCGGCGGCGGAAATGATCATCGTACCCAGCCACTATCTCCTCACTACACTTCATGGCTTCGGTCTGCCCTGGTTCGCCGCCATACCCGCCGGAGCCCTTCTTGTGCGCTGCCTCTTCCTTCTCATCTCCGAGATCCCTGCCGCGAAGCGCGCTCAGCGTTTGCACAACTACATCCTGCCTGTAGGCTACGCGCGACAGCCAGTCGTCGCGGAAGAGACTCGAAGGCAGTGGTCCCGGGTGACGAGAAATCGCGCGCTGATCAAAAAAGAGGTAGAGCTAGCAGTGAGAAAGGATGGAGAGCTGGTAAGGAAGAGATTTGGCGCAGATAGCTGGTATCACGAACTAGCAAGGTTCGTGGCATTACAAACTGGGCAGTTGGCCGTTTTCCTTAGCATGGCAGAGACCGTGAGGAGGCTGTCGGGGGCGAAGATTGGGCTTCTAGGCATGCTTGCGAACTGGAGGTCTGGGTGGAAGCCTGATGCCGTGGATGGTGCGGTAGAAGCTGTCGGGACGACGGATGCTTCGCAGATTGCTGCTTCACCGGCAATTGACGTTTATTTCCCTCTTCAGACACTGGATGACTGCATCAGTGTACCTGCCAAGCCCTCAATCGCATCCACGATAACCACATCCGCGCAGCCCCACGAATGGTTCGACCCGTCCATGGCCACGGAAGGCTTCCTCTGGTTCACGAATCTCTGCACCGCTGATCCCTCCGCGGTCGTCCTGCCCGGTCTAGTATGTCTCTCGATGCTGGCAAACATTCGCATGTCGAGCGGATTGCAGAGTATACGCGATACCAGCGGCCCGACTTTGGGCACCAGGATTTTATCACTTCTCAGCATCGCTATCTTCCCGTTCATCAAGGACTTTCCGGCTGCGGTGCTGTATTACTGGTTTTGTAGCCAGTTCTTTCTTGGGACGAGTAGATTGTTGGTTCGGTGGTGGATACCAAAGTCGAATCCAGTGAAGTCTCGAAAGCCGCCGGTCGATCCACCTTCCTTCAAAGGCTGAGGAAAAGATACCAGCTGGCAATAGAGTGATGGCCCGAGTGGTGTGTCCATTCACTGCGTGTGATCCTCAGACCAAATGAAGCTCAAAGGATACAGGGTCTATCTTCCATGACGACTAGATCTGGGAACGCTCCTCGAATGCGAGGTAAGGGAGATTGGCTTGGACTGCTGGATACGTATCAGCTTTTCCCTAAATGGCTTCAAAGAGTCGCTTCTACGCCTGAGCTACGGACCGTGACCCAACCTCATCAGCCACTGGTATACACATCACCAACAGCAAATCCGAGACAAAGAACATCCAGAAGCCCACACCTAGTGGTAGTGTTTGCTCGCCTGCGTCTAATGCAATTTGGGCACGAATGACAAATGACCCAGCGCACAATTAAGCGCCTCACATCATTCGCTGCGTGGCTCCAAAAGAGACCGGGAAGCTTCTCTAAGTGGTAAAAAATGTTTGATGAGCCTAGCCACAGAGATAGTACAAATAGATATCTACCTCTATCCCATCATGAAATCATATGATCAATGTCCGCTCTCATATTATGCCCAAGTCCAGGGCTGTGTCATCTCGTGTTACGTAGAAGGGGGATGTGTATCAGAAACATGTGCTAGATGTGTTAGTCTTCTTCAAGTAAGATGATTGTCAGTATTCTCACCTCGATCATTGATTTTACCGATCAATATGTTCTGGAATCTGTATCGGTAAAAGCAAGCTATACATGCTATCATGTCTAGCCATCTGAGCCAAGACGCCAATCATGAACAGAGTAGAGGACGAGATGTGTAGGGACGAGAGTATCGCGAGGGAGGGGTACGGCTACATATTCAGAATATTCAGAATATGGCTTGAAGATAAGTCGATGTGTAGATAGCTGGTTTTGTCTGTTTATACTAGCCTTTGCGTCGCTCAAGGATCAATGAGCATGAGAATCGAGAATGTAAGGGGCTTGATCTTGTCGATTATATAAAACTCGACACAGACAGGCCGGGCAAGCAGTGGAGCAGGTAGAAGAACCTGACAAAAATACGGACACACGGTCTTGCCAAATGGCTCCTACAGATCAAAATGACATTCGAGATTCATTAACACGTGATGATAAGGATAGTTTGTTAGGATACCATTGTAGTAGTGAGGATAATGGATCTTACTGCTGGTCAATGGCGTTGTATCAATCATCTTTCGAGTTTCTGCCGGGCAACAGCGACAAGTCAAGGGTTTGGACTGAAGAATAAACAATAGTACAGTCGTACCCTGATAACTTGGAGGAAGATAGAAATTCAGACTGCCTGCTGAATGGGCGGTCATGATCATATAACGAATCCTGTCAGCTTGTCTCACGGTCTGGTTCGAGTAGAATCCTACTGGTACGGTTAGAACGAATGTCCCAATTGTATTCAGACGCTTAGACTGCTTCGGATGGAACATGATATTTCTCCTGAGTCACCGCTCGAAGCAAGTATTCTTCTATTGGACATCTGAACGAGAGACAGACAGACAGAGTGGTTCATGGTGACGTAGCCTGCGCGATATACGAGGCCGATTACGCAAGTGAATCCCATCTATGTTCCTATTCTTTTGCGAGTGGAAAGGTAGTGGAGGGCTATGTTCCAGGGGGTCTCTTGCCATGATTCACTTGCGGGCTACTACCTTTTCTTACATTTCGAGAAGTTGGACTGAATACCATGTATTACTATTGTATTTCCAATTGCGTTCTCTGATTCATGTTCCGCGAGTGGACTAACCTTGAAAGATTGAGGGACTCGCCGCAGCCGTGTTCTGTCCGAATAGCACTGTTAGCGCAGAACACAGCTTTCATTGAGTGAATGCAACCCCGGGCCTCGGAGCTGTATGATTCGCTGGCTGCAGGCTTACAGGAAAAGTGAATCTCTGTTTTGCAGTTGTGCTTGCCTGTACTCGCCTGTGCTCTGGTTGATAGTTCATCATCAATAAGTAACACCTATTGTGCCCCGACAATAGAACCCCTAACAACGCTCAATACAAGAATTAAGCTCGGACTCATCCATCCAGTGATAACTCTACTATAAGAACCTCCCACCTCTCTGCCCTTCTTCCATCCTCAGACCTCTCACTACAACCTCCTCAAACACCCAATTCCTCAACCCACAACCACCACTGCCCTCCTCTCCAATGGCCGTCACCACAAGAAGAAATCGCCAGCCAACCCGCCGCTTCGACCCCGACCCTCCCACCACCAAGCCCACCCTCAAGCGCAAAGCAGAGACTCCCGTACCGGCCAGCGGAGCAGCTGGATCTGCTCCGCGTAAGCGCCAGAAAGTCACTGTCCAGGCTGCCCCTTCCGCCATTCCACCTCCCCGCCACGCCACAAATCTGCCTCTCATCACCCTTTCCCCCGACCCCTCCCGGCCCTGGGTGTCATTTGCGGTGGGCAGCGCGCAGTAAAGGGCGGTTCTCTCGCGGGACCGGATCACCGTAAGTTTTTCCCTGCTCAACATTCATCGATTTCGGGCTGTTGGCTAACGAGATGTATAGCGGCTCGCCGAGTTCAGTGTCCGGGATGTGGTGCTCTGCCTTGGCGCGCCTGGAGCGCGCTATCGCATCATCGGGGGTCCGCACTGGGTGCCGGTGTGCAAGGGGCTGGCGTACAGCCTGGAGCGTCTGAGTCCTGTGTCAGAGAGGGAGCCAGCACCGGCGCCGGAAGTTGTGAGGCAGGGGGCTTTGAGCCTTCTGAGAAGAGTGAGTTTGCTTTCGACGTCTTGGTACATGGAGACTGACAGGGGTAGGGTGCTCGTGGAGATGGTGTTCGCTCTGGAGAGAGGCGTGGAGCTCGGGGGTTGTTGCAGGTGCCCAGGAGGGCGGATGTGGAGGAGAGGAGTGTTTATTGGGGGTGTAGGGTGTAGATTTTGTGCTCCCAGGAGGGGAGAAGGGTTGTTGTGTCCGTTGGATAGGGCTCTAGAAGGCATACTCGATCGATATCGAGGAGATGTAGAAATGCTATGCTTCAATTGACGATCTTTACATCCTTGAGTTATATTCCATACTAAGTATGCACGAGTATTGTGACAGCTACAGACATGTCACACCACCAGATCTGAAGTACTGCGCGGGGTCGAGCCAGAACACTTTCGGTCGTATGATACTATTAGGAGTCGAGGATATCGATAAAGCGAGTTAACATTCCATTCATCATTAAAGACCGACAATACTTCTTCTTCTTCTTCTTTACTTGATAAGAATCGACATGAGCGCTGCAGTTATACAGTCAAGTCATTCCGATGACTTTAAGAAGCCACAAAGTGCTCCGAGGGATTATGCTTTCGTTCGGGAATGGAATGATGCAGTTAGGTACGTGAGATATGTTACTTCCGAATATACATGTTAATGACATTACTGCTAGACTCGCGCAGCAGCATTGGATATGGTCCTATATCATGGATGAGAAGTACCCGCTACATCCAGCAGCACAAGCTCTTGTCAGCGCGGACAATCCCACTCGTGAGCCGGTCCATATAGCAGATGTCGGCTGTGGAAACGGGTTGGTCTGTATATCGACAGATGCGTGAGATTCTAACACCATATTACAGGACCTGGCTTCTTGACTTGTACCGCAAGATGCCTCAAACCATGTGCGACAAAGTGTTTTACGTGGGGACGGATCTTTCGTCGGACTATCTGCCACCGACTGGGGACATGCCACAGAACATGACGTTTTCTACCCTTGATTTGTATGGTGACATGCCGGCCGACTTTATCGGAAAGTTCGACGTTGTCCATATCCGCATGTTTGCGGTAGTGGTCAAGGGTAATGATCCAACATCTTTGTTGCAGAACGTTGTGAAGATGCTGAAGCCAGGTGGTATCCTCCAGTACGATCTCACTCTGACGTGTGGTATCCTGTTGACATTTCCCAGATGGGACGAGATGGCAGTCGCATCCTGCAGGGCCATCGCTTCAATCAATGGTGTCAGTACGATGGCTTCGGAGGAGTGGATCAAGGCCCTCTTTGAGAAGTTCAAGATTAGTTTCGACTCGTCATACGAGTAGGACACGCCTGCTACCACTTTCTAGAACATGGACGCTGACAAATGTATAGATGGATCCTACATCTGAGCGAATACTTTGAGACAGTGGGTCTGAAGATCGTTGACTCAGTGCACATGGAATGTCCGAAGGAGCTTCGACGAACCATGACCAGTAACATCATCACAGCTTCTGAAAATCTGTCACGATCTATGTCCAGAGATGAAAGCTGGATTGGCAAATGGAGTGCGATGATGGCAGAGGTCAACCAGGGTGTCTGTATGGTTCAAGATACGGTGATGGTGGTCGGACAGAAGCCTACTATATCGTAAATCTGACAAGCACTGCCACATAATGATATAGTAGACTCGTAGTCACCACAGCACGCGTTAGCTTTTTGGTCAGAAAGGGGCACTTCAGTGAGGCTCTTGACACACGATGTACCAACCTCCTGCAGTGTAGATATCCCCAGAGCATCTTTAACGTGCTATGTTCATGTTAACAAGCGCAAAAATACTACAGCATCAATAATATAGTGAGCCTTCTACTTGTCAGCCCATGTCTGGTGCATCATCGGGAGCCCCAACCGTGCACCTAGAGACCCTAACCACGGTCCGAGCCTCGCTTGGTGCGCCTGTATGGCTCAAGCTTCGAAGTTCGACGATCTAAATTTTTCGTCTGCTTAGCCATAAGGAGGATGGACTGCTCTCCTATCTAGATCAGTTTCATGTTGGAGTTCACTCTGCAGCTTATCAATCGACACTACGACCCCCCCAGCTCCTCATCCTGTTGGCTCCACGTGTAAATTAAGCTTACAACCAGACGCCCTACTAACCTAACCAAGTAAGGACTCGCTCTGGTTTAGCGAGACCCAACAATTAACTACCTCACTATAGCGATCGAAGCTACAGCAGAATGACAGCTGGTTTTCCTGGTGGAGCTAATACGATGGATGCTTCGCAGTCCCTTCCTTTCAGTCCTCTTCCGTTGAGGTGCATCTGAAGAATTATATCAGTAGACTCACACAAGATTGACGGGTATCCTGTCCACCACGCTTCATGCAAGTGTTGAATGTTCATCACCATCCTATAGTCCCAATTACGGTAATACGTGCGAGCTAAAGATCGATCATCGGGTGGTCTCATTAGCTGGGTCACGCATGGTACTGAGCACGGTGGGGAAACGGAAACTTTTCGCCGTTCTCGTCAACTTTTTGTCTCCATCAAGTCTCCATCAAGCCTGCTCGGTGACCCGGCAATGCCGATCTCAGACGGTCTATGGTGCTATGACGTTTCAATTGACCGTGCAAGGCTGTGCTGCCTTGACTCCAACGGTCGCGCGGCAATACACGCGCGTCTAGTACCCTCAATGCATTCATGATAGGATCACAGACCACAATGCTGTACACGGACGCAGAATACTACCCTAGTTACAACATCTTGGATATTTTGAGGTCCAGGTTGGGCTAGTCTACGGTCACGTTGTCACACTTTATACCTAATCTCACATGCAGCGCTCGATGCTTTATTGGTCTGCTGGAATCCTTAACATGGCATTTGTGGAACCGATAGCCCTCCTTCTATCTCGCCTCCATGGTGCGTCACTCGAGAATCCATCCAAGGGTCACCGTCCCTGTTAAGCGATATCAGCCACGCTGGGTACGGCTATTTCCAGCATCCTAGCGGACATATTTGAGTCATCTGAAACATATCCATTTAGTCAGACTATGTGAAACGTTGGGGTGTAGTATTGTCTGTTATTGCCTACACCGGACTGCAACCGTCCATCACATATGTCAATTGGCGTCAGATGTCAAGGTCCATTACCACGTTGTATGGCGAAGCACGCGAGTACGCCAATTAGAGGTGCAATTAGCCGAGCCTAAGTATTGAATACTCCAGCCTTGAAAATCTGGGTCTGGTCCTGCAGGCGGCCAGGGGTGATTGGCGTGCGGGAGGGATGCACAGGTCTGCCTGGTGGTCTGCCTAGCCTTGGCAGCCGCGGCTCAACGAAGGTAAGATCAACCCCCCTGTGGACGGAAACAATAGCAATCGGCATCTCGGTCTGAATATGGTTCCATACCCCGGCCGCATAGGACCCTATATGCTTAATATCATGGTCTCAGTTGATGATAGTTCAGGAGTTTCATGTGTCCAAATAGTACGTCCCATAGCCCTGGGAGGCCCCCCAAAGAGTAGAATCATTGTGACCGTCCTAGATATCGTGACAAAAACAAACATCACAGATCTCTTGCAGAGCAAGCCACCTGCAAGCTAACATAGAGCCCTGCAAAAGAATGCGAAGTGTGATATGGCTGTGTCAGCTTACAATCGCTCGTAAGAAGTCACACCAATATCGAATCCAAGCCATGAACTCCTTTACCCATGCCCCTCTCGCTAAAAGTACGAACTCAACGACTCCCATATCCTGGTGCAGTTCGATAATATGTGGAATAATCGACCCCCGAGTACAATATTGGATCAGGGTATGCAGTGCTTGTGGATGGCGAATACCCCATAGAAGTGGCAGCAGTGTGTGATACTGAGCCAACCTGGGGGTAGGCGTAGTTGTATGTTGCAGGAGTGACTATGGCTTGCTCTACCTCTCCATAGGTAAAGGCATAGTTAGGTCCAGGACTTGTATAGTTCGTGTTGTACCAAGTCATGGCCTCGTCTGAAGAAACGGGCATCATTGATGACATCCTCTCTGGAGCTGGAGTATCGTTTTCTAGAGACAGTGTGTCGTTTTCTAGAGACAGTTCTGATGGTGAACTAGCTGATGCGTACATGTTTGGGCTGGTTGGAGGCGTTTTGTACGTTAGATATGGAGGGATTTCTGCAATTGTTAGCATGCCGATAGTTGACATAACGATGATGAATCTAAACCTACGAACTTCTTCGAACATATCATCCTTTGTTATCTTGCCCTTCTTCCGCGCTTCACTCTCATACCGGTCAATTTTTGCTTGGGAAATCAGTTCACCGCGTAAGAAGAATTCTGTCCGGATGCCTGGGCGTTCTCGTTCCCTCTCACGCCTTTTCTTCAGCATTGCTTTGTAGTCAGACCCTCCAGTTCTCTTCTTCATGCCCCACTTTCGGAGCTGACTCTTCCACTGCTTTTCGCTGGGACCAGTATCAGCTGGAATGTTGAGAAAATAAGGAATACCGGAACATACGTTGCATGAAAAGCGTAAGTGTCTTCCATGTATGTCATCACAGTCCTTAATTCCTGCTGAGCATATAGTTGTTCGATTTCTGCTCTGTGGCTGTTCCAGTCCCGCTGGTGTAGGGTCTGGCGAGGTTGACTTTGCCGATCAAACATGTGGATGTTGAACTGATTGTGATGATGTATCCAGAAGTCCATTTTGGGTTCTTCGGTCTTGATATGTATAGGTGCTTCGACCATCTGGATCTGTCTCAGGTGAAACTTATGGAGGTAACAAGGCGACTAGGCAACCGAGCCAACAGCTTAATGAAGAAGTCCCGGAGTAGAAAGGCTCCAGATATAGCAGTGTGACAGAAATGTACCCTTCAGCGAGTCAGGAAAGGTGACGTAAACAACTGTTGTACAGTGCCGCTCTATGCAATGCTAGTAGACCAACGGTTCATGGGCTCCAAGCAGATCGAATGGCAAATGATTGCAGAGAGGTCAACGCAACGTCCAACACTGGTGCCGTAAGTCGAAGAAGCAGTGACGAACAAACATGGAATGAACCTACATGTGGCGTATGCTTGATTCTTGAGGGTCGGCAAGCCGGGAGAACGTGGGGAGCATATATCGACATCTTGAGACGGGTATGAACGACGACACTAACCCAGAGCAACGGTTCTGATGATCCCTGGGGGGGCCAAGGAGTGGCTGTTGGCTCAGGAGGGGGGGGAGGGAGAGGAGAACTTTGAATTGGCCAAGAAGCCGTAGCCCCCATTATGGTTGTCTGCTCCGATCATCTAGCCTGTTCACACTTATCACGATGTGCTTATGGTTTTGTCTTCACTTAAGTCAGCCTCAGCTCTGCCAAATGGGGTTTGAAGCGCGAGCTGTTTTAACGCCTTTTTTCGGCCACTCGCCGGGTGAAGCTGGGTCCGTGCGCTCCGTGCGTCTGTCGTCGACGAGCATAATGAGAAACACGCCGCCCGATCTCATGAACACCGCCCATTCCTAATTCTAAACTTGTCCAGTAATTCGCGAACTCATCCGATATAATTATAGCACCCACAAGCCATCGACTTATTCATCCACCCAGCGTCTACCAGTTCCACCACCAGCCTCGAAGGCGTCGCAACACGCTACGCAAGTGCCATGCATAACTCGACAGCTTTACGCAGTCATTGTAGGTTGTACCGCAACGGTATTGGATAGATACACTTCGGCACCGACAGGCCCGAATCTATTTCCTATCGCCGCATCTTGACCTCTTGGGAAAGGACGAATGCTTCAAGCTGTCTAGCAGGATACAATGCAACAAGACCTGCTGTCCTAATCAGTGTCTCTTACTCAACTGACATAGCCACAAAGCGTGGAATTTGGATGCAGAAATCGTCGTACTAAGGTCAAATTTCAGGGCAGGGCCCACCAAGACATCCTTAATAGGGATTTGGACGAAACTTGATCGTCGCACTGCCCATTTCATGCGCCTCTGGAGCATCCAATGGTTCTGTAGTCAGGTCGACGAAGCCAAGGTACGTATTCTATACAGTGCGAACTATATACTCGTTAGAATAGTCAGAAAGTTCTGAGCTAATTGCAGATGATTCTTCCATTGGTAGCTGCATTCGTGTTGATATTGCGGCCCCCGTCACAGACCCTATCCTAAGTTGCCGAACCTGACTACCAGAGCAACTGATTGCAACAAACGATCTAAGTTGCGGTAACAAGCGCTTCCTATTTTGATTCTAGAAAGATATGTTTCTGTCGACCGTTTCACGCCCAAAAATTACGAGGCTTAGACCATCTTATGTGCTATATGTTGTGAGATCACGTTTCCAGCGTTTCTATGCTGCTCGTCCTCTCGCTTGTATTGCCTTATTTGTTATATGCTACTAAACGGTAAACACGAAAGTAAAGCCGGTATTTTAAGGTCTGCGTCGTGCAAGATCGCAGAACTGACTACCATTGAAGATATGTATCAGATCGTGAAAGGCTCAGGACAATTCACAGCTACGTTGAATGCTAGCCTCCGAGTCCGGCAGGTCCTGAGGTGTTGGAAAACCATCCTCTTCTCGGCGTAGCATCTATACCCGGTTCCAAATATGGTAATTCGGCGCCGGGAGCTGGTATGCTTATGCTTGTTGTATGTGGGTTCTGTGAAAGCGGATATTCCGCACTCGCACTTCATCCAACACTATCATCCCTCGGTCTCTACGGGTATGTTGGTATGAACCAAAAATTTCATTTGCAAAGTTCTGTAGTGCAAGTGTTTTCGGTACCCGCGGGTACTGCGTGGAGAACGCCTTGCCACTAATTAGTCAGAAGAAAAGAAACCGGCTATCCCCTTCGTGCTCCAACAGCAGCTAGCAGCACTGACAGCTCTGCAATCGATTTCAGCCCCAATGACAGAATGCTAAATTACGACTTCGATGTATAACAGAAGATATCATGTGCGTTGTACAAGCTCGAGTCATCTCGTGGCACCGAGCGTTTACTTTTGAGGATTCGATCGGTGCAATATGCCGTACGCCACCGCTAATCACAAGTCAGCAAAGCTTAGATACTATTAGCTTCAATAGACTGCTTCCCGTACCTACGGGTACAGTGACCAGAATATGGTCTCAAGTTACAAAAATGACCAGAACATGACCATGGAATATTTCTTAATACTAGCGCTATGATATGGAGGACCACTAAATAGGCAAAATGCTTCGACTATGAATCCGAATTCCAATTTTGGAACTCCATGTTTCAATTGACACCAGTCTAAAAAAGATGTGTTGGTTTGACCAGATGCGGATAAGAATGCTGACACCAGAAATACTTCTTTCTGCAACTCATCATACCTCAGTCCAGTCGTCGATATTTGAGAATGGACAGCTCTGCCTGGACGGTTACAATGTCCAATTCCGCTATCAAATCCAAGGACGTAGGTGCTTCTAACCATCAAACTTGGTCGTCGCGAGTGTGCTAACTGCTCGTCAACACCAAGACACTACCATATGGCGAGTTCCCCCATGACGCTGGCGTCCTCAACTGTGGCTATACGATGCGTCGATGGCTGAATCAAGAACAAGGAGAAGAAGAATGGATATCAAATGAAATTGTCGATACAAAGTCTACCAGCCAGAGCGTCAAGCACTGCAGTGCTGACGGACGGACGGGATATGAGACAGGAATGTGACGTAGAAAGATTTATTGGGTATCTGTTTTAAAAAGGACGCTAAACGCTTTTGCTTCCCGTCATCTATTTCTTGAATTGGCTATGTATTTTCGGAAGATTCAAAAGATTGTCAATCTTGGTAAATCAGAATTGAACATCTTCTTTATAGTAGTGGTCGGCCACAATCCTGTAAAGATAAGTTGGAGCATGGCCCCCGATATTAGTGATATACAAGGTGACGAGGTCGGCTGGAACATAGTCATAGAGCGGGTTCATGACTTCAAAATGCTCAACGGCATATCCATCCGAGAAGTCAACAACATTGCCGGGGTCTCCGTACTCAATGAGCTCTTCGTCGTTGAAAGGATAGACAGGGCTGAGCTTGTAAACGGGACTGAGAACGTACACTGGAGTACGATGAGCTTTTGCGAGCGTAGCGATGATGCTAGCGCCGCTCGCTGCTAACAATGCACCATTTGCAAGCACTGCATGAGTCGCAAGTATGACCGTGTTGATCCGCGGCATTATTGCAGAAATTTGGGAATCGGATATGACAACGGTCTCTATGCCTGCAGCATGTAGCGGTTTGAACCGGTCTTCGCCCTCCAGTTCGTCAGTGACCTTGCGTCGACCATTAAGCACGGTATCGTGCGTCTCTTCAGCGTCATTGGGGGATCCCTCCGCGACTATGACGGTAAACTTCCGTTTCCTCGCGACTGTTAGTAAGAATTTCTGGACTGTCGTTGAGACAGAATGTATCAGAATCATCTCATTCGCATGGATATGGTCCATAGCAAAACCAGCAATCTGGTCATCTGCTTGTTGGAGTTCATCCGCCAGTTCGTTGATGCCTTCGATGACCTCAGCTTTGAGATTGATTTTCCCACCACTTCTGTTAGTTCCGACGGTGAAGTCCTGAGCAGTAGGTACGCGCGGTGTGATGGTTCCCGTGGTGGCTAAAGGAGTCATGGACGGTGAGGGGGTATCTGACTGCTGAAAGATTCCAAATAATGAATTTCCCATTGGCATCGTCCCTTGTGCATATGAAGTGGCTGAAGAAATAAGTTGTGGCCTAGAGGGGAGCTCAATCGAATCTGACAAGTTTTCGCTCATAGGTATATCTACGGGTTGAGTTGCTCCATGTTTCAGAGGACTGAAGGCCGAAATTGTGGAGGGTAGAGGTGGTCTCTGGGGATGAGACAGCCCGTCTTGTTCTTGTTGAGGGCTCAGAGCTCCGCTTGGCGTTGTATTCGATACGTCGTCTGCGTTATCCTTTGCAACCTCCCTTACTAGACCCAACACACGGCGCACGATATTTCCCACTACCATTTCTCTGGGCTGTGCATTGATGAGTCTTTGGCCGACTTCTCGGACTCGTCGAAGTAGACCGTCCGCATCACTACCGTTGTATTGTCCCACAACTCGCAATAAAAGTTCGGTCGTCGCGATTGCGCAAGGTCGGGAGTTTCGGATCTGTCGACGCTTGAGAAGTCTGGTGTGACTCAGTACATGTAATTTCAGAACTCTAGAGCAACATACGATATGAGTAGCTCTATAGCTGGCTCGGCTGGCTTTGTCTTCAGAGACTTCAGGAACGAGGTCAGACCTGGTGTGATAGAGGTTGTGGGAGTGCTCATGGTGGACGCGACTGAGCTTAAGTATTTGAGGTCGATGGCGCACCTTTTTTCAAGGTAAGCTGCTCCCGCGGATCAAGACTTGTAGCTGATAGATTATCTAGCTGTGCGATTATATACTTCCTGTGGGAGATTCCGCACGACTGTTGTAAAGAGAACTAGTCCGATATGCATGAAAGTGATTTAGAGGGGTAAAGATATCGAAGTGGAAATGTTCAAAGCGACCCGGGGACATTATAGGTTGGAGTTAGCCTATTTTAGCACATGAACGACGTTAGCGTATGTTTGGTTTGCGACCGGCCTGAGGCGTCATCAGCCGATCCTGAGCTGTGTAGGTTCTCCTCTACCTTTGATCTGTAACTCTTTTGTCCCGTCACCTAGGCGCTTCTGAATATCACTTTCCCTCCGATTTCGCTTCTTTCGTAAATTGGATTTTATCAGACGTTAGTTGCGCCGCATCTTCTGAATAAGGCCTTGGCTCTACGTCCTCGGCTGACGCGAATCCTAAACCTTCGTTCGGCATCCCCAACCAGCACCACGCTCAAGATCTGTTGAGAACCTACACATACATATTTACCATTTACTACGAGCATACTGTCACCCTAGAGAATATATATACGCAATCCTTGACCCACTATGGTTTGCTACGGAGCATGAACCACTCAAATCCTCGCGCACCGGACTTGACTCTCCAAAACTCTGAGGATTTCCCGAGACTAGGTCACGGCGCTTGACAAGAGCGCCTGACGAAAGCGTCTTGCTCGACAAGAAGCACACTCGCATTATAGAAAGGATAACCTGAGGTCAGCCAGGCTGGTATCAGTTCGGCGCCAACATTGTGATCAGTCCCCGGACATGGACACTGGATATACTGCGGAAACCTCCCGCTTGGATGGAGTGGCTGAAATAGAAGAATACGACGAAAAGACACCTCTAATATCGAGCACTGATTACGAGACTGTGAAGGGCTCACGCAGGTGGCGCATAACGGAACATACTATTGGAACTATCAAGATCATTGTCTCTACCATTACAGCACCGTTGAGATACGTCATAGCTTGTTTTTACAACGAACAAGGCTACTTTTCTGCAACTCTTCCCGTCTATCGAATCGCGCGCGCATTGACAGGTAGGCGACGTAAGACTGAAGGGCACGCGGGTCAGCAGGCACCAGAAAGAGAGAAGTCCTCCCGAAGAACACGTTCCAGGATGGCGAACAAAACGACTAATAAGCGATCGCCCTCTGCCGAATCAACCTCTGCAATCAGCTCAGACTCAGAAGCAGATGGTATGCAGGGTCATGACAGCCCAGCAAGACATACGAGGTCGAGAGGCTCCATTGCTTCTAGTAGTGGTGATGAGATCGCGCCGTCGAAGAAGTCGATACGTATTAGGCTTCACAATGAAGACGCATCAAGACAGCGCAAACGTAAAGGAACAACTACACGGACAGGGAAAAATTCAGTGGGCCCTGAACAGACCCCTTCTGAAGCCGCCGCGCAGGCTCTGAAGTCACCGTCAAGTCCGGCAACCACTCCCAAGATTACCAAATTCCCACGTGCTCCACATCCACCGAGACCCCTTGTACCAAGGCGACAACCTTCATATTCCGCGTCTGGGACAACGTCTGTTGGCCCTCACGCCCATAAAAAGACGCTCGTCATAGATCTCGACGAAACCTTGATCCACAGCATGTCGAAAGGAGGACGTTTCACAACCGGCCATATGGTCGAAGTCAGACTGCAGCAGCCTGTTCAAGCTGCTGGTGCCGTCCTAACACCTCAAGTTCCCATTTTGTATTATGTGCATAAGCGACCACACTGCGATGAATTCCTTCGAAAAGTCAGCAAATGGTACAATCTCATTGTCTTCACAGCCTCTGTACAAGAGTATGCCGATCCTGTCATAAATTGGCTCGAACTCGAGCGCAAATACTTTTGCCAGAGACTCTACCGCCAACACTGCACGTTCCGAAACGGCTCATATATCAAGGATCTCACTCATGTAGAGCCAGACTTGAGTAAGGTTATGATATTGGACAACAGTCCGATGAGCTATGTATTTCACGAAGGTATGTTGACTCAAGTCCATTCATCTCAAGTTTGACTGACATCTCGGTCTGGCAGACAACGCTATCCCGATAGAAGGCTGGATCAGTGATCCTACCGACAACGATTTGCTCCACCTGATTCCATTTCTTGAAGGCTTGCAGTATGTGACAGACGTTCGAGCGTTGTTAGCACTTAGACTTGGCGAGCCGCAAACAGTTTAGATACAGGGCATACAGTGGCGTCTGATCAAACAACGGAGCGCAGCATGGACCATTATCTTTTCTGTATCATATCTTGTGTTTAGTATAGGCGATTGACCATCGCATCTTCGAAGGAGATACCCGGGTTTTCCGTTCGCAGCAGAGCTGGACTAAAGTGTATTGCTCGGTGATACATCGGATCAAGTCCGGACTTGATTCATGAACGTCGACACTCCAGTACTTCACTTCCCACCACCACGAATTCACAAACCATTGCCGCCTGTGCTAGCTTCGAGCTCAATCGCGCAGCTCCAACATGCGCCCATTCTTGTGATTTCTACCAGCGGTAGCATACACTGCTACGTCAGCTTCCCACCATCTCTCCCTCTCCACCGCAGCGATCCATTCACCTGCTCCACCACAATGCCGCTCTGCTCCACCCAAATCCTCGTGACAGCAACAGCAGTCCTCATCACCACCCTCATACTCCTCACCACTCGCCTCCTCGCCATTCTCCCTTCCTCCCGCGCAAAGCCCGCACCGCGCATCCGCGGCTCACCAACACACATCCTCATCGTGCTCGGCAGCGGCGGCCACACAGCCGAGATGCTCACGATCCTGCGCGATCTGGACCCTTCCACATACACGAACCGCACATATGTCGTGGGCTCGGGTGACGCGTTCAGCGCGAGCCATGCGCGGAAATTCGAGGCGCAGCTGGAGCAGAGGCATGCAAAAACGGGGGGAACATGTACATGGAGGTACGCGATTGTGACTGTGCCACGGGCGCGGCGGGTGCATCAGTCACTGCTTACGACGCCGGTGTCTGCGCTGCAGTGTTTGTGGTGTTGTTTGCAGCTGTTGCGGAATGCGGAGGCTGGGTATCCCGATCTGATACTGACGAATGGACCGGGGACTGGGGTGATTGTTGTTCTGGCCTCGCTGGTGTTACGGTTATGTAATGTTGGAGGAGCGAGTTCACAGGATAAGATGCGGACTTTATATATCGAGAGCTGGGCGCGGGTGAAGAGTTTGAGTCTGAGCGGAAGGCTGCTGTTGAGAGTCGTCGATCGGTTTCTTGTTCAATGGGAAGGGCTGAAGGGTGTTGGTGGTAAGGGGGAGTACATCGGAGTCTTGATAGCTTAAAGGAACTATGCTTCCGCATGAAGTGATGCTTGATGGGTCGCAACCAATGGCAAAGTCACAGAAAATATTTACAGTTTCTATACTACAGACAACAAGATCATTGGTACACGCACTATACAGAGGGTCGTTGCTCTCCCGCTGTAGCAGGAAGTATACCAGCAAGGCGCTCTTCCGGAACCTTGTGCTTAATCGCAAGATACTGGACAAGAGAAATCTCACCACGCATTAATCTTTCGTGCGCTGCCTCCTCTTCACTCGTCCTCTCGGCGGCTTTCTTGTTTTGCTGCCACCGCATTTCTTGTAAGGGGGTGCGGATGTGATTCAGGTCTGGATTCTTGAGGTCCTCTGCTTTTTGGAATTCGTATGCTCGTTTTGCCAAGTACTCGGGATCGTGCCTTACTCGATAATTGCTATACTTATTACGTAGCTCGTCTATTAGACCATCAGGCAGTGGGGCTTGGTGTAGCTGAGGCATGTACGTAGCATCTTCCACTTCGATGCGTTTCGTATCGCAGTCGTGTTCGTCAACTAGGTCCGGCTCGTTATGGGGCCACGGCACCTCGATGTTAGTCCCTGCGATGAATCGAACAACGGTCTCGTCATCTGCGTGACGTTTATGCTTGAATAGTTTTGGGGGAACAGGCTCCCTGTATTCCTTTGAACCCTTCAGTTCTGGCCTGAACCGGGGGAGGTCGTCCGCATGTAGAAGCGTGACGGCGTCAACGATGACAGGTTGTTCAGCCTTGATTCCATTCTGTCCCGTTTTCGATACAAAGGCGACTAGTCGAAGATCATCCATACGCAATGGTATTTCCTGGGTACCGTAGGGGTCTTTGGATCCCGTAGCAAATCGTTCTTCTTCACTTTTCCGAAGATCAGACTGTGGAATGGTTAGTATGAGACACTACTACATCTCGCGTGACCGCCTTGCCTTGTTGATCCCCGACAATCTTGCATCTGCTGTGCGAAGCTCGACGTGTTCGATTTTACCGATTCGACCCTTGTATCTTCCATTTGCAACGGCTACGGTATCACCCTCACGGAACGGGTAAATCCATTTGGATGAGTTTTGTGGTGGCACAGTATAATTGATGAAATCATAGCCATCAAGAGTTCCGAATTCGCCCGGTGCCATACCGAGATCGTGTCGAGGAGCCAGTGGCCCGGCATTCCAGTCCTTCATCCACCTAGGCTTCACGTCCAGTTTGAAATAGTCATTTCTCATGACCGTCACCATGTTGTTGCTGTCTAAAGCTGCTTTGTACAGCTGCTTCTCAAAGCGTGCTTTTTTCTTCAGCCGTGCCCTTACAGATCGTTTTCGATTGCTCGCCGCCCGCTGAATGAACTTTTGCACCGATTGAAGCGTCATTTTGTCGATGTTGCGCGTCGATGCGCTGTCTAGGAGGAAGTATTGCGCGAACGACTATGACGAGGCAGTAGGTAGTGGCAGATAGCACTATCCAAGTTATTCTACTCAGTCAAGCCACATCCCGAAGCGAGAAGACGATCAGATAAACGGAAGGCGCAGTGTCAGGGTCGAGGATGTTTGATTGTGAAGAAGCTCCCAGGTTGATACAAGCTCGAAAAGTCGACTAGTTTGGAAGTGGAGAGGCTTGGCAAGACGCTTTTCCGACTGCGACACGCGGGAAACGGCAGAATCGCGCTGTCGGACCGACATTCTGGTTTCTCTCTCTTGACAATGCCTCTATTGCGCCGGGGTCCCATCTGCCACGGATGCCAGCAACGCTCGTCACAGGCTCTGCAGAGTCCTGTTCGACAGTTTCAGTGCGAGCATTGCGAGGCCCTGAACTATTTTGACGAGGTGCGGCCCGATCTGTATCAGGAAGATATCCATTGTAGCTCCGCTAACCCCGTCATAGCATGGCGATATAGCAGATCCACCACCACAAGTCACGGATCCTTTCGCAGCGTCCTCCTTACCGTCTGTGCAGTATGCATATCAAGTTCCTCGTCCGTCGACGCCGCTGCCGTCAGCAACGCAAGATACGCTGTTCTGTGCAGACTGCGTGAAGAACCAGCAGTACTACACCGATGCCTTGTCAAACTATCTTCCGCCGCCCGATGACCCTTCATATGAAAAGTATGAAGCCGCGTATAATGACTGGAAGAGGAGCCTAGAAGAGCGTTATCCGCAAGTATGTGCGACGTGCCTGCCACGAGTCAGACAGAAGTTGAAGGATACTCGATATGCGACCATAACAGAGGACCTGCGGCGGAAAATGCTGCGCAGCAAACATGGGCTCCCTATAAGTTACAACCAGATGCTGTCCAGGCGTGGTGTATTCTACATTCTTGCCGGTGCGGGATGGTGGCTCAGCATACTATCACAGCTTGCATGGCATGCTTTGGGCTTGTTGATCGCGCAAGGAAGCTATCACGACGACGATGAGATTTTACCGAGCACATGGCAATGTGGAGAACGCCTTTGGAAAGCTCACGAGATATCATGGCCATGCTTCGAGCATGTCACCCCATTGCTATTACCCTCACTCCTCATCGGTTTCCTATGCTGCTGGTGGCATCCCACTCTAATAAAAAAGATGCACGCTTCGGGCGGGAGAATGAAGGGGCAAAAGAACTACCTACAGCTGCAGTTGGTAACCCTGACCATCAGGCTAGGACTATGGCGATTCCTGCGAGAGCCATTCTTCCTAACACCACAAGCATTCAAAGGAGCCCATACCGCAGCACTGGCATTCCTCCTCATCATGATCATCGCTTCCATACGAGCAATCCACATCGACTACACGCCTCGCTTCACATTCAAAGAACTCCAAGAACCAGCAGCACCCAAACCCTCCCCAGGATCCCGCACACCAGCTACCTCCAACCCTCACACATCACCCACCACCTTCCAACCCTCACCCCTCCGCGTCGAGCCCTTCCCCATCACCAAACTAGCCCCGACATCACCACACCACTCCCCCAACAAATCAGACCCAGAAAGCAGCCCAGACGACGACGACGACAACGACAACAACACCGCAGCAGACATCGACGAAATGGACTGGACCCCCACAAGACGCGACTCCTCAACCAGCTTCCGACCCTCCAAACCCCTAACCTCAACAACCCCCTTCAACCACCCACCCAACCAAATAATCACACACCCAATCCCCTCCCCCTTCTTCGGCACCCTCCCCTCCGCACCCCTCACGCCCGCCCACCGCGCCCGCAATCCACCGCAACGCCCCCTCTTCAAAGCGACCCCGCTCGCCAAACAGCAGGACTTTTTCACCAGCATGATGCTGAAGGGCGCAGCGCAGAACAGTAATACACGGGGTTCTGCACAGCAGCAGCAGCAACAAACACAACAAACACAGCAACAACAGACAACACCATTCACCCTCACCCCCGCCACCCTGAACCTGGCCGAAGATCCCGTCGAGACCGGGCTGGAGAGCATCTTTGACAATTTCTTTACCATTGCGGATGAGCCGGCGGAGGTGCGGGCTGTGCGGGCGCGGACTGCGCGGAGTGCGCGGAGGGATTGGTGGGCTGTGGTGCGGATGGTGGGTGTTTGGATTAGTCCGTTGGTTGTGGGTGTGGGGGTGATGTATGCTTGGGCTGGGTGGCGGGGTGGTGGTGGTTATGGTGATGCTAGGGGGCAGGTGGGAAAGGGGCGGCAGATGCCGGTTCGGTTGCCGTTGGGGGGGACGTGGGTTGAGATGGATGGTTATGGTGGGTAGTGGGTGGGTGGGTTGGTTGTTCGTGGTGGTGATAAGTTGTGTTTTTCTTGTTTGAGGCTCGTGTTCACTCTGTTGTGGCGTGCATAAGCAATCGTACGATTGGTGTTTGTAGAGCGTGGTCGAACTCTCTCCCTTAGTGACAGAATGAAGCGTACGTGTGTGAAAGTTTTTAGAACTGCTCTTGATTATTGGGCGAGCTATTTTCATGTTGTCATCTGGCTCATCTCCATGCATACATACATACAATGGCTATACCGATGACGAAGTGACGACGACGACGACGACGGCGACGAAAGGGAAGAGTTGGGCAAAACCAGAATCCCGCGACCTTGCCTTGCCTTGCAAACCCATGCCCTTCATGCTTCGTCTTCCCCCTTCCCTTCCCTTACCCGCCCTTCCTCCCTCTCGGCCTCCCGTGTCTAGTCCCTTTCTTTCATTCTCTCTCGTTGTCTATGAACGAGGCTTCTCCTTCTTCTCTTTCCAGAGCGCGGACAGACCGACACCGGATACCTTGACGACCTTGAAACGCACACCGGGGATATCACCCTTGGCCTTGCCCTTGCGACCGAATCCGGCAAGGAGGACCTCGTCATTCTCGTCGACAAAGTTGAGACAACCGTCGTTGGGCACTGTGATGCTTCGTATCAGTCTCTAGCCCTCATAACAACGATAAATCTCATTTTTCATCCCAACACCCTATATACCCACCGCCCCCCTCTCCCCCTTTCAAAAAGAAGAAAGAAAGCCACAAGCAACATACCAAAAGCAGTAACCTTCTTCCCATTCTTGATCAACTGCACGCGCACACACTTGCGAATGGCCGAGTTGGGCTGCTTGGCCTCGACGCCGACCTTTTCGAGCACAATCCCTTTGGCGTGCGAGGAGCCGCCAAAGGGCGAGGACTTGTACGCCGTGCCGAGGAGGCGCTTCTTGTATGACAGGTCGGCCCAGCGGCCCTCGCGGCGATGGTTGCGCAGCTTGCGGGCGGCGTTGAGACCTCTTGGCTTGCCTTTTCCCATGGTTGCTGTTGGGTGGGTTTGTGTGTCAGAGAGAGAATTGGTTTACAGTGGGAGGGTATGTGGGATGGGGAGATGGAGGGGAGGGGAGAGGAATCGTACCGGTTGTATGTGTGTGCTGGGGGTTAGTAGTTGGACGTCGTGATGCGGTTTTGAACGGGCAGTCGTTCGAAAGTCGAGAGGGAGGTCGAAATTTGGCGTGGGCTAGCGGATGTGGTAAGCGCGGACTTAAGCGAGGCTTCTATCGTACGCAAGGTCACGTGCTATCTTGGCCGTGCTGGCGGAAACACACAGCGGGGCGGAAAGGCTCGGCGATGTCGTCCGTCCCCTCCGCCCGAACAACCTACATCCTCACTCTCACTTTCAAGACCAAGGACTGATACGCCCTCTACAACAACCCACCATGACCACACCCTCCAAACCCACCACCAACCTCCGCCCCCCAATCCCATCCCTCTTCATCGGCCCTCCCTCCCACAACACATCCACCACCTCCCTCCTCCCACCAAACCCGCCTCTCACCCGCCAACGCTCCACCCACCAACCAACAAACACCACCACCACCCCCCAAGACCCCCTCGCACGCCTCCGCCACCACAACCAACAACACAACCACCACCCCCCCAACCCCAACCCCTCCACCGCCCACACCGACGCAATATGGGCCTCAATGCAGCACACCCTCGAAGAAGTCGAACTCTCCGCCCTCAGCGGCGCACACGTCTTCAACACGAAGCACGCAAGCGCACTAGACGAGCTGCGCACGGCGCAAATAGCGCTTGCGCAGGCGTGGGCGAGCAGTGAGGCGGACGCAGAGTCAGAGTCAGAGTCGGAAGGTCACTCGGGGGATCCGGAGGACGCCCGGCGAGACAATCCCGCAGCAGCAGCAGCAGCAGCGGGACAAACCCTGCTATCCCCAGACCGAATAGAGCGGATAGAAAGGATAGCAACCCGGGCGCGCGGCGAGAGCGAAGCCAGCATGGGAAGTGAGCAGACGGGACAGGACGACGACGACGAAACGCGAGACGATATCGCGCACGCGCGGCGGCGGAGAGAGGCGAATGATCGGTATTTCGAGCGGGTGAGCGCGGGGGTGGCGGATGTAGTTGCGCGGCTGGAGGAGGTTGCGCGGGCGATGAGGGCGGTGGGGCAGGAGAGTAGGGAGATTTGGGGGGATTCTGGGGGGGAGAGTTTGGGTAGTGGGACGAGTGGGAGTGTGGGTTGAAGGGAGGGTTGGGTGTGGTGGGATGTTTCGGTTATGGATTTTGGTGCTACGGCTTCGAGTGTTTTGGGCTTGGGGGCTTATTGGGCTGCGTGGGATGGCGGTGGCTGTATGGCGGTCGATGCTATGCTGCTGGGATTGGAGAGGTGCTTTGGGATCATGGTGACGGTTTTTAGGAGGGGGCAGAGCGAGAACAGAGAGGAGAGGGCAAGGCCTCATGTCACGTTCCAAAAGAGCGGCTACACTCTTACTGAGGATTGTAGACACGGTCAATACTGTGGGACACAGGTCACTTTGCGTCGAGAGAGAGACACCAAAGGACTGTCTATAGACATGCAAAACATCCTTATAATTAGACCTCAAGCTATCTCTTCATAACATCAGAGTGCAACGTACACGTTAAGCTTCTATACGCACAATTGTGTATATAAGACGCATCTCAGTGTCAGACAACTTGGCAGTATCTCAGAAAACGGAATTAGATGCGCAAGAAGGGCTTTCATACTCAAACGCCAATCATGCATGTGTGTCAAGTACAGATAGTATACACGTCATCGAGGCCTAGCTTGCCTGTATTTTGTACAATGAACGGGACAGACGCGCCGCTGTTATACGTCTATGCTGTGACTGTCTGTGCTGCAGCCTCCTCTGCCTCCTCAATGACCTCGAGCTCCGGGAGTTCGGGCCAGGGCTTCTTGATCGCGTCTTGTATTTTGACAATGCAGCCTTTATTTCCGGCGACAGGTCCTAGTGTAGCAGGTCAGCTAGACCTCACCAAATGTAAATGAAGATAAACCGGCTTACCAGATACTAGGATGATACCGTTCTCCTTATCCACCTTCAAGATCTCCAGGTTTTGGACTGTCTTCCGTATATTGCCCATCCTCCCGGGCATTTTCTTACCCGGGATAACTCGACTACCACTGCCCTGGGAGCCACCCGCGGAACCCATCTGTCGATGCGTCTTCGACACACCGTGCGACGCATCCTGTCCATGCCAGCCCCATTTCTTCATACCCTACAACCAACGTCAGCAAAATCTTTCCCCTTCTCCGACCATACCAAAGCACTTACACCAGCAAACCCCTTTCCCTTGGTATAGCTCCTCGTATCTACGTACGTCCCCGGCACAAACCAGTCCGCCCATATCCGACTGCCCAGCGGACTCCTCATCAGCCCTTCCTCGTCGCGAACAGGGAATTCGGCCAGATAGCGTTTGGGACTGACGCCACTGGCTGCAAAATGCCCTAGCATTGGCCGACCCACGTTCTTTGCCTGCCGGTGTCCGGCGCCAATCTGCACGGCCCAGTATCCGTGGACGTCACGGCGCTTGTAGCTGACGACCTCGTTGCGGTCGACTTGTAGCACGGTACAGCATTTTCGTGTTCCGTCGGGGAGGTAGACGGCGCTCATGCCTTTCTTGACGGCAAGTACGCCTGTGCGGTGAGGTAGTGAGTCGCCGTCAAGCTTGCGTCTCAGAGCGGCGGTCTTGGTGGTTGTGAGGGCTGGGCGGCCAGGGTAGTGATTGAAGCGGTTGAGCTTGGGATTCGGGTCCCATGTCGAGTAGATTGTGCGGCGCTGGAGAAGGGACGTGGATGGTCGTGCGAGGATGGTGTTGCTCGAAGAAGGGAGAGTGCGCAGTATGGAGGGTACGAGGAAGCGCGGAGGGAGGTGCGCCGCCCAGAGGGCGCGTTCTATGGGCGGCATGATGGCTGATTGGCGGTATGTGACCTGGGAGCAGGTTGCAAGAATGCAAGGCGAAATGAGCACGGCGTGTTGAGGACGGTTGGCGTTATAGGCTGCTGTAGGTAGTAGAGACAATGAATGGAATGGTCTGATGAGTCGGGGGTGGAGGAGGAGCAGCAGGAACTTTTTAGTGGGCCATGTTGATTGGCTATATTAGCCGCGATGTGATAGACGCCGTAAGCGCCTCGAATCAAGCCACGGCGCTTCCAAGAATCATGACGATAATAATGAAGACCCGGACAGGGACGCAGGTAGGAGATTATCGAACCCCACACTATCACCGTCATGTTGTATCACGAGGAGGATTGCATACGGCTTGCAGGGGTGAGTTGAGCAAATCAGGCCCCCGGATATCAGCGCGACCAGGGTTACGGGCGGGCGCCAAAGTGCGAACGGCCACAATGGGATGAGTCTTGGACAATGTCGGATAACTTCCCATTCCAGGCTAGGAAATGTCACGGAAGAGCGAAATTGGAAAACACTGTGGAAATTGTCTGATGCTTTTGATATCAATAGTGCCTAATTCAGGACATGTATATACAGATGGGCCTCCCAGGGTAGTGTACAATAATAACAAGAATGTGAATCGCAACGTTGGTGGTATCTTATAATCGAGGAAGCCGTAGTTGTCCTGCACCCCCGATCTTTTGTCGTTCTATCGTGATGATGATGACGTGATACTGTTTTTTTACTGTTATATTCGCGCGAAATGTGGCTTTGCGTAATAAGAATGCTGGTACAAAGGCTCATGTTTTGATATCAATATGTGCATCGTCCGTATGGCATGCTCCGAAGTACCAAGTCGGCATAGGGATGTCCATGAGCTAATTCGTGGGAGGCCAGCCAATCGCTGTTGGCTGTGCTCAATCACTTCATAGAGTTTTGAACGCGAAATCGGTGACGACGAGAGCTGTATGTATGATCGACTGAGCCTTGATTCCTTCGAGAACTGATCGCGGATATTTGGGATGCTCCAAGACGGGTGTCTATGCCTCATACTTCTCGTCTAGGGGCGACCACGCTCATCAGGGTCCCAGACTCCACGCAGGACCTGAGCAGGGTTTCCAGCCACTACTGTGTACTTGGGGAAAGTCTACACCGTCATTAGCTTGCTTTCTGACATGGAAAATATTGAATGACTGACCTTGCAAACTACCGACCCCGCTCCGATAGTGGTCCCTTTCCCGATAGTAATGGGTTTACCTTTCCGGGCCACGATCGTGACGTTCGCGCCGATGAAACAATCTTCTTCGATTCTGATAACCACTCCAATGGCCGTGCCTTTGCTGCCCGCACGGTCTCTTGGATGGACAGCTACTGTGTTGCCCAAAATGTTCACGTTTGGTCCAATGACCGACCTTGCGCCGATGGTAATCTGGCAGGGATCCAGAATTGTGCAATTTGAACCAATGACAACGTTGTCGGCAATGTGGATGTTGTAGCCGTATTCACAATTGAACGGTGCTTCCACCTGGACATCCTTGCCCACGGATCCACGGGGTTGTTCCTCACGTCGGGTGTTGGGCGAGTCCATGATGGCACGGAATTGCCGGACTCTTTCTTCGCGTGACACGCCCATCGCCGGATTCTGGGCATTGTTGAAGCGCCACAGGGCTGATTTGCATTGTTCTCGCTCGTCAACCAATTGTGGGGCAAAAAGCAGGTACGGTTCACCCTTTAGCATCTTCGACTTTTCGGACTCCAGAGGAGGAGGTGGTGGCGGTTGCTGACGGGCGGGAGGTTGATAGTGAGATGTGGAAGATGTGTGTTGAAGTGCCATCTGTGCGACTGTGCTTGCAGACTGATGCATGGATGGGGGTGGATGTCCATACTGCTGGTTGGGAGGTGGTCGTTGTTGTGGGGCCAATGGGGGAGCATCATAGTATTGTTTCGTAGTCGCTCGTGGATCATGAGAAGCTTCAGCATAAGTGGCAGGGGGAGGCGGATGTGTATGCGACCTAGAATGCGGCTCAGGCCACGAGGACCAAGGCTGTCGAGCTGCGGCGTTGCTGTTGTTGTTGTCGTCGACGACAATTGGACGACCTCTGTTCCCTTCATTGTAGGTTGCTTCGTGCTGCTCCCGAGGGACATGTGGTCTATATTATGTTATTAATACCTCGCAATGTGGTCATGACAAGGGAGTTCATTACCTGAACACAGACGTAGGGTTGTATTCGTCCTTTGCCTGGATGGGCATCGGCCCGCGGCTCGTGCTTGGTCTCGGCCCTTGTGATTTCAATTGGTGGTAGCCTTCGCAGACAAATCCACCACGAATGCAATTGCTGCCTATTATGGAAAGTTAGCGATACCTTCCATACGCTACAGGAACACAATATTATATAGAAAGCGGTGAATTAGTGTGTAGCATACATTCTGGTTTGGCTTCGTCGCACTAAAAGAATATTAGCCATTGTCACATTGGTATATAGTATAGCCGCATGGCATTTAGATCTGTACATACCTTCTTCTTGCGTCTTCTGCAGGTTTGACATCCAGTCTTTGTTCGGTTGGCAAATTGCTTCGCGATGTCAGTTCATCCTTGCGAGGCGAGGCAAGCAAACTCACCCGTTTACGCTTCTTCGGATCGACCTGCACTCCAGCTCTGGTGAGTTCGGTGGTGCTGCTTGGCTCATTGTGGTCCTGGGTGACTGAATCATCGCCATTCTCGTAGTCGACAGATCTCTGCGTGGGTGAGTGCATTCGATCTTGAGACTCTGCCATTCTAGATTCTGATGCCAAAGTATCTGGCCTCTCCCGATCGAGCCAGGGACCAGAACCGTAGCCAGTCGTTCCAGAGTGTGGAGCTGAATGTGGGATGCTGGACAGGTTGTTTGTGCTACGTGGTGAACGCGGGCTGATTGAAGATTCGTAACCATCGACTTTGCGCCTGGCCTGTTCAGAAGATACAGCGGCACCGGTGAATGAGGTGTCGTCTGTACCAGACCGCTTGCGCTTATGCGTACTTGAACTGTTGTCTTCCGTGTCGTTTGTGGCCTGGGACGCACGATGGGAGGCAAACCCGTTTGTGAAAGTCCAAGCGGTTTGCGTGGTATCTGAGCCTTTTACTGCCGGTCTTTCGTCGCCCTCTGAGTTTGGTAGGGAGTTTGAGCGTGCTGTGTGATAGGTCCCGTGGGATCCATTCGTTTGAGGAGCTGATCGTGGCGGAGAGCCCGAAGTCCGACCGTTTACAGCAGTAAATCCAGAGGAAGTAGCGTATGCGTTGGTATCGATGGCCTTCTCTTTGTGTATCAGATCAGCTCCGTTGGTTAGGGGTGCTTGCGCAATAGACGGCATCATTTGCGCGTTACTGTGTTGATGTCCGCCGACCGGACAGAGAACAGAAGGAGCCAGACTAGGGTGCCGACGACTTTGAGTTTCGTAGATGGCAGATGTCCAGGGCTCAGGTTGCGTGGTGTGCTCGAAGTTGTACGTGACGGGTATATTATCTTGCTCAGATGTGTGCTAAATAATAGTCGTGCGGTGTGCGCGCTGCTAGCGGTGGCGGAGGAAGGATAGTCCAACAATGGAGACGAGTGACAGTAGTGCTGGTCTATAGATGGCCAAGAAGATGGAGCTCTTTATTCAACCTTGCTCTTCAACCGGAATATTTTTAACCTTGATTTTTAACCTGGAAGCGGTTCTAGAGGTCCAAAATTGGTGGTAACGAGAGCGACAGTGTGGACTTGGAAGCGGTGTGTATCTTTTATTTTTATTTTTATTTTCCCTTTCTTCTCGGGACAATATACAGGAGTGTAGCAGCGCAACGGCTTGGAAGGAGTAGAAGCGTCAAGTGTCGATCGAGTGGGCGGGATGAGGTTATGCAAATCGCGGGTGGCTCGTCTAGCGGGGGCGGGTGTTGATGTATAGTTGCAAGCAAGGCGGCTCGCGCGCGAAGCGAGAGATTGATATCGCGGAGACCAGGCAAACGACCGCACAGCGACCGGTACACAGATGGAGAAACAAAGATATAATACGGCGCAGGCAGAAACGCGCGAAGAGGGCGGAAGAGACGGGCGGAAAGACAGTGCGCACTGAAAAGTCAAGGCGGCGCAGTGGTTGTTGGGGGAGGAAAAGAAGAGAAGAAGGGTGGTGATGAGGATGATGGGAAAAGGACGACGAAGGTTGGGATTTGTGGATGATGGGAATATGGTGGATTCAAGGTGGATGAGAAACAGCAGCAGCAGCAGCAGCAGCAGCAGCGCGGGAAGACAACCACACGACTTTCTTGTCTGTTTGAATGCAAGCATCCCACCCCCATCGTGTCTGCTGATTGGCTACTGAGTGGGCTGTCCTGGCAGCTTTCCTCTCTTACTCACTGTCTCTCTGTCCCTCTCTCTCTCTCTCTCTCTCTCTCTCTAGGTTCTCTACGTCTCTCTAGGTCTCTTCTCTAGGTAGCGGCTAGTGAAGCGTCTTCTTCCGGGGGGGTGGGGGAACCTAAGCTAATGGGGGGAAGAGGGGAGGGGAGTCCCCCTAGAGACGCCCCAGAACCCACCAGAACCCCCCAAAACCCCCCCAAATCAATCATAACTTCTAGCCAGTTAATCTGCCCATCTCAGCGTCCTCCCTCCCTAAACTGCTGCCACTGCCCTCCGATTGACCCCATTCTACCCTCAAATCCCGCTGCTGCCTCCCCTGCACTGCCTTGCCTTTTCACCCCCCCTCCCCCCTTAAAAAGATTGGAGAGAGAGAGAGAGAGAGACCAGGCAGGGCTTTTGGACGCGCATGAAACCAGCATCCAGCTTTTTCACTTTACGGCCCAACCACTCACGGCCCGCAACCTTCTAGCGTCTCACAAAGTCACTGCACACTAAAAAGACTGCTGCATCTAATTAGAGACTGGAGATTGATGACTGGAGGCTGATGACTGGAGACTGGAGACTGGAGACTGGAGACTGCACACCGGGCGGCTCTCATAGACTATAGTAGTATAATACTCAGATAGTCTCACAACATCATATAGACAGACACATAAGCCCGATTCGATGGATTGTCATGAAGAAGCACTAGTAATTGATAATTACTGCCGCCGCTTATTCCCTCCGCCCAGATGACACGCGCTGCTGGCTGCCAAAGGTGGTCTCCACACACATCAAGCTTGGACCCGTGGCTGCTGTTGCTGCTGTATTGGAGAAGATGGCTGTGCCGCCGGGGCTATGCCTCTCTCTTCCAAGAGGCCGCCATCCTCGCTGACCGTTCCGTCTAATTATTCTATTCCATTGCATTGCCTAATTAATCCTCCTCCTTCTTGGCCACCCGTTCTCCATTATTCCAGCTGGTGCTTTTGGGCCGCGCGAGATGATTTACTGTTCCATATCTCCAGGAGACTCTTTGTCTTGTGCAAACATGTCATCCCACTCAGCGGAGCGGATACAAGCATGCTGTCTCCCCGAACACCTGCCATTCGCTCGATTCACCGCCGCGCCGCCCACCATCCACCCACCTCGACTCAGCCAGATCGCTTACGGCTGCGAGCCATGCTCCCGATTCTTCAACATGCGCGTGCCGCTTGAGCGGCTTCTGGCGCGCCCCTTTACCCGAGTCTGTATCCGAACCTTAATCGTTTTTTTCTCATGACGCACCGCTCCCTCCCTGCGACTTGGTCATCCTGTCCAACGCTCGTATCGTCTTGCTTACAGCTGCCTCTGCTCCTGCTTCCAGTGCTGTGTTTCCATCTGCGGTTTGGCCCGCGAATCCCGTCCCAGGTTCGCTCAGAAATGCTCGCTGCCAAGATGCACGGCCGGCGCCAAACGCTTACGCGGTGCCGATATTGGCGCGTATTGTTGGTGAGGGGGAGGGGGGTCGGGCCCATCATCCCTGCGCAACCTGCCCCACCCACCTTTCACGAAACGCAAGGTAAGGTAATGATCCTTGCCAGCTGTCTCCACGCTCTAATCTGTTTTTATCGCCATCAACATCGCTCCACGGTACACGTCGGCGCTTCTCCGTCGTCAATTTGTGGTCTTGCTGGAGGGATATCCACATGCTGTGTGCTCTTTCGAGTCTCGATGCACTACTACGTACGTCAACCATCAGCAGCCTGGCTGGGCGTGAATATACCAGTGACGTGACGTGACGGCTTGGTACGGGTAGGTATTAGATCGCACCAACGTTGGATGCAGGTGTGTGTGTGTCTTGAAAGACATGTACGCCCGAGAACCAGACAGAATGCACGCCATATATTAGCAGGCGTAGCAGTCGTCTATATTGCTGCAGCAGATGCCGTGCTATTTTGAAATCTGCAGGCATCTAAGCTTTGCCACGAGTCGAGCAGCGGCATGCCCTCTGGCTGATGCCGTGGCCCTGCTGGTGGCGAGCAGGGGCTGCCCAGGACCGTGAGCGTGGTGTCGTTCCCGTCACCAATGCCATGGCTGCGAGCTGCACTATGTCTGTAGGCGCCGTGCTCATCACTTGGCGGCTTCCATTTCCATCTCTTGACTGGCCAGATCTGCCCCCCTGCCAGCCCCGAGCCAAGGAGACGCCGTTCCATGATACGTTGCACTGGCTCAGTAGTTTCCGCTCTGCCGCTGGATCCTGCAAGCGTCGGCCAACGATACGAGCGTCAAGGCTCAAGCCTTGGCCGCCTGTCAAAGATCCTCCGCAGCCTTGTCGGATCTTCAGTGACAAGTCTCGCTCCTCTTCTCTCCCTGCTCTTGTTTGCAGGGCAATAGATCTGCATTGTGGCACGCCGTGTCGTCTCGAACGAGGGGTCGCAAAGGCCGTATCTCTGAACCTTATGCGGGCTTTCGAGCATGTATGCGGGGCCAGTGGGCATTCGCTCGCACACTATATATGAATAGAGTAAGCTAACCGGTATTGGACGAGGGTGGAGGTGGATGGTGGATGGTGGATGGTGGATGGGGGTAAAGAGTCGCTATGCAGTGTACAGTGCCAGTGGTGTGTAGGTGGAGAGTAATGACCGTTTGAGAGCGTCATTTCCGAGCTGCAGCGTGATTCGCCGAGACAAGCGCGCTTAGAGAGAGAGGCAACGTTGCCCCTCGCCTTAGGCTGTAGGCACTTGCACCACCACCTTCGGGCAGAGCAGCTGCGCAATGCAGATGAGTGCAGACCACCTACATCCATCCCATATATCAAACCTTGGCTATTCAACGCCAACTTCACCATCACACCCACTCGCGCCCTCGCAATTCGCGCCGTTACACGTGTGTGTGTATGCGCTACTCATGCCCATTGCATGACTTCTTGTACCTCGCATCCGCTAACGCTGAGACGGTCCGTCCCGTTCTTGGAGCAATATCACATCTCGAGCACAGCCGGGCTTCAGGATGCGTTCGCACTGCGACGAGATAGGAACCTTCGTCTGCACTGTAGCAAGACACCAACTAAATTACGACCTACTCTTAATCAATCTGACCACCTCACCGATGCGAAGCTTCGTCATCCACTAGGCAACATGTAGAAGCTTGTGCTGACCGCTTACGGCCCAGTCAAAGACCTTGTTTTACTACGCCTCAACCCCTACGACGCTATCACGGCCATAAAAATGTGCCTCTGGTTGGGATATAGGGGCATTCAAGAGCATTGTCACTTAGGGACCACACTGAGACATGGTACCGATTCATCTCCACAAGGCGTGCCTCGCGACGCTATCTTGAGCACCCGTATTAGCTTTTTCGTTACGCTGTCCGATATATGCCAATATGTCTTTGGGAGAACATTATCTTCTTTTCTATTTATGATGAGCATCTTTCCCTGCTGGCGTTTTTGATAGACCTATACTGAATCCTATGAGAACGTAGATACCCTTCAGCGGTTGCGCACAGCGTTTGTCACAACTACTCGTCGCAGCCGCGTCGTGAGTAGCCGCGACCATGTCCCAACTCAGAAAGCATTGTCCCAGCGGAAGGGCCCCGTGGAGAGATGGGACGGCTCCCATTAGCCAGTTCGTTTACGGTCTTCAACGCTGTATATCAGGGGAGCAGTGTTCCAATGGGTAGTACCTCCGTTCTTTCAGCTGGGCGAGACCCGCAAGCTGCGTTGCGGCACAGCAGAGCCACGTCCAACGTGCCGCGGCCGGCTGGCCACGGTCATGGTCATGGTCATGGTTTCTCCCTGTACAGAAGGAAATGGTGGACAACGTGGTATCCCGAAATATATCAGACATATCCCTAAATGATCCACATCGAGCCGTTCGCGGCCCACTTCCCCCATGTCATCCCTGCTGTCTCTATATCCGGCTCTGTGGCATGATGTCTATCGCACTGACCTCAGAATAACTTTTCAGACATCTGGTACAAGCTATCAACAGAACAAGTCGCGGCATTCCAATCATTCGATGTGTTCTCGCTAATTTCGAGTACTGTATCCCCACGCCAAGCATGTCGAGGCTTTGGGACTTGCAACCCCTAGCAACTGTGCCGCGATCCTACATGCTCACCGCGTTTGTTCGGCTTGCAAGGTGCAAGTCATGCCGCATCCTTCTCACAGACGTCAACGTCGCGGATGCGCAGAAGTACACGCCTGATTCGGTTGAAAAGCGAAGGCTTTGACGCAGAGCGCGCCAGACGCGCTGCTGCAGATACGCATCGTCCAGATCCGCATGTCTCACACATTTGTTGAATATGGCGTTTGCGACTCTGAAGAAGCGTGCATTATGCACCGTGCACCTGCAAGCCACATCCACCACTGCAATCTCATGACCTTGATGATCATTCCAGCTCTAGCCCCCTGACCATGAGCATGTTCTTCGATCATGAGATGAGGCTGTATGAGCCTTGCGGTGTGCGAACAGAGTCCGCGTTTGTTGGTTCTGCTGTGCCGCAACCATTGTGTGAGCAACGCGGCTAACTGTTTTTGACTTGGTGCAATCACTCTCTGTCATAGTCGACACTCGACAGCCAGCAGCATAGCTATTATCTTCCATGCTCAAGCGACAGGTGTGCAAGCTGATGCATGGTGCACTATCGATTCTGAAGCTAGTCAGCAGTGTAGAAAAACACTTTGCCAAGGCACCGTGATGCATGGCACGACCAGACTTGCAATCGTTCCAAATGCTGACAATCCATTCCTCCGTTTTGATTTCTCGGAGCGTCCGTTTACCAAACCTGACTTTCGAAAGCGCCCATACACCAGGAATAAGGAACTTGGGAACTTCCAAAGCACGCGAGTCTTTACACATCCGTGTCCCGTCGATATGTCCTCGGTATGCCAGGACCCCCCTCAGCTACGCGCGTTTGTAACGTGGAAGCATCCGCTCGAAAATCCCGAACCACAATATCGGAGTCAGTTTCTGGCCGATCAAGCGCCCGCATGAAGGCTGTTTTCAGCTCAATATCCTACTTTGCGGCGATAACGAGGCGCCGATGCCCCGACGACTGGAAGACGACATCCAAACTAAATAGCATCTTTATTTCATACGATCACGAAAAATGGGGACAGCTTTGGGGGTTTCGACGGAGATTATTCTGCTGGTACGCCAGTGATGTGTGGCTGCTGAGCAGTGCGTTTCGACACACTTGGCCTGCCGCCTGGTCTCCTGGTAAGAGATACATCACACGAAATCATCTCATCGCAAGGGGCCGCCTGGACGCGACCAAGCAAGGGGTCGACCTCAGTCAGGACACCTCAGAGACTTTGCTAGCCATATTCCAATCCAATGGTGTTTGCTTAGTATCGAAATTTTCTACGAAAGTAGGCAGGGGGTTAGCTCACTCTGAACCGCGCGAATGGTTCACCAGTCCTCAGTCCATGGAATCAAAATCATATAAACCCTTTGGCTATGACGACGACAGAGTAGATGGGATTCAGGGTTAAGCACTACTACACTGTTTCCTATCATTCCTGCCTGGTGCTTGCACCCACCAAAACCTACTGAAACATCCAGTTCCTTGACAAGGGAGAGTCGACCGCCCGTCGTCGTATTCACATTCACCCACCTGTCCATCTCGAGGGGGCCAGCATATATAGTCGTATCGATGTAGTACTATCTCGAAGTTCCCGGCAGACCCATCATTCGTATATTCCATTCCGTGGCTTTCCCCGGAACTGTGTCATCGGAATGGTAACTAACTACTCTATCAAGATTGGCCAGCCATTGCTTGACTCTCTCTCTCTCTCTCTTGGCGTCGGCTATGAAAGCTGGAATAGTAAAGTGCGGCGATGTGTGTGTGTATGTGTGTGTGAACCCATCCATCCATCCATATTATGTAGTCCACCAGAAAACATCTTTCTACTACTGAATTACGCGAGGTCATGGTGGTGTTCGTCATGGTCCCCCCCCCCAAAAAAAAAGATCAAAAAAGCCACGCTTCCTTCGACCCGGATTTGCGTCGGAGCCACTGATTACATGTCTTGTCTGTTCTTCTAAACAAAGGAAGTGCGTGAGCCAGAGGTACTGCACTCGTATTCGGCCATTCTCCATACTCTGCTTTACGAAGGCGTCGTCTCCGCAGACCCTTGCCAGTTCATCACCACAGTGTGTCTCACTCCCTTTTCTGATTCTATGTCTGTCATCTGGCGCGAAAGATACTTGTACGTACCCGTGAGTTGGGCTTTATAGCGCCGAAGAAGGCAGTGATGAAAGGCCTTTCTTTCTTTCTTTCCAACCGGGATAGCTGGTAGAGGTGACGCTGTAGCGGCCTGGCTGTAGCATGATATATGATGTATTCAGGCGCCACGAACCGGCTTTCTTTGTGCTGGATACACGATTTGCGGTATGTGTCCTTGGGTAGAATCAGTTAGTGTGCTTCTGAGAGCAAGAAGTCATGACGTCTGTTAGCTGTGAAGTCTCAGGACGCTGTACTGGCAACAAAGCACACAACTCCTCACCCACGCACAAAACCCACCACACGACATCACACAACGCACAATCAACCCAATCCAACACGACAAATCTCGCATTCGCTCCTCTACCAACCCTACATCCCCCCGCAAACACACCCACCAAACAACTCCCAAGCCCAAAACCCAACCCACCAACCCCCCCCTCACACCCCCTCCCCATTCTCCTTACCCGCCTCACCCACAACCCCTTTCCCCTCCCCCACCACCTTTCCCCCCGCCCCCTTCCCCCTCCCAATCGTCCCCATCGGCGCCCTCGCAAAGTTGATCCCAAACTCCTGCCCTCGCCCCTCGCGCCTCAGCGCCAGCCCCGACGCCGCCAATCCAGCCGCGCCCGCTCCTCTGCCCCGCCGAGCCGGCGTCTCGGGCCACGGCGTCGCGCAAAGTCCCATGTGGGACAGACGACTGCTCATGCGGTCGACGGGGGAGCACGAGCGGGAGACGCGCTGGGCAGACGCATACTCATACACCTCATTGCCGTCGTCCGCCTCGTCTTGGGCCTCCGTGGAGGGGGCAGAGGAGGAAGACGGCAGCGCGCCCGCCTCAGCAGTAGCAAGCCAATTACCGAGAACAAGATTAACCGTCGCGATGCTGAGCGCGTCCAGCTTGACGGTGCGCGACATGCTGAGGTGGAGGATGTACCTGCGCTCGACGCAGACGGGGGCGTTGATCTTGACGTAGCTCTGCAGGTACATGTTGTTCGACTCCTTTTCCGTGCTGAGCGTCGGCATGCCCTCGCTGTTCTCCTGCTGCGCGTCCTGGCCGGAGTTGAGGATGTAGAGGAGGCGGCGGCGCATGCTGACGCCGGGCCGGTAGCATTCCGACATTTTCTTGCCGGCGAGGGTGGTGATGAGGAGGACGGAGGCGATTTCGGTGCGTTTGTCGTAGGAGAGGATCAGGATTGGGTGGGCTGGTGAGTGGGGAGGGGTGTTAGCTTTCGTTCTTGGAAGGTTTGGGGGGAGGGGGGGACGGTGTTGACTCCTTTTTTCGGCTGGATGTGTGTGGGTTGAGGGGAGGGAAAAGGGGAGGATTGTTTTACGTACCCCACCAGCCGTCGTCGACTTGCTTGTTTGCGATGGAGTCTCGCGGTATCTTCTCCGGCGTGTGGAAGATGCATCCGGGCTTGACCATGAATGAGGCGACTGGCACGTTCTTCCGCTCATGGGTACGCTCCTTTCTGTCCCAGTACGATCCATACGACTTCGAAATAGGCGGTGGGTGGAGCTCGTTATACATCGGCATGTTCGCAGACTCCTCGGACAACTCTGTCACTCTTGGACTCTGGGGCGGCTCGTGTGCCTTGTCGGACTCTCTGAGCCACGGGTTGCTTTGTGTGTCCTTGTCACGGTAGGGCTGTAGCTTCTTCTTCAACCTTGCTGTTACGCCTGGGGGTGGTTCTATGGACGGCTTTCGCGACAGGAACCTGGGCTTACTATCCGACGCCTGTGTTTCCTCTCTGCCGGACAGAGCCCTCGACTCGTGGGAAGCAGCTTGTCCTTCCTTGAATCTTCGCTCTCCGCTTGGAAATGTGTCCCAGGGTGACATGGAAATCGGACGTGTGAGTGCGGCGTGGGATGATGACTATACTCGATGACGGTACTGTTCAAGTCGGTGTCTGATCTCTCGATCTGATATGTCGAGCTGTGATTGTCCGTACCTTGACACAAGCTCTCTCTCCTCTTCCTCGAGATACAAGGTCTGTTCTCAAACCGTCTGACCAGTATGCTAATAAAGCTGTGCGATGATCAAATGTCCAAAAAGAAGCATATATCTCTCGAAGCCGTTGACAGCTTGGTGTGCGAAAATACACTGCCGATTACAGGGCATATGCGCAGTCATATAAGTATTATACTTTGCGGACAAGCTAGCAGAGTCGGATGTCATCAAGAGAGAGTCGGACTTTGAGATCGGAGAACTGATCGAGAAACCTTTGAATCGACAAATGGCTTCTGTCTGTCTTATAGATATATGACAATCCCGAACTTTTGTTTCTTCCTGGTAGTGTTCTCGACACGTGAAGATGTATTGTGAGATGGTGACGTATCGATGCCCGTGGGCCCCTGAGCAACGGCTGTTGATAGAATTCTGGATTAGAGATGTCAGTTATGGGAGGGCTTGGGGGTGAAGAGACTTAGCGTCATGCGATCTACTCTTGTATGGATATCTCTAGGCGGTTGGTCTGATGGATTGCTAATGATGAGTGTTGCCACAACGACAGACCAGGATCGAGGCACCTGGAGTCGAGTCGAGGTCAGACTGAAGATGTAGGTGGGCTCTGACAACTGTCGTGTTTCGAAGAGGAAGAACACGTCGAGCGCGTCACTGAGATTTTATAACTGTGGGCTACATTGACCGGTCCAATCAGGCGCAAGTGTTTCGCACACAGGGTGTATTCACCTGACAGCTGGAGCGCTGCGGAACAGCCAATCAGGTCCAAGTCACTGTTAAGGATAAACGAAGTTGTGGGCATAAATTTGTGAATTGACCAAGTGAACAAGAGCGCAAAGTACAATTGCATAAAGTACGCACTAACAAAGCATGTGCCAAAAAAAACCCATTTACATCATACATGAATGTGAAGACTCTCGTCTCACAGCTTTATCACCGCCGGATCTACTCTCCATCACCAAAGAGAACCACCGAAAGTCCAGCTCCATCCGCCGGTAATACACCCCATCACCAAAGAGTATCACCGAATGTGAAGACGCCCGTCTCACAGCTATGTCACCGCCGGGTATACAACCCATCACCAAAGAGGACCACCAAAAGTCCTGCCCACTATGCCAGAAATGTGAAGAGTGTCCACTGCAATTGGTGTGCCTGCCGATCAGAAAGCTGGGTTTCTGGCGGCCGCAAGAGAGCAAGTTTCGATAGTCCTGGGCTAACCCATAGACATTGCTTGTCTCAGCGAGTAGTGCCGTAGAAACCACTGCCTAAAACTCAGAACACGAGGAGCCCGCCGGCCAGAATACGTTTTCATTGCGGTGGAAAGATAGCAAACTTATGGCAGTCTTGGGAAGAACCCACAGACGTTGTTTACATCAGCCGGAGAACCGTAAGAGACGTTTCCTGGTGCCTCAAATATGAGGTCGTCAACGGCGCCGAACCCTGAACTGGTACAATGGCTGAGCCGGATACGACAGCTTGGCATGGATATAACTGTAAGAAGCTGTGCCCGATACGCTACAGATTGCTCCTCTGACGAGAAGCAATCTGAGATTGTTGCGTTGGCCGACAAGTTCATTCAGTGCATCGATGGGCATCTAGCCTGAAGTGCCTTCCGTGCAGTCTCATACATCTCGACACCCTCAGGGAGGAGCCTGACCATCTTGTTGCCGGCACGAAGATGGCCGCCCAACTCCTGCTCCTCAACCTGGTAGGCATGCTTGAGATCGACGTATGAGACCTTGCTCAATTCACCGAAATTGCCGTCCATCCTGATGGGCAGAGGGACAGTGCCGTTGTGGCTCGGCCTGCACCCGTTTTCGACCATCAGGAAGTCCGAATACTGGGACGACCTTGGGCCCAAGCCCCGGAACGACGTGACTGGTGCGAACTCGACGATACCGGAGTTGCAGCAGTAATCTGTCACGACGCCCGGGTGCTCCAGGGCTCCCAGATTGCGCTCGCAGAGCAGTCTCTGATAGAGCAGACTGCTGGATGGGAGCGAGGGCACCCAGATGAAGTCTCCCTTCTGGTATCCAGTACCAGGAGGGGACTTTGGTAGTGATGGTGATGGTGATGGTGATGGCGATGGTGATGGTGATGGTGATGGAGATGGTGGTGCTGATAGACAGAGGGCCGAATCCCTTTTAAGCCCGGCGTTGGGGCATGGCTGACGTCGCTGAGGTGGGACGTACTTGCCGGGAGACGACATCTCTACTCGATCAACACATCTAAACACAGTCAGGATGCCGTAACTGGGCGGTGGGAGCCAGCTTCATTTCACGATGATGCAGGCGAGGAAGACTCACGATAAGCCCCGATGGCTATCAGGGATTTGGTTGTTATACAAGACTCCAATGGTTGATGATAGTGTTGTATGAGCAGCTTTGCTTGTTTCGGTGTGTATGAAAAGATGAGATGGTTTGATGGGAAGAAGCAGGATACAAGACGGAATAGCTGGCATTTATAACAAGGTGGGCAGCCGGATGTGACTGCTCTCATGTTCAGAGCGCAGTTTCCTGCTCGAACATTGAGGCATTTGCTCTCCTGTTCAGAGCGCAGTTTACTCTCTCGAGCATTGGGTGGGTCTTCAGAAAGCCCATCGCTACCAGGCAAATGGGGGCAGGCGCCCTGATGTTCAGAGCGCCATAGTTCAGTCTTCAAGAAGTCCATGCCTACCACACAAAAGCGTTGCAAACTACTAAGGAACCCCCCCAGATCAGGGCGCAACAACTCTGAAGATTAGCTGTTTGCCGTTAATCAACATCTGAACGGGCACGACAACCAGCAGAGAACTGTCGTATCCGTCATGCGCCGAAGTCAGTCTCTAATGAATGAGAGTCATCGATATGTTCGGCAGCGTTCGCATCCCTGACCCCTGACTACTACCCCAGATTTCAGACCCGACATGCGGGCCCATCCGGTCTACTACGCTTAGCAGCTCAGGGACCAACCAACCAATTATGCAGGGTCACCTTTCTTGCTTCTACCTTGTGCATCGATCGAATTCTATAAGAGAGACATGGAATCAAATACTATGACATAGCGAGCAGATCAACCACTATGCGATCGGGTGTGTTATGATCCAGCGAGGCTATTTTGATATAAAACCCAACATATCCAAAATCTTACCTAGCGTCACCAGAATGACGGATCTGCATTAGCAATCTCATAGTCAGCAGTTTTCGAGCGTGTAGAAAACAACTGGAATGGGCATGGTTACGTGACTGACTGTGGTGACAGGAATTTCTTGGTCCCGGCCACATCCGGAGAACCAACATTCCCGCATTCAGGACACACTTTCTCCCACTGCTCGTCACATTCACGATGGAAAATAGCAAAAGGAAAGGGGTAGGGTCCCGCAGAGACTGGCTTCCTTACTAGGGAACGATCATGTAATTAGGTTGGTAGCTGGCGCATCTGCACAGAGCCTATGCAACACGCAGCGTCCGAGAGTGCGCAACCTAGCACAAGGAAACGGAAATTATCAACACCTAGAATATGATCCACAGCTATCTTAGTCGTAAAACAATACTTCTACAGCTCGAGTATACAAGTCAACTGTTGGATGATCGTTCCCGTGAATCTACAAACCGCAAGTTCTACACTGTGTTTACTTCTGTAATGATCGATCCCCCAATCCTGTTCCGTGCTACTTCCCTCGTTGCAATACTTGATATATACCGCATATCTGGAAGTAGATCTATCAGGGAGATATCGGCCAGGTACTCTCTGCCATGACTACAATTGACATGCGGATTGCAATTGCTTTGAAAGACAACCTACAAGCTCCAGAGCAAGCCTGATGACTTTACTCAAGAACAAGGACATGTCAATTCCTAGTCCGCCCCCACAGGCATCTCTGCATCCTTCTAACGCTCCGTCGTGTTCGGCATATACACGCTGAACTCCATCCCGCCATGATACGGCAATGTCACACTCTCAAACGGACCCTCGGGACCTCTCAAGAACCCCAGCAAATCCGAATACCCCTCTGCCGCATGGACGACATTATCCGTCACAACAACCGCGCCATAGTTCAGCTGCGGCAGCAGCAGCTCGAGCGCAGGCATAGCAAGATACGGCCAGACTAGCAGACCCGTCAACCCTCCCACCCAGTCACCCACCAGGAAAACTCACTATCAAGAAGCACAAAATCCACGTTTCCAATCCCGTCCCTCAGCGTCTCCTGCAAGTCGCCGACTCTCAGGTCAATCACGTCGTCCACGCCCGCGGCTTTCCAGTTCCGGCGTGCGGCTTCGGCTTTGCTGCTTTCTTTCTCTGTCGCTATGACTTTTGGGCGCACGGGATGCACCGGCTTGGCGTGTCCGCATTCGATGGCGGCGAGCGCGAGATAGATTGTGCTTACGCCGAAGGAGGTTCCGACTTCGACGATCCGACGGGCCCCGCGGGCGAGGATGAGGTTGTAGATGGCGAGGGCTTTGTCGTTGTCTATAGCGACGAGTTTGTCACGCATGGACGCATCTACGGTTTCGATGGCGGATGGGGTGTGGAGCGTGGATGTGTCGCGGGCTAACGTGAATGCGTCTGCGTCGAAGTTGGCTTCCTGGGCTGTTGAGGCGGCGTGGAGATTATCTAGTAAGTCGCGGACCGTCGGGGAGAAGGACTTTGGGTACTTCAGTCGAGACATTGTTTTAGACTGCAGCTTGTAGTCGGCGTAGATCTAGAAACTGTTGGCCGTTTAAGTATTTACGGTTTGTACGGCGGCTGGTGGCTTGTTGGCCGATTCCGCTCACGTGTACCGCAGATCCGGATCCGGCACGTTCGGCGCGTCCCCCCTGTTCATCTTCACTACCGTCTATTTATTGCACCAGATGCGTTTCTTTTTCCAATTCATCTGGAGCACATTGATCCTCCATCCTCCATCCGACGTCATTCAGGAACACGAAGCCAGCCAGACCAAAGCGCTCAGTCATCCTCGGAATCGTCGCTCTTCGGGTTTTGACGATCTCACTTCACCCAGCCGCTTTACCGCATTAGGCTGGACGGCGCGAGCCAGTGATTGGCCAAGAATGCAACACCACAACCTCTGCTGAATCATGGCCCGAGCCCGAGCCGAGTCTTTAATCAGCATGGGCGATGATAACGCGGAATATGATCGCAAAAACACTGCTATGAAGATGTCTGCGCTTGTCGAGCAGAAACCCTCCCGTCTCAAATCACACCATATACCCCGAGAACTATCATATACACAATGCCAACCTTCACAATCATCATCGTCGGCGCAGGACTCGCAGGACTCTGTAGCGCGATCGGACTGCTCAAACAGGGCCACAAAGTCATCATTCTCGAACGTGCTCACAAGCTCTCACCAGCAGGAGCCGGCATTCATGTCCCGCCCAACGCCACTCTGGTGCTCGAACGATGGGGCATCCTGGAGAGATTCCGGCACGTAGCCATTGTGCCAGCCAGCTTCACGTTCAGGCGGTACGACGACGGACGATTGCTCGGCAGGACGGCGCCGGAGGGAAGCGAGACCGCCTCGAGAACACCGTAGGAGACTCTCCTTGAACGCAACACCGCAGTCGACCATGCTAACCAGCACAGATACTGGTCCATGAAGCGCGCAGACTACCAGTCAATCCTCCACGACATAGCCACCGAGCTGGGCTGCGACCTCCGCCTCAATCAACACATCGTCTCCGTCAACGAAGACGAGCCCTCCGTCACGACATCCACCGGAGAACTCATCAAAGGCGACCTCATCATCGCCACAGACGGTAACATACATACATACCCCTTCCCTCCCTACACCACCCCCTACTAACATTCCCAGGCATGAAATCCCACCTCCGCACCCTCATCCTCCCAAACAACAACACATCCCCAACCACCCACCCGCAAACCACCTACCGCGCCTGGGCCCCTATATCCACCCTAACCACCAACCCC